CAAAGTTGGTCAACTGGCTGCTTTCAGCGCCTCCGTACTCATCCATACACACCGCCCTGGTCTGTGTCCGACAGTCTACCATTGCGCCGCCAACCCAAGTTCACCGTTCCACCACCACCCGAGTTCACCGCTCCACTGTCAACCCAAGTTTCGTCGATCCGAAGTGTTCCCATGTCGGCTCGCCCGCTGCCTGTATATCAACGGGCAACTGTGCGGGATAGAGAGGAGACACAGTGAACTATCCAGCCCAATGTATACAGCAACACTACCATAGCGGTACCCGGCTGTCAACCCGTCATGCATCCAAGGACGGCACGGTGTCCAGCTACTATCGTTTGTTTGCGCCGAAGGAACGTGAACTCAGCATTGAGTCTGCTCATTGCTTGATGAGACATTGGAACTTGAAAGAACGTGTACCGAGAGAGGGGTTCAATCCTTTTGTTTGTGGTGCTAGGAAGATGTGTGCTGGTTGACGTTCAGTTTATGCTGAGAGGCGCGACACGACCGTTTGCCTCGTGACTTCGTTGATCTCAAATCACCCAACTCTAAGTCTTCTACTCTACAGGCTAGCTCACCGTCTGGACCTGCGTTTGACTCCTCTAATGCGATGACCCACCGCCGATTTTCCTTGGGTTGCCACTGTCCTTTTGCATACTGCATGTCTCCCAACACCCTTCCTTTTGTGCATCCTAATCCTTGTGCTGGACAGGCGTGACCACTGGCCAACGAGAACTCATTGTCACCTTTCTGCTCGACGTTCTACAGGCCAGAATCAAGCCAGAATTGTATGTTTTGTATGTAGTGCGGAAGTTATACACAATACAACATGCTATACATAAGTAGATAGGTCCGTACTACTGCATATGTTTTGCGTAGTAAGCTGTCAGAATGAGGCATCCGGTGGACCGGTAACGAAGATACAAGATGGACATCGTATGGCAATTCGGCGCGTTGGAAATATATACGCAATATGTGATGGACAATATCAATATTATATAATAAAATAGTAAATTTATTTCGGCATATTGATCGGCAAGTGTACAAACATCGGTCTTAGCCGTGATATTGAAGCTGGCTGGTCCCTGTTGCCATATGAATGTATCAAGTAGCTTGTCAGGAACTGTAGGGTCTCGAGGGAACGCAAACAACCTCTTCTGGGGGTCGACGGAGTGGGCCCTGGCGGTGCTGGCGCTTGCTGGTGGTGAAAGAAAGATGCTTGCAAAGGGAGGAGAGGGAAATGCTAAGGCCACTTCACCAAAAAGCGTACTTCTTTATCTCTGCCATGGGTTCGACTCCAAGCGTCACTTGTATGTCCTCTACAGTTCCTTCCAATGAATGATAAAAAATTAATATTCATTTTTAGCTTTGATTATCTGAATGAATCTTCCCATGCCATTGCCAGCGGACCCTGCACACCCCAGATTGTCCATTTCAATGAAAATTGCCTTCTTCGCAGGTAGGACGTCGGAAACAAGGCGGAAACGTGGTTGACCACCCACCTATTCAAGATAAAATGCCGCTGGCAGAAAGTCATCATTCATTCATCTCTTCCTCCCCACCCTCCCACATCTCCCAGTGATATATTTAACACACAGTCATTATGATTGGCCTACTCACTCTCTTTACGACTGGAGCCTCCGTTCTCCTTGCGTCTCAGCCAGGTATGTTTATTTGAACCGCTTGCTTATCGCAATCGACTGACATCGTTCCCCACTACAGTCCTTGCTGACAATACCCCCAACCTCCTCAGCCGCCAAGTCAGCGGGTTCGACCCCAGTGGTTTACCCTCTTCTTGCCTGCAAAAACAGTGCAACTCCCTCGTTCAAGAACTCCAGGTACATTGTCGACCTGCTCTACGTTCCACAGCGCTGATAAGTGTAACGTGCAGAACTGCACACAACTCACATGCCTTTGCACCTCTGCAGTCGTTGCCGATTTACAGTCTTGCTACCAGTGCGCTGTCGCTGCCAACGCCGCCTCAATCAATGCGACCACCGCTCAAGAAGCTATCTCAAGTACGTGGTTCGCACCCCTGAGATGCCTTTTGTTCATCATTGCTATTTAGGCTTCACTGATGGGTGTAAGGCTGCCGGTTATCCCATTTCTGGCTCAAGTGGCAGCAGTGGCAGCAGCGCCTCATCGGGATCTTCAGCCTCTGGTAGCGCCACTGGTGCTGCATCTTTGACTACCGCAATTACTGGATCCAAGAGCAGCGGAACTCTCGTTGGCGTATCCGTTGGTTTCCTCGGCGCCGTGGTTGGATTGGCAATGGCCGGACTTTCCTTGTAGGCATCGACCTAACTGCAATCATAATGTATACCCCGCTGCCAAAAACTGTACACACCGATTAATTTTTTTCGAAAAACTTGGAGGCCATCCAGTTGATGTGAATTGTTTAGGTCAACTTCTTGAGGGTTGAACGTTGAACACGCGAAAAGGATGATAAGCTCCGAACGAACATACACTGCGTTTACCGAAATCAGACTTCATATTTCAAGGAAGACTTGACATGTAATTGCGGTCCATGCTGCCCTTACTCTCCTGGTAGCATGTTGACTTGGTGCAATACTGACATCAACGTCTATGGTCAGGTTAAAAATGAAACAGTGGGTAATCTTGCAAAGTACCACAACTAACGGGTCAACACTTCTAGGAATGCAAGGGTATCTCTGTTGAGTGCGAATAAAAATACAAGTTAAAGTGTGAATTATCGAGATATCGACTTGGGAGGGAGATCATCCTCGAATTCAGAAGCAGAGTCCATTCGCATCTGAATCGGCAGCTCAACCCGCGTGGGCTGTCGTTCAAAACTATCCGAGGCCATGACTGACGACTGTGCAAAATGTCAGCTTCATTGCTTCGAAAAAAGATTACACTCAAAAATTTACCTGTTGTCGTTGAGTCTGAGCTTGGACGAAAAGGGAAGTAAGCCAATTATCACGGCGTTTCGTTTTGATTTCTTCCAGAGCCGATGGTCCCTGTCCGCCAGGGAAATATTGCAAAGACACGCATGGAACGCTAGCAGCTTCCTGTCGCACTGAAGATGGACTTCTGGCCGCGAGTGAAATAGTGTCAAGCCCTTCATTATGACATGGAATTTCGCGGCGACGATTTCTTTCAGCGGGTAATCCGCTAGAATCATTGTGTCTTGAACTACCCATGGATACCCAAAATATTGCGACTCCGTTGACGATGATCTTTGGTTTGAAGTCAAGTCATCAAAGGAAGGCACATGAAAGATACGACGCACGTCTGCTCCACAAGCTCCCAAATTCACCCAACCAAGCTCCTTGCCATCCAACGACATCAGAACAACGACATTCACCTAAAAATGAACATTGATAAGGTCAATATCTTTCTCAAATTTCATTCACTTACAGTCGACGTAGTTAAAGATACAAGCGCAGCGCTTGATGGTAAAAATTAGGGCAATGGAAGACAAAGATGACGCAGGATACACACATGAAAGTCCGGACCGATAACCGTCGAAGTCCTGAGCTCTGCAATTGTGAGCTCACTAGCGGATACAGAAACATAGACGTAAGGAAGACATTGATAAATCTGTGTAAAAAAAGTGTAACTCACAAAATCCTTCTGGCATGCATTCCAAAAAAAAACTCACAAGTCGTACACCAAAAGGGGAATTGACGCAATTCTCTTAAGCCCAGTAACACATACACCGTCGTTGTTAAACTCGTGAACTGGACCTACGTTGACGAAGATGAGCGTGGATCCAAGAAAAGAAATCAATGCTTACCGGCAAAAAGGAAAGTGATAATTATGCAATAGAACGAGACACATGTTATACAGATAAGATAGACGGGTGATTCGAGCCGTCGGATGCCAACTTTTGGTGACCAGACGATGTGAACCTTTTCCGCTAGAAACAAACATCAAGAAGCGGACGGGGATTTCAAGACTAATAGGAGGTACCCAAAAAGGCATACACCAAAAACTTCGATGTTGAATAGAAAAGAATGTTGAGGTAGATCGCAACTGTGCACACTGATGGCGAGAGCTCCAAGCCGACTCCAAAGAGTAGCACACCGCCTGAAGACAAACATTGGTGTCCGAAAGACATCGTAGAATAGGAGACCCACTTGAGAATAGGAAGAGCCAAGAGTCAAGAAACATAAGGATAACAGACAGCCTTGGCCAAGGCATCGTCGATAAGCCATGCCATGTCAAGGATTCATGCTGTACTCGACGAGAGAGGCAGTGAGTGAGAACGGTCAGACCTACAAACCAAATGCAACGTATTTGGATTATTCAATTCAGCTTTTCGATTGCTTTCGATCTGCGGGGGGAAAAGTCACGCACCCAGAAGATGTATGAGCGAACTCAGCACCTGAAAACCGACTGATGGAAAGCGCATCGTCGACGATGGCATGAATAGGTCGGTCGGTTACCTGACGGCAGAAGAAAGGGTGAGGTCGAACAGACCTCACGTTGTAAGAAGCACGGATTTGAAGGAAGTGGACCGCGGGGGGATCAGGGTGAGGGGCATTCTTAAAGGTCGATTTTCAACCGGCTAAAAATCATTTGACCGTTGATCTGTGTTGTAAGCTCGCTTAGCTCGGAGCCGGGGGTATTGGAGGGTGTCGCCTGGTATCGCTGATTGTCATAAGACTTTGCGGTTTCCCGAAGTAACGGGGAGACATAAGGGGGGAGGATCGTAACAAATTCTAAATGGAGTTTGAGATCTGTCAGATTGTGGGGAAGCCGTCAACCAGAGGACATTCGGTATCCGAGCATTCACCGTGATGTCTATGTCTGGCACTTTGGTGTTGAACGTTGAGGACGAAACCATCGACTGTCGACGAGTTTCTGAACTTGGCAAAAACCTCTGAAATAAGAGGTACTTTTCATGAATTACTTATCGAGCAAGGAAGCCCCTCACGACCGACGACGGTCAATGTTCGGTGAATTTAAAGTGGACTCCGGAGTAGTCCTGGAAAATGAATTTTAGCGAGATAAGTGAAAAGTCAAACATTCAACCAGGGAAGAGTACATCAAATTTATTCTGCAGAGGGCCATCAGGTGTGTGAGGATCTCGTATTGTTATGGACATAGGAATGTCTACATCTGTGGACCTGTGGCGGGTATTTTCAGCATTGGACCTGAAGGAATTGGGCAATACGTACCCGAGGTCGCTCACAAAGTTGTTGGATCCCGTGGCTTCAAAACTGTGGAGCAGCAGCTAACAATCAGCTGATAAAACGCACACTCTATATGTGGCACCCTCCCCCATCATTCACAACCAAGGCAATCAAAGGTATGATGCAACTCTGATTTTGCGTGGATCGGCAGCTGGGTATGCCCGACGAGTCCAGACAATCCTCGCATCACGCTTTCATCAAAGGTAAGAAACACAATCATACTTTATATCAGGAGATCAACGCTGGATACATAGAGTGGATAGACAAAACTGTTCAATCAGACAAGAAACACGAAATGATGTACCCAAACCAACGATAGCACCTCAAAAACCGACAGCCGGCCTTTACTCATCATCATCCTCGTCATCATCGTCTTCAGCCTCTGCGAGCCACTTCAGATAAACAAGGTCAGAGTCTCGAATAACCACAGAATGGAGAGCAAACCGTACCTTAATGAAAGGCTCACTAGCCTTACGAACCTTCTTGCTCGTGTCCTTGTCGACGTACTTCTTGCTGACATGTTTGCCCCACTGGGTAACAAGCTCTTCGTCAATGAGATCGGCTTGGTAGAGCACCATCAAGATCTTTGGAACGGCTGGGATAAGGTCAGGGTGGGACAAGCCAACCAGAACCTCAATTCCACCCAGGAGCGACTTCTGGTGCTTCTCAGAGGTGACCAGCTACGTGACCACTTTATCAGAATGAGTCGAAGTGGAGAAAGGGGCTAGCGCTTACTTTGGTCAAGAGCGCCACATACTTCGGTAACTCAGTCAAGATATCTTCGGTGAACAAGGTTTGGACGACGATAAGCACAGTCTTGTGCTTCTTCTCGATGGCCAACTCCTCGGCCTTTTTGTAGATCGCGATAGCGTGCGCCTTGGAATCTTCAGCAGCATCGCCACCATTTTCCTCGATCCAACGACCAAGTTGAGAGTAGGGGCTATTGGCATCTTCGTCACTGCCCTCATCGTCACCACCAATGACAGTCGCCGCAAGCGAGCCCTCAAGAGCCTTGATACGCTGCTTGACAGCTTCCGGCGAAGTGTCTGCGGACCAATCCTCTTTAGAGAGGGCTGCGTCGGTGTTGAGCTCAGCAGCTTCCGCCTTGATTTTCCTGGTCAGCTCGTCGTCACTTTCCCCGCCAGCGTCATCGGCGTGCCCGTCCTCTCCATTAGCATCGGGGGTACCTCCACCGCCCACACCACCAGCGGCGTCACCTGTGTTTTTGTTCTTCCCTTTCTTAATCTTGACGGGTGGGTTTTTGACAATGAAGGTAGTCAACTTGTGCCTCATATCGATGCCAGTGCGTTCACCGCAGGCCTTGCAATCCCGAATGATATCCTCCGAGCGTCCAATTTTGAGAATGACAAGCTCGGTTTCTGGGTTCTTGCACGACTTGCACAGGACGAATTTGTCAATGAAGATGTCGAGAAGCTCACGGAGGCGGTTGGCGTCGTGGGCACCATTGACGATGTAACGGTCGTTTTTCTCGTCAAAGGAAGTCTGGGCGCCAAGTTCGCAGCCGAAGAACTTGGTGGTGTAGGTGGGAGGGCGACTGAGGGCACGGGCCACATCAGACATGTTTGGGATGACTGTCTTGATGCCGTTTCCCTTGCCTTCAATTTTGGTGGTGAGGAGGGGCATGCTGTTTCAGTTGGTCAGCATCGGCGATTGGCTTAGATCATAGTAGAACATACCGGTAACGATAAAACTTGTCATCGACGTCGCGGCGGATGTTCACAATTCCTGAAGCCATGCTGGGCAATAGTAGTTATTTTTAACGCTAAGAACAAACATCAGCCTCGTGAAGAGAGATTGAGTTGCCACTTGTTGTCCTTACAAAACTGGTTTTTTGAGACCGAGGCAAGAATCTTTTATCCTTTGGTATAGCAATTGTGGGTCGAAGCATGAATCCTCTGCCTTGACAGAAGAGTATGCGATGAAGGAGCTGGGGGGAGTAGGTTGACGAAATCGTGGTGGTCTCCACAGAGAACGTTCACAGAGTAAGGTTGTTGGGAGAAAAGGTAGAAGAGATGGGGATGGTGGTGGTTTATGAATGAGGCTGTTTTGCACACGTTGGCACCTTACAAAACTTTTGTGACCCTGTGTTTGTCCGCGGCTGTACCCGGAAAAGACCGCCGAACACAGCGGCATGGAGTGCCATTGGAGGAAGGACAGTGGATAACGGATCTTGCTCGAGAACTTCTTACGTTTTTTCACGGCGATCAGCAGCGAACACTGACAGAAGAAATGTACGCAAATTACACACAGCAAGTCCCATGTTCAAAGGGTATCGTATAGAAACTGGTATGTATAGAAACAGTGTCCTAAACTAAAATAGCAACAAAAAAAACCTACTCATTCATGGGTCAATCCTCGTATGTCCAGTCCCCCAAAAACTGTTCACAGAAGGGATACTCTTCGCCAAAGCCTTCATAGTATCCCCATCAATCTCTGCCCCACCTTGCCAAATCGTCAGATCCTCAATCTTCCACTCGGTAAAGCGCCGAGTCTGAATCTCATTTCTAAGATTCTCCTAAGATAAAAAAAACAGGAGGAAGTCAAGGTCCGTCAGAAAGACAAAAATAGCACCAGAGGAACGTACCAAAGACGCAGAAGGATCATTCGAAACAGCATCCCCAACCGAAAGCCACAACCTCCTCAACCCAGGCGCCTTGACAGCCATAACATCAAACAAGCTCACATTCATCCTCCACACATTCAACCTCAAATACGTCAACCCCCTACACCCCCTCAACGCCTCCAACAAATCCCCAATCTCCTCCGGATTCAAATACCGATCACGCACAACGAGCTCCGTAAGCTGTTCTCTCGTCCTCTCCACACACTTCAACAAAATATCCATCCCACTCGGCAAGTTTAAATTCGTAGGATACACGTCCAACGCACATGCACCCGCCAAACACCTTTCATCCTCCAAACACTCCAAAAGCCACGTCCCAAGCGGTCCCTCAGACGTCGGGTCAATAGCCGAGCCCGAAGGGTTCAGCCTCAAATCAACTCTCTTGAGCGTCTTCGAAGACCCACACAGTACTCTCTTCAGCCCCCCCGCATCCTCCCTGAACGCTCTATTAAACGCCGTCCGGACATTCAAATACTCCAACCTCTCAAACGGCCCTATATTCAGAAAAAAGGCGGATAAATCCAGGACCATCCAGGACCACACCTTCAGTGACTCGAGCTGGGGTCCTAGGCGGCACACGAAGGGCGCCACGATATCCACGAGGATCGCACGGTCCGCATCGAGGTCGACGCGGAATAGGTTGTTGGTAAATTCCATTCGGAGATGTTTGAGCGCTGCGAAGGGGGGGTTGGACTCGATTAAGACGCGGTAGCCTTCTAGGTTCCCACACAGTGACGCCGTGTGCAGTTTAGACCCGAAGGAAGCCCATGCGGAGGAGAGGAAGGGGTGGAGGTCGTATTGGGGTGGTAAATCCCATGAATCGATCAATAGTTCTTGGACGTTGGTCATTAAAGGGAAAGCGGTGCTGAGCTCGTTGATGACAACCGTGAATGGGTCTCTTTTTTCATTTAGATGGGGGGGAGATCTGCGTTTGGCTCCTTTGCCGCGGGGACGTAGAAGACGGAGAGCCTCGTTGAGGGTTTGTCTGATTGTGTGCACCGAGCCGGGGGATTCGGGGGCGTGTTCTTCTTTGCCTTTTGGTTTCATTAGGCTTAGTCGGATTTCGAGGCGGCGGACGCGCTGTGCGACTTCTGGGTATCTGTACCGACATCACTATAAGTATCGTGAAGCCAAAACACGAGGCGGGACGTACTGCAATCGAACGAGATGCTTCAACGTATTAATCTTCCTCGTCGCAATCAACATGTCGCCGTACCGTAAATTCATTGCAAGATCATAGAACACCCTGTTGACTGCCAACATCTCCTTGAGAGTGTCATCTGGGATGTACTTTGAGACGTGGAGGAGCACTTCTGTGGGTATGTCGACGCGCATTGTGCTGTTCACAACGATGAAGGACAGATGGAATGTAGGAAATGTAAACCCCAGTAACCAAGGTACCAATTGGCCGTGATGTCCATATCCGCAAAGGACCGCAATTATGTTGACAGTGACAGTGATCTCGAGTCATAAGTTGCAGGGAAGTCTGTGGGGGTAAGTAGACAATAACGAGTAAGGTGGGGCACTTTCTTGGCACTTTCAGTTTCAGAAAACATACAGGAGCTCAGTTAAACCCATACCTACGGTCGGCCGCAAAGCCAAGAAAAAGGCAATGGATAATGCTCTCATGCACGAGGACAACACACAAAACACCAATGCTCGTACTTCATAATTTTTTGTATTTCTCAAGTCCCTCCAATTTCACCCCTTATTACTACTAGGATTTTCTTACACATACATACACACCCCGGGGAGGTATATAAGACCCCCCATGTAGACTTAGCTCCAGCTTTGAAAAAGATACGATCAACCAGCCTGTCCTATTCCGATTGACGCTAACGCCATGGCAGTCAACCTATCGTACTGTATTAAAGCGCTGCTGCGCGCGCTCTCCGATCCCGTATCACACCTAACCCGGGTTTCCAGCAGTTCCTTTACCATAAGCGAAAACGCTTTCCATTCATGAGGGTGCCCATACCAGAATGACTCCGAGTCGGAAAAACCAATCGCTTCGTTTAGCATGACCAGCGATGTCTCAAAACAACCCCACGCTTCCTGAACTCTATCAGCGCTAAGGAGGATCCCAGCATGTTCTTGGGAGATGAATGCTTGGAGGTATGGGCTGTCGCTTAACTCCGCATACTTCCACGCTGTTTCAACAGCCGCCAACGCGTCTTGGAGCTGATGTTGGTGGCAATGCACCCGGGCAGTGATTTGATACGCATATGCGAGGTTCGCATTATTCTTCAAAACTTTCAAGAGAGCTATGGCTTGCCTTAAGGAGTGGAGTGCGTCTGACCGCTGCTTGGCTGTGTCGAGGACGACCCCAAGGGACATGAGGCTCCGTGCATGTACGAGGTTGTCCGAGAGGGTGGCACACCTTGCTTCCACGTCCCTCGCCAAAGAGACAATCTTGGTCTCCTCATCGACGTGTCGGGCGCAGTAGACGAAGTCGATACCGCATTGGCCACCAAATCGTTGAGTGAGGTTATCAGGGGGAAGGGTGTTGAAAAGCTGGTAGGCTTGTTGTAAGTTGGCATAGGCGGGATGGTCGCTGACGTCGTAGGATGTCCTTCCTAGGCACCATAGCGCTGACGCAATATATTTAGTTACCCCAAAGGCTTTGGCTGCTTCTACTGTAAGGCAGGCGATCTCTGGACCCCGCCCCCTGTCGCAGTAATGCCAGCTGAGGGCAATGAGCGCTTTAATAGTCTTTTCAGATAAATCGGAGGAGCTTGAGTGGCTGCAAAGGACAGATCGGATGTTGGTGTCTTCAGCTGCGAGATCCTTTGCATTGACACGGAATCGGGGATCATCATAGCGGCATGCATTGTCTATGATGTATTGGCAACACGACGAGAAAGTCTGGGCTCGGACATCCTCCTCAATTCGATTTTGCTGCTGCATGAATGATTGAACAACAGGTGGTAGGGAGAGCACGGGGGAGGTGGTAGATTGCTGGGCCAGTATAGCTGCAGCTGATAGGCCAGCAATGGCAGAGGGAATCATAGATTTCTCAAGAATTGGGGCCCACCAGGATAGGTTCTCTCTCGTTGTTCCTGCTGGTAACAATGAGAGAACTTTGAGAAGGAGGTTAGCGTTTGAATTTTGCTTGACGAGGGACCCATCAACGGAAAGGCTGATACTCCTGTTCATGCTCTGTTCATTCTGGCCTGGAAGGATGTCGGGCCCGAACTTCAACCACGCATTCAACAACTCCCTCGCTGTTGACTGCCCTTGTTTCCCGAGATTGGCAATGAGGGTAACAGCGAAAGGCATGTTTCCCAGCCTGGCCAGCAACGCCTTGACATCCGGGTCGTTCTCCGAATCCGGGTTGATGTCGCGGAAGATGCGGAGGGATGCCTCTTCGTCGGTAGGTTGGATGAACCTCGACTGCCAAGTGATGGCTTTGTCGCAGGGAGCTTGGCTTCCACGCATGGTGACGAGGATGGAGACATGCTTCAGCATGGCTAGGTTTCGGAGGATGTCACCGACTTTCTGCCGTCCATCGGGTGTGTTCCATGGCGTCTCAAAGTTATCAAGTAGGATAAGGAGGGGTTGGGTGATGGCATCGAGTTGAGAGATGATTTCTGAGAGCGTAATGTGTTTATTTCGTGGTATTTGGAGTTGCGTGTATAAGAGCTCAAGGAGGAGGGTCGCGGATGCCGCTTCGTTGCAGGGGACCCAGAAAAGGTGCTCAGGGGAGAAGTGGGTTTTGATCAAGGCTGATTCGACGACAGCAAGGGAAACTGAAGTTTTTCCCATTCCTCCTGCACCTAGAATGCAAACGCGGGAGGATTCCTCTTTGATGAGGAGTCGAGCAATGTCTTGGACAAGGATCTCGCGTCCGTGAAATATCTCCGGCTTGAGAGGCATTTGTTGCTGAACGACTATGTCTAATTGATCACGCCTCCATGCGACTTTGTCTAGTTTGGTGGCTACGCCTTGCATAAGATTGTGCGTCTCCTCTTGGCAGGATTCAATGTTTTGTAGGCGGAAAGTGTTTCCGAGATCGTTTGTGAACTAGATGATGAAAATGTTGAGCGAAGGCAAGTGATAGAAAACATGAAGAGACTTTAGATACCCTGAGTTCTTCCATGGCAGTTGACAGCCTGTCCACACAGCCTTCGAGCTTCTTCGTATTCACATCTGTGAACATTACTTTCAATTTGTTCTGCCCACCGATTTTCTCCAAATCCTCGTAAATTGTCTTGAGAGTGCTACAAGGTCATCAGAACATCTCAAGCCAAATTCAAAGGGCAAAAACCTCAGTAATTCTCCGATGTCCCCTTCCATGCCCTTCATGGCATTCGCAATTATCATCTTGTTGCGTTCGACATAATTTTGGGCCTTTACGTGATTGGCGATGATGGTCATGAGATTCCTAACTCTAGCTTTGAGCTCCTTGACCCCCTCTCCAACAGCCGATGCGCCCTGGAACTTGTTTAAAGCCCTTCGTTGCAAAGGTGGGGCCAGAAACGACAAACCTCGCATAGTTCAATGATTTTCAGGGTAACTTTGAACGATTCACTCAGGAATGGTACCGGTATCACAGATGATACACTTTGTAGCAGCGTTAGAGCTTCTTTCACACTGGCGGTGAAGTACTCTGTGGTCGTAGGGACAATCGCTCGATTGTTTCCCGACGATGTCTGCGGACATGAAATCTTTCGTAAAAGCTCACAAGGGACAGATGGACCACTCACCCCACTGGACGTCATTACCGCGCTCCGTGTAACCCCAGCTACATCTGCAATGATGATTCGTTGATCCTCCGGCAAGTTTCCGGTACTGCTCTGAACCTCCGGGTGGTCCGCACAATCCGCAATCCTATCTTTCCAAAGCCGTCGCCTGAGCCAAGAAAAACACCCAATGTTGAGCATGATCCAGAACTGGCGCACAGAGGAAGGAAATAGTGTAAAGCGCTCCTAGCGCGGGCACTGCCCGCAGTATGGGCAATTGCAATGGAGCGCATCTGTCAAGCTAAAAATATTCACTGACGACATACGAGCGTGTTATATAAGAAACTCACTCTGAGCCTGGGATCCTTGACCTTGCGAGCACCTTCCCTCGATGTGGATCGTCGTGGTCATTGTGGAAATGAGCTGCCGCGAACGCGGTCGTGACCAGTCATGCAGTGACCTCGAACGACGGCCAAACATCGTCAATCAGTTATCATCTGAATCCAGCAAGGAATTCAGAATCATCGTCGAAAGTCGCCACAGTAACATTTTCTCGCAGCACGTTCGCCGTCTTATTTGCCATCCCAATTACCAATTCGTCAGGTGTGCTGGTACACCTCAGATCGCTAAACTAATTGAGAGTCGAATGAATAATGGAAGAACTCCGGATAAGTTTTCGACCTGTGCGAATCGAGATGGACGATTTAATCGCACATCTAGGTCATGAGATAGCAATTTCACTAAGCAACTGAGAATGTGTACCCCAGTAAAAGCTGCGGAGCAGTTAGAAGCAGAAACAAGCGGGAAGTTGGCATTTTTGTGCGTGATTTTTTTTATTACATCGATGGCTATTTTTAGGTACAGACTGCATTGGCCGGGGTGCGTCGTCCGAACTCAATCCGTGAAAAGTTGTGACACAAAAAGCTCGCCGCGAGAAAGGAAATCAAAGACAAAAAAAGCAGAGGAACACCATATGTCAATGAATAAACACTAACAGGACAAGCATCGACAAAACGCCGGAAAAAGTGGAGAAAGAATCGAGAAGCATGATTCATCAACCATCGTAGAAATGCGTCGGATCAATGTATGGGGGCCCAGGACCAGGTGTCGACTCAAGAATGAGAGACCACGAGTGTCGCACGTACTCATAATTTGACAAGTGCACATACGAGAAGGCAGATTTACCCGAACCAGGTGGCCGTTTTCAAGACGTCCTGCATCACCTGTTCTAGCTGGAGGCAACGACAGCCTTAACCACGTTCCGATGTGTCGCCTTCAAACCGAGTACCCCGAGCACGCTGGAGTATATAAGGCGCCAAATGCTTGGGGGATAATCATTCAAAATTTCTCTCTCGACAAGCTTGTTGAAATCGAGTGAGTGCCCATCTGTAGTTCTCTGTTGAATCAGCTCGAGCTGATCTTTTTTTCTTTTCAAAGTCAGCATCACAATGAAGCTCTCTACGGCACTCAGCATGTTTTTGGCATCTGCCTTCATCCAGACGGCAATGGCAATCCAATGCAGTTCCCAATGTGCAGCTTGCTGGAAAAACAATGACTCGAGCGGCGCCGACATCAAAATCCGTTGTGGAGGAAACCTGGGAGAAAATGAATGCGGCAACAACTGCCCTAGTGGCTACAATGGTATACACTGTGCCAAAGGTGAACGTTGCGTGTGAGTGAAGAAAACTGCCCGAAGAGCTGATAGTGATACTAACGAACTCAACAATTTTGGATAGATGCGAGGATGGCACGAATTGTCCTGAATTTGGCCCATGTCAATGTCCAAGCAAGCATGTTGCTGCCAACGGACGAGCATATGGCTACTCAGTCTGCGGAACGGTCAATTCAGATGGATCGTGCGCTTGATGCTGGAGACCCGTCTTTAAATAATTTGTTGTCGGTAGTATCATCATGTACTCGGGCTGAGCTCGTCGCGGACAACAAGATTTGCTGAGCTCCCTACAAATCGGCGGAAGATAGACGAGGAAGGGATGGATTGACGCACAATTATCCAGGGCGTCTAGCCGACCAGCGTTCACCCACAGATCATGATGGGCTCAGATGGGCCTTGATGAGCCAGTGTGGCTTTTTTGGATATTGAATAAGAGGCTGGCGCCTGCTGAGCGGTAGATATCACCGCCTATGTAGTCGGCTGGCCATGGGAAGAGTGAGCTGAATTAGATGCGATAAATCGAGTGGTGAGGGTGAAGGGACCTACGTCCTGTGGACCCATACTATTTGCTTTGAAGAAGCGGTGGATGTCGGCCCTCTCAATTGGAAAAGGCTTGAAAAGAGGGTAGACCCTTTGAGACTGGACAGGAGACCTGCGCGCGCGGTAATGGAAATCGAATAGAAATGAGTTTAACCTTGAGAAGCCATGGGTCTTGATACTTGACCCTCCGCCTGTGCCTTGCATAATCCCCACCCAAGCCCGCAAACTCATGATATAGTTTTGCGTATACCCCCTTATTGGGCCATTATGCGGTCATCTCTGGTGACGAGGAGGTAAAATTCATGTGTCCCTGTTTGCGGGGTGCCACTCTGCGGATGGATGAGAAAGGAGGGGGTAGTGAAAGAGGGAGGCTGACCTAGCCCACCCTGACACGCGGAGACCCTCTGAGCAATTTGCGTAGGAGAATTGATCTCGCTCCAAGCCGTACACGCTAACTTCTCCCGAACGTGTTGAGATCGGACGTTAAGGGCATCACCAGGGAATCACAGAACGTGCGTTCGATTGTTCATGCCGAGGGAGAGATTCGCTGTGATTGTCTCCGCACCTCTGAAGACATGATTCCCGACGCGTGCTGACGCGCTATCATGAGTCGTTGGATGGTGGGTTGAGAGGAGCGAGAAAAAATTGAGTGACTGAGTACTTGCTGAGTATAATTTCATAATGAACGGACGAAACGAACGCACTGGCAAGTGGTTCATCATGGTGGTGACATTGCGTCGCTCGGGGTGGCAAAACTTGGGGAAGTCGCGGTAATGGAGTTGCTGGGCGCACGAAAATTGAAATAGGTACATACTGCCGGCGTGGCGAAAGAGGTATAATCAGTAAGGCGACGTTGTGTATTGTAGTGAAGCCAGTCATACCAAAAAAACGTACACAAAATACAATATCGTACATGGTACATCCGTAAATCCCAACACATCCAAAACCGACTCCAACACCACCTTCGGCATCAACAAAACCCTCTCCTCAAGCCTCACCTCCCCTCTCTCCTCTCCAAAACCACCCTAACCTTGGAAGTAACCTCGAAAAAAAACATCGCGGCGTGCACATAATTATGCAAACGGCAGCAGTACTTAACTCAGCAATGTTCCTCCAACTTGCATTAGACCACCATCATGTCTACCCTCGATTCCCTAGCGCCCGAACTTATCCAGCGAATCGGTGCAGAGGTATGTACTTATATTCATTGCATCCCTCATCGACAACCCTTTCATTGACTCGCTCGTTTCTTTTTTGTAGTTGGGGAACAATGTTACAGAATTGCGCCTCGTTTGCAAGAGGATGAGCAGCGTACTCGAATCGCACATTCTCCGATCGATTACCATTGACATTACAAAGCCTCGACTTGATGTTGGCATATCACGACTCACGACGCTGGCGACGCAGGGCAATCGCGCGGCGACAGCCACACGCGACCTGCACATGCGTAACCTCTGTCCTTTGGAGGACCCATCCAATCCGAGTCGCTTCCCTACTTTGGTGTTTGACCCAGATACGGGGGGATGGGTGGAGCCGCCGCCCACTCCATGCCCACCTGACGTGAAGATTGCTGAGGAAAAGATGCAGGTCATGCTTCAGGTGGCCATCGCCTCTTTAAGCAACTTGCGAAGTTTCAAGTGAGTCACCCACTGATCTTTTCAAATGCTCCGAATTAACATCTTTCACAAGATGGACTATTGGTAGGTACGATTCAGAGTGGGCGCCAACAGCAGTCATGAATGCCGTCAGAACTCTTCCCCTCCTTGAATCCTTGGAGCTCATTATAGAAGGTTTTAATGGGCCAGACCTCCAGCTACAATCTCTACGTAATCTGCAGAGCATCAAGATATCTGCGCGCAGCAACGATTATTTCATGAAAATCATTGAACCCCTTTCGCTCTTGATTGCAAACTCGCCAAACCTGCACACCCTTCATTTGCGACCTATGTACAGTTCACAAGCATCCCTTCATCGTCTTCTGGGGAACTGCCCTCCAAACCTCGTCTTACCACTACAGCATCTGAGTTTGCAGGGATTCTCACTGAAGCTCGACAGAATAACACTTCCTCATCTCCACCGCCTGACGTCCCTGACACTACACAATTGCTTGACAACGGAGTCTGGCCCAGATGGGGCGCATGTTAGTATGGCGAAAACCTCGCATCGACACGATATATGGGTGGTATTGAAGACGACCGATGTCCGTCTCAACGGCATTGATGTGAACCATGTCTCTACCACCCTTCTCGATTATATCTCATCGTACTCGGGATTGAAGAAACTGCGTCTGGCCTATATAAACTTCGGGACAAAGGAACGATCTGATCTTGCCGCCAATCAATTTTATAACCTTTGCTTAGGCAAGCATACGAGCTCGATTGAAGAACTCATTATTAGGCCTAAGTATGAAGGAGGGTGGTGCTTCGGAGACCAAGCTCTCATTTTGATCTCGCTATGCAAGAAGTTGAAGATCCTCGAGGGTAGCCTCGTCTCGGCAGCCCTCGATGATGCTGCGGTGAGTTGATGCGTTGTTTCCGATGGTGAGGCTGGGCTCACGAAGGGTATAGAAGTCGTTGATTGACGCTACCACCCAACTCCCTCACATGGAGAAACTGACCGTTCATCCTGCGCACTTGGAGGACTTCCGGATGACCTGTGATTACTGGAGTGACGAATCACTGCCGGAGACGTCGCCGTCGAGGAGCCATCTTAAGGATGTGATGACGCGGCTCTCAAGGTGCATTAGAGAGTACGGGGTAACTGAGTCTTCTGAACCCGTTCCCTTGATCCTCGTAGGCTCAAGGAAGTTTATGATGACGCCGAGTGAGGCTGCTGGATGTGCTGGTGGAGCGTTGAGGTATCAGTGCGACTCTGATGAGCCTGAGCCTGACGACAGTGATGATAGCGATTGCTGAACAGTAATTCCGGGGGGGAAAGAACCAGTAGTTACCAGGAATAAATTTAAATAAATATCCACGGTTGGTAATTATCATGGTAGTAAGGCAAAAAACACCCTTAATCCTCCCCAACCCTACGGCCCCAACACATCCAAAACCGACTCCAACACCACCTTCGGCTGCAACAAAAACCTCCTTACAGCTACATAGGTGGCTGGCCCGGACGCGCTCCAGTTGGCGGGGGAATGATTTCACCGAACGGCACTACCCCAGGGAGCACATGGTTTGTCACTCAACTTCGCGTACTTCGACGCTGTACGAACAGCCTCCAACGCGTCTTTGAGCTGGTGTCGGCGACAATGCACCTGGGCGGTGATTTCATACGCATATGCGAGGTTCGTATTATCGTTCAAAACTTTCAAGAGGGTTATGGCTTGGCTTAAGGAGTGGAGCGCATCTGAGTACTGCCCAGCTATGCACAGGACATTCCCAAGGCACACGAGACTCTGGGCATGTACGAGGTTGTCAGAGAGGGTGGCACACCTCGCTTCTACATCCCTCGCCAAAGAGACCACCTTGCTCTGCTCAAGGTAGATTTGGGCACAGTTGACGAAGTCGATACCGCATTGGCCACCAAATCGTTGGGTGACGTTATCAGGGGGAAGGGCGTTGAAAAGTTGGTAAGCTTGTTGTAAGTTGTCATAGGCGAGATGGTCGCGGACATTGTAGTATGTCCTTCCTAGGCACCACAGCGCTGATGCAATGTATTTCTTTACCCCAAAGGCTTTGGCCGCTTCTACTGTACGGCTGGCGATCTCTGGATTCGACCCCCTGTCGCAGTAATGCCAGCTGAGGGCAATGAACGCTTTGATAGTCTTTTCAGATAGATTGGAGGAGGGTAAATGGCTGAAAAGGACAGATCGGATGTTGGCATCTTCAGCTGCGAGTTTCTTTGCATTGGCGCGGAATCGGCGATCGTCATCGCGGCATGCGTTAGCTATGACGTAATCGCAGCACGACGTGAAAATGGCGGTTCGGACATCCTCCTCGATTCGATTTTGCTGCTGCATGAACGATTGAACAACAGGTGGTAGGGAGAGCACGGGGGAGGTGGTGGATTGCTTGACTGGTAGAGCTGCAGCTGATAGGCCGGGAATTGCAGAGGGAATCGATGGAATTGCAAAGGGAAACGATACGCCGGCAATTGCAGAGGGATTAATTTCCTCCATAATTTCCTCAAGAGTTGGTGCGCACCAGGAGACTTTCTCTTTCGTCGTTACTGCTATAGATGATGAGAGAACTTTGGGGGTGGTGGTGGGTTGCTGGACCAGTAGAGCTGCAGCTGATAGGCCGGCAATGGCAGAGGGAATCATAAATTTCTCAAGAGTTGGTGCCCACCAGGATAGGTTCTCTTTCGTCGTTCCTACTGGTAATAATGAGAGGACTTTGAGAAGGAGGTTAGCGTTTGGATTTTTCTGGACGACGGATCCATCGACGGAAAGGCTGATACTCCTGTTCATGCTTTGTTCGTTCTGCTCTGGGAGGATGTTGGGCCCGAACTTCGTCCACGCATGCAATAACTCCTTCGCTGTTGACTGCCCTTGTTTCCCAAGATTCGCAATGAGGGTCACAGCGAAAGGCATGTGTCCCAGCCTGGTCAGCAACGCCTTGACATCTGCGTCTGGTTCGTTCTCCGAATCCGGGTTGATGTCGCGGAAGATGCGGAGGGATGTCTCTTCGTCGGTAGGTTGGATGACCCTCGACTGCCAAATGATGGCTTTGTCACGGGGAGCTTGGTTTGCAAGCATGGTGACGAGGATGGAAACATGCTTCAGCTCGCCTAGCTTTCGGAGGATGACACCGACTTTCCGCTCTGCGTCCGGTGTGTTCCATGGCGTCTCGAAGTTATCAAGTAGGATGAGGCGGGGTTGGGTGGAGACATCGAGTTGAGAGACGATCTCTGAGAGCGTGATAGGCTTGTTTCGTGGTATTTGGAGTTGGGTGTATAAGAGCTCAAGGAGGAGGGTCGCGGATGTTGCTTCGATACAGGGAACCCAGAAAAGATGTTCGGGGGAGAAGTGGTTTTTGATGCAGTCTGATTCAACAACGGCAAGGGAAACTGAAGTTTTTCCCATTCCTCCTGGGCCTAAAATGCAAACACGGGAAGATTCCTCTTTGATGAGGAGTCGAGCAATCTCTTGGACAGGGATTTCGCGTCCGTGAAATATCTCCGGCTTGAGAGGCATTTGTTGCTGAACAACCAGGTGTATTTCATCGTGCCTCCATTTTTCGTCTACTTTGGCGGCTACATAAGATTGTGCGTCTCCTCAAAATATTCGCAAACTAAACGATTGAAAAGTTTGTTGGTTGAGCGAAGGCAAGGAAACATGAAGAGACTTCAGATACCATAAATGTCTCCATGGCAGATGACAGCCTTTTCACGCAGTCTTCGAGCTTCCCCATATTCAAATCTGTGAAGAATAGTTTCAATTTGTTCTGCCCACCGATCTCCTCCAAATCCCTGTAAATTGTCTGGAGAGTGCTACAAGATCATCAGACCAACTCAAACCAAATTTAAAGAAGACAAACGTTGAGAGTTGTTTGGTATCTTGTTACCTTCGTCGTGGTTTTGGGACTTTACATGATCGTCGACGATGGTCATGAGATTCGTGATGGTATCTTTCAGCCCCCCCTCCAACAGCCGATGCGCCCTGAAAGTTGTTCAAAGCTCCTCGTTGTTGCTCTGCGAAAGTGGGGAGAAAAGACGAACCTCGTATAGTTCAATGACTTTCGACGCGACCTGGCACGATTCTTTCAGCAGAGGTACGGGTATAACAGTGGATACACTTTGTAGCAGCGTTAGAACATTTTTCACGGCGGCAGTGAGGTACTCTGTAGTCGTAGGAACAGCCGCTCGATTGTCTCCGGACGATTCCTGCGAATAAAATCGTTCGTAAAAGCTCTCAAGACACAAATGGACCACTCACCCCGTTGTATATCGTTACCGTGTCCCGTGTCTCCTCAACTACATCCAAGCGGATCACTCGTTCAACCTCCGGCAGATTTTTGGTACTGTACTGAACCTCGGGGTAGCCCGCACAATCCGCAATCTTCCTTTTCCAAAGCCGTTGCGTGAGCCAAGAAAAACGCCCAGTATTGAGCATGATCTAAAATCGATGAGCAAGGCGACACATGAAATCGTTCGTGAAAGCTCAAAAGGCACAAATGGTTCACTCACCCCACTGGACGTCGTCACCGCGCCTCGTGTCTCCTCAGCTACATCCAAAACAGTGACTCGTTTGCCCTCCGGCAAGTTTTCGGTACTGTTCTGAAACTCGGTGCCCGGGGTGGTCCTCACAACCCGCAATCTCCTTTTTCGAAAGCCGTCGCGTGAGCCAAGAAAAACACCCAGTATCGAGCATGGTCGAGGATAGATGCACAGCGCAAGGCGGAAGTGTACATGTAGAGCGCTTTTAACACGGAGACCGTTCGGAATACACGCGATTGCAAGGAGGCGCACATCTGTCAAAATGAAAATGTTCACTGACGACAATAAGGGCGTGTTAGATCTGTGTTAATTAAGGAAAACTCACTCTGATTCTGGAATCCTTGACCTTGTGAGCACCTTGTTTTGAGGCTGATCGTCGTGGTCCGACAAAACCATGCAACGAAAACCAAACATCGCCAACATCGACTCATCGAAAGTCGCTCTACAGAATTGCTTCGAACTGTCTGTTAGTATTCCATTGCTGAAGCCTAGCTAAGCTCTTCCCTCTGCCCACTGTAGCGGTACGGCTACGAAGGCGACGTTGTGTATGGTAGTGAAGCACTTTCAAAAAACATACATAAAATACAATATCGTACATGGTATATCCATCTCTAAATCCATCCATAATCCCTCCTCCCTACGGCCCCAACACATCCAAAACCGACTCCAACACCACCTTGGGCATCAACAAAACCCTCTCCTCAAGCCTCACCTCCCCTCCCTCGGACCTCTCCAAAACAACCCTCGTCACGCACCTCAATCCCAACTCCGTCGTAGCAAGCACAGCACCTTTACTAGGCCCATACTCCCCAAACGCATCCTGCATCCCCTCGGGGACGAATAGGGGGTGTAAAGGATCGGCTACGACGACTTCGAAGGATGTTGACATCGTTTCTTGTCTCGCTACTTTTTCGAGTTTGAGTACTGCCTTTGAGATACGGCGGACTTGCTCTGTGAACCGGGCGCGGAGGGCGGAAGCGGTGTCCATGGTGGTGGTGGTGGTGGTGGTGGAGCGCGTAGAGGGCGGGGAGACCGATATCGATCTCACTGATTGCGGTGAGGATGACGGCGTATGTGACGCATCAGGCGGATGATGACACCCCGTAATCAAAAAAATATCCGCAGTCCACCTTAATATCGTATCACTCAACTCATTAATCGAATATTCCGTCAACGTCGGGTATATAGCGTGTACATGCGCATGAGCCAGCGCACGCCACTTTGATGCGGTGGGTTGAGGCTCGCTCGCCCTCATGCGCGCGTAGATCTGGGATAAGACGCCGTCTGATTTCGAAGGGAGCCCGATGCAGAAGGAGGTGAAAGCCCGAGCTATGCAGAGGGATACGCAGGATTGGAGCGCTAGTTGGACGAGGATGGGGTCTTGGGAGTGATCCCTGTTTGAGAGGATCCGGGTTAGGTTTGGCCCGATGCGTGCGGAGGTGTCGTGCATTGCTTGGATTGAGCGTGATGAGGATGCGCCAGAGGAAGAAGGGGAAGGGGAGAAGGAGAAGATCTCGGTGGCTGATGCTGCGAATTGGAGGATCTCGCTGTTGATGTCGTGCACGGCTTGCAGGACCTGGGCGCCGGACCAGGAGTCTATGCGGGTCATGTAGATCTCGGAGGTGCGGGCCCGGGCGCGGTCTTCGTCTGATGAGGATAAGTCGAGGTCGATGTCATCGAGTTGGACGAGGTGACGATGGAGGCTTTGGGATCGTCTGGTGCTTTTCCCATTGACGTGGCCGTTCCCGTTCATTTGTACCCCACGGGCGATATCAGATGCGCTGCTCCGGATATCGAGGGAGCTATGGCGGGGGAACAGATCCTTTGTGGTATGATGGGCTGTATGAATGGCTATATCTGATTTACGCCTCTCCAAAAGCGCCCGTTCACGCTCTCGATCTCTCCTCATCTTTTCCAGCTCCCCATCTCGTGTTCTTAACAGATCCCGTGTTTCTTTTAGTGTTTTTTCGAGCATCTTGCAGCGCTCTTGTAGCCTTGCTACGTCGGCCTGGGAGCGTGCGAGGTCGTGCTTTGTTGCATCGAGTTCTCTGCGCATGGTTGGAATGGGCGTGTTGGCAAGTGAGGAGGTTGGGGAATGGCACGCTGCATCCAAACGCTGACGTAAGGAAGGTGAAGTGGGTGAAGGGGACAATGAGGAGCGATTGACTATAGGGACTGGTTGGAGATAGTCGCGGGCAGTATCGAGGATGGACTGAAGGAGGGCCATGCTACAAGGACAAACACAATTATAGCCAGGGTATACTTTGCTATACCGGAACAGATCGCCTCGCCTCTTACGCATTGTAGCCACGGATGCCGTTCGGGTATAGTTGAACTCCCACAGCTTATACCCACCTCGTGTTCCTTTCTTTTTTTTCTTCTTCTCAGTCCCCACCATGAAGCACTCTAGCGCAGAGACACGCAAACCATACAGCGGCTTATCTCGATCACTCGTAATAGCAATCGACGTCGGGACCACATTCAGCGGGGTACGTTATTACTCATTTCGATCATCATCGTCCCTTGCTAACCCTCTCTCAGGTATCCTATGCCATTCTAGAACCAGGAGAGATCCCGAAAATACACGGTGTTACCCGGTACGCTCGATCTCACCACCACCACTCACACAAGGGTATACTCAACCTCAACGCACAGATTCCCAGGTCAAGAACATGTAGCAGGAAACTCAAAGATCCCCTCCATCATCTATTACGACAAGAGCGGGAAACTCATGGCCGCAGGCGCAGAAGCAGAGAGCAACTCTATCCTAGCACAAGCAGAAGACGAACAATGGATCAAAGCAGAACTGTACGCCCTCTTCCCCTCCCTCCCCAACCCACTCACATCCACACAGCTTCAAACTCCGTCTCCGCCCCCGCACAATGCAACTAAACATGAACGGCATGCGCCTCTCCCCTCTCCCAAAGCGCAAAACAGCAGTGCACGTCTTCGGCGACTTTCTCGCCTACCTCTACCGCTGCACCCGCATCTTCATAACAGACACACACGCCAACGGCGCTGCACTCTGGAACGCAGTGGAGAACGACATCCAATTTGTGCTGTCCCATCCGAACGGCTGGGAAGGCGCACAACAGACAAAGATGCGGAGGGCGGCGGTGTATGGGGCTTTGATACCTGATACGAATGAGGGCAAGGCGAGGATTAGGTTTGTTACGGAGGGAGAGGCGAGTTTGCATGCGTGTGTTTTGAATGGGCTTGCGGCGGATGTTCTTTCTGTATGCTTCTTTCTCTTCTTTTCCCTCTTTATTTATTTACCTGTTGGTGTAGAACCCATCGAAACACGGATTCTTGATCGCTGATGCCGGAGGAGGCACCCTGGACATCAGCTCATACGCTATTCGAGGCACAGCGCCACTTGTAATGGAGGAAATCGCTCCTCCCGATTGTACGCTCTTCCCTCCCCCCATCCCATCCCTCCTTCCCAGCCTAACCACGACACACATCCACAGGTATTTTTGCAGGTTCTGTATTTGTAAGCCGACGCGCTCGGGAATTCTTAGAAGGTTCCTTTTCTTCCCTTCATTCTTTTCTGAAATCCAAATTGATTTGTTCAATTGCAACAGAGAAATTAAAAAACTCGAAATACGGCACCCCAGACGCCGTAGAACACATCACGCGCAAGTTTGACGAGACGACGAAGAGGCTGTTTAGGGATCGGAAGGAGTTGCAGTTTATTCCGTTTGGGTCGCCCCTTGATAAGGATTTGAGTGTGGGTATTCGAGGTGGGCAGTTGAAGTTGACTGGGTGAGTTTCTCTCTCAAAAGAAAGAGAAAGGATGTTGAGCTGATTGTGTTGCCGAGTGTAGGAATGAAGGTATGTTCCATCCTTTTGGGATTTTTGAGGCGTGGTTAAGCGTGATTGACAGTTGCGAATCTGTTTGAGCCTTCTGTAGACGGTAAGCCTGCCCCGTTCACTCATCATATGCATATACTAAGATCCCCCTAGCCGCCGTCACAGCTATCAAAGCCCAAATCGACGCTTCCAACGGTACAATCAAGGTCTCTCTACTCCCTTTCTTACGTTCACCCACAACTGACACTGCTGAACAAATAGTCGGTTTTCTTGGTAGGAGGCTACGCTGCGTCTCCTTGGTTGTTCACGTACGTCTTCTCTCTCCATCGATCTACCCCACGGAACCTCACCGAATTCCGAAACGCTAGGCAACTCCAAGAACGCTTATCACCATTCAACGTAGCCGTCAGTAGGCCAGATACACAAACGTTCGTTCCTTTCTCTCTTCCTTTTCCCTTCCCCTCTTCCTCAAATTCCCACTAACACCCACACCCGAAAAAACAGATCCAAAGCAGTAGCAGACGGCGCGATCGGGTTCTACTGCGACCACCACGTCGCGGCGCGCATGTCCAAATTCATGTATGGCGTCGAGTTTTTGAGGGAGCTGGACACGCAGGATCCGGAACATGTTGCGAGGAAGGAGAGGCTTTGTGAGCTTCCGAGTGGGCCGAAGCTGTTGCCTGATGCGTTTGATTGTATTTTGTCGAGGGTGGGTTTTTTCTTTTCTTGGATCTTCCTCTATTTTTTCTTTCTTCCTTGGAGTATTCATCTCTTTCGCCTTTTTCCTTCTTCCTTGCTTGGATCTCTCACACTCTCTTTTTTTTCTTCCTTGGATTTCCTTTTGGCATGAATGCTAATGGTGTGAATGACAGAGTGTAAAAGTGAAAGAATCAACGGTGTTCACGCGAAAGTATTGTACGGAGCTCACGAATTTGTCTATGCTCTCCGTGTTTGAGGTGGAGATTTGGTGTTATAGAGGCGGGAATGTCGTTCCTAAATGGATTGAGAGGCAGGCTGGTGGGTTTCTTCCCTTTCGTCCTTGCGTCTTCTTTTTTATCTGATGGACTTTTTCGATAGATGATTTTTCGACACTGTGTGTCGTACGCGCGGACTTGTCCCTTTTAAGCGGAAGTGCAGAGCCCAAGAAGGGAAGGGGTGGAAAGACGTATTGGACCATTGTGTTTTCTGTTGAGATTCATTTTGGGTTGACGGAGTTCAAGGCGAGGATCAAGTGGATGGATAATGTATGTTTTTATTTTCCTTCATGTTACTTCAAAGTGCTGATTCAACTTTTTTCGTCGTTGAATAGGGAACCACGAAATAGTACGTTCTCTTTTTCTTTTCACCCTTTCGCAAATTTCTGACAAAAAGTTACTAGTGGCCCAGCAGCGATAGTATACAACGAACGCGGGCACAGGGCAGAAGAAGACGAACCAGACACCTACCCAGAGGACGACGTCTCCTCTTCGTACAACAACACACCACGCTCAGAGCGGCTGCGTTCAGAGCCTCCCTCTCGTGCACGCACACCTACAGACTCGTACAACTCCGAGCGAGAGGGCAGTATCAGACGCGGACGGGAGACACCCGTTTCTGCTATACCAGAGATAGTCCGTGTAGAACGCTCATTGTCGTCCAAGGGCCCAAGCGGCATTTCTTCACCTTCTGTGCACTCGCGCGCCCCTGCGCATTCTTTGAAGAGCAGTGATGGGGATAGAACGGGGAGTGAATCGGATAGGAAGAGGGCGGCGTTGGATAAGGGGAAAGAACGGGAGAGGGACTGGGACAGGGATTATGATAGGACACCTGTTTCCAGGGCTGTCTCGAGGAGTAACTCGATCGCTGTGCCGAAGCCTGGTGGGGGATTGGAGGGATATGCGAATGGACATGGATCGTCTAGGCCTGTGACTCCTGCGACTGCAACTGCCGCGTCAATATCAATGTCTCGAGCTTCGTCTCAGAGAGGCAGGGATCGTGCAGTAGGAGCAGCAGAGGTACTACCACCCGTCGAGCAAGCTCCTCCTGCAACTTGGGAAGCTCCACCTAGATCTGCGATTGGTGATCAACATCAAGCGCGCTCATCCCCCCTTTTCGACCGACTCAAGTCCCCCTTGGATTCAACAGCAGCAGACTCGACTGCCATCTTTGGTGCACCCCCACCCGCGGAAGAACTCCCTCCCGCTGGGTCCATGTCCTTGACGCCCTCTGGAGAAGGACATAAATCCATTTTTGGCACTCCACGATCCGCGTTTGGAGATACCTCCAAGTCGATGTTTGGTACCCCCAAGTCTGCGTTTGGAGACAACGCTTCGAGGTCGATATTCGGTGATAGTGCTGGCGCGCCTAAATCGATATTCGATGAGCCTTTGACGTCTGTGGTTGGGGAGACTAGTACGACTGTTGTTGCTCCTGCTTTGTTTGATGAGAATCCTGCGGCGTTGACGGGAGAGCAACAACCTTGGGAAGATCCTGCTTCTGCTGCACCCATTGTTGAGTCACCCACTATTACTACGAAGGGGAAGAAGAAGAAAAGCTCTGCGGCTGCGTCTAGGAACTCACCTGCTACCCTCGCCAGTAAATCCCCCTTCGCGCAGGCTTCTGAACCGCTCGTTGTCGATCCCCCAGCTCCAGCTGACATCGCTGCTGCTCTCAACTCGCCTTCTCTTGCCTCTGCTCTTCTTGGGTCTGGACCTAGGGCTGCTGGGTCCCCCATGCTGTTGAGCCCTTTGAATCCTGCTGCGCAGGAGGTGGCTGCAGAGAGTTTTGCGCAAGACAATTGGGGGGCAACGGCGTCGCCTAAGGTCTCAACGCCCGCCGTGCCTACTACACCCGTTGCGGCTGCTACTACACCTGCCGTCGAGGAAGCGCCCCTTACACCGGCTGATGAGACTGTCAAGGAGGTTGGTGGTATAGGGAAGGGCAAGAAGAAGAAGAAAGGGTCGGCGGCGACTACTCCTGCAGCTACTACACCTTCAGCTAGGTTGGCTGCGCTGGAAGCTGAGGAAATGGCTGAGGAGGAGAGGAAGAAAAAGGAGAAGGAGGAAGCAGAGGAGAAAGCTAGGAAGGAGAAAGAGGATGCGGATAAAGCTGAGGAAGCTAGGAAGAAGAAGGAAGCTGAGGAGGCTGCAGCTGAGGAGGCTAGGCAGAAGAAGGAAGCTGCAGCTGAGGAGGCCAGGAAGAAGAAGGAAGCTGCAGCTGAGGAGGCTAGGAAGAAGAAGGAAGCTGCAGCTGAGGAGGCCAGGAAGAAGAAGGAAGCTGCAGCTGAAGAAGCTCGGAAGAAGGAGGAAGCTGAGGCAGCCAGGAAGAAGGAGAAAGAGGATGCTGCTGCCGCTGCCGAGGCAGCCAAAATCGAGAAAAAGAAGGCAGATGCTGCTGCCGCTGCTGAGGCAGCAAGAATTGAGAAGGAGAAAGCAGATGCTGAGGCGGCAAGAATCGAGAAGGAGAAGGCAGATGCTGAGGCTGCTAGGATTAAGAAGGAGAAAGCGGATGCGGCTGAGGCGGAGAGGAAAAAGAAAGAGGCAGATGATGCTGCTGAAGCAGCTAGGGTTGCGAATGAGGCAGAGGAGGCAGCAAGGAAAGAGCAAGAGGCGAAAGACAAAGCAGCAGCAGAAGCGAAAGCTGCCGAATTGTTCAACTTCGACACAGGCGCAGATACTGCCCAAACTTCCGTCTTTGGTGGAAGTGGTGGCGGCGGTTTGTTCTCTACCTCTTTGTCAGCTCCAGCATGGGATGACGATAACATGGGCTGGGGGACCACGACTACGGCGAAGAAGGGCAAGAAATCCAAGGGAAACACTCCAGCAGCAACGACTCCAGCAGCTACCACCCCCTCCAAGTTGTCATCTTTTGGATGGGGAGGAGGAGCATTTGAGGGTTCATCAGTGTTCGCTGATACGCCTGCGGACAATACGGACACGGCGGGTGGCTCTGTGTTCGACAACATCGATTTCAACTCTGGATCGTTTGGGGCTGGTCTTGGTGCATCATTGGGCGCAATCGGAGGCGGCACTCAAGAGACTGGAGAGGCCAAGCCTGCCAATGGATCCGGGGAAGCGACACCCATACCACCACCTGTTGCTGCTACTATCGAGGAAGCCCCTGCTGCGGAAGAAAATGCTGATCCTGATGCTGTTGGGGATACTGAGGAGGTTACCAGCCCCACAGGCGAAGGGGATGGTGGGGTTGAAGGAGAGGGTGCTCAAGGACAGGAGGAGGACGAGTGGAGCGGCCTTCCAGTGACTAGCAAGAAGAAGAAGGGCAAGAAGGGCAAGAACAACCAGGATCCTGCCCCTGCCGAGGACAAGACTGAAGGTGAAACGACCACTGCGAAGGAACCGGAGGCCATGGTAGGGGGTGCAAAGAAGAAGAAGAAGGGAAAGAAGTAAGCCAGTGAGGGTTCAGGTAATCACGGCCTAGATTTTGCTTGATTTTTTGGATGTGCGGGCCCCATCTTTTCACTCTACTATACCTGACATCACACCATGGGATTTATGCTTTATACCTTTGTTACACAGTTACCCCTACTATCGTAACGACTGTACAACGAATTCACGACCTTTATGTCTATTGGGGTTGAGTACTCAGTTGCCAGTTTCGTCCTCCTTTCTAGTACGGTAATATTTCAGTCCAGCTGAAGGACCCTGCGAGCCTAAAGACCAAGTTCAGAGACCGACGTGCACAAGGCACGGTTTCGGTTTCGGTCATTTGGAAGCGATCCCTGTACTTGTTCTCAACCATGACCACCTTCTGGCATTGCGCCATCAAGTCAACAAGAGACTTTGCAGCTGGAAAGTACTATCAAGCTCACCATGACCACGTTCAAGTGAGTCCCAACCCGACTAAACCAACCCTTGCTCATCCACGTATTCTTCCGGCCAAGTAAGGGTGCGCTCAGGGTTTGATCTTTCCTCTCGTCCTGGCACGAAACCTGCTCGACCAAACTTTGGGGGATAAATTCCCATCTACGAGCCTACAGGCCCAATTACAACAGGGGCAATCATACAATATTCGCAAAGGCCTCCTGTATATTGTCGCCTGGACTTCACGCGCTTCCTCAAGCCAACCTACGCGTGCAGTTAACAGAAAAGAAGCCCGAACGATGGTGTATGTCGCGCCAAATCCCTCCATTCCCGGGCATCTTCTGGACATATTTAAGAAGTTCAGATCCAAATTCAACATCATGCAAAAGTTGTCGACTGTCCCGTCCTCAAAGAAGCAGGGCACCTCTTGAGCAAAGACGAACAGTTGAGGTGTATGGCACTAGGCCATCTTGACCAACTTGGTGCGTCGTCACCTCCGGATCAATAAAGCTTGGCTGGGAGGGCACGCGGAAATCTTTGGGAGGTACCCGAGGCTCGAGAACCATCGAAGAGACTTTGAGAAGGACATGACGGATGTCGTCTCTTGGAGATTTTGGGCCTCGTTGTATCCTTTACCGTGTGAAGGAGAGGCACAAGTATTACCGATGTTTCTTGATGACTTCGCAACTCCTGGAGTAATGTTTTATACGCTGGCACTGATGATTGGCCTATGGCGGACGGGAATGTGGGATATAGAAATCCCTTCATCTGTAGTTTTCATTGAGAGTAGTTATGATTCAACATGGTTACATACCATCTTTCGGAAAGAGTGTTTGAAATTTCTCCGATTGCTCCCTGCATGTGACAGACCAAGATCAATATGGAACGAGTCGAGAAAAAAGCAAAACTGACCGCTTTGGAAGGTCTTCATTTGTCATGTCACAATGCCCTAGTTCCCGGATTATTTCGTTCTCAATCCAATCTCCAATATGAAGAACAGATTCAGAAATTTGTGCCTCCGGAGTCCTGGCGACATCCCCAACATTCCAAACCTTAGACATCCACCACTCTTTACAAGCCCTCACCACCGTAGAATTAAAATCAGACCTCCCACCCTTAGGTGGGTCATCTTGAACAGGTGAATGAAACATGTGATCCCTGGTGCTCTCAACATTCCACCATCTATGGAGAATAGTTGGGTCCACCCCACCCAGCCAAGAGTCTTGAATAGAATGGTAGTAAGAAATGTAGGTTGTAAGACGGGAGAGCATTGGCATGAAGATCAGTGGGTCCTCATTTAGCATAGCAAGGAATGTTTTACCCAACATGGCCTTTTTTAGCATGAAAAGTTTAAGAATGTTGAAGTGGATAGAGTAAGGGATATGAAATGGTTCGGATAAGTTTTGGTCTGGGTAGTTAAAGTTGTATTCCTGTAAGAGAACTGCGCCACGTTGTGGAATGACTCGGTGCTGCAGGTGGGCTTGTCGAATTTGCTCTTCACAGAGTGTAGGATCGAAAGCGTAAACGGTCCAGTCAAAGTCTATGACAACTGAGTGGGCCATGGAGATTGACCGTTGGCAATGGTTGAACGTTGAGGATGAATAGAAGAGCGCCCACGTGACGTCACACGATCGCGTATGTCACATGTCACTTTCAGTTCTGGACAGGGCCAGAATGGTTCGGTGAAATGTCCTTCTGAATGGGCTTTCTTCAATGAGATGGTGGATACGTGTTACCGATGGGCATTTCATAATTGAGCAGTATTTAACTGAAACTGGACCTCATTGTATGTATGAAGGAGACGCGCATTGGGGCTGTCGTTGATTGAGAGCGCTCTGGGTGGCTACCTGAGATGAGTTTGTGGTTGAGCGACTTCTGATTCATACGTTGACAAGGCTTGATTGAATCAACATTTCATATGCTGGGACTGAGCGGACGATAATGAAATCCCTTCAGCTGTATTCTGTAGTTTTCATTGAGAATGATTATGATTCTACATGGTCGCCATGCTTTGGAAACAATGTATAGAATTTCTCCATTTGCTCCCTGCGTCAAGATCAGCATGAAACGAAACGAGAAAAACCCAAAACTGACCGATGCACACTAGCACACACATACTGGAAAATAGGCCTCGCCCACGCCGGTGCCCAACCCTCAATCCTCTCCGTCACCCTCGTCCCCTTCACCTTTTCCTGCCCTTCCCCAGGATCGACCTCAACCTCCTCAAGGAGCCTCAACTTCCATATTGTAATCCCAACACCGTCCGCGATGGTCTCATGCACCGTATAAGCACTGGTCGCACCCTCCTCGAACTCAGCCCAGCAATACGTCCCCGTGAGCCGAACATGAGACTTGATGAGACCAAATAAGAGAGGCACGGTTTCGGTCATTGTGAAGTGTTGTCTGTGTACTTCTTTTCCTCCAAATCCATGATCACGATTATCTCCAGCTGCAAGCGCAGGTGCAGCACTAGGATCCAAAGTACGAAACCGCGTTCCGTCGCCCAGCCCACCTGGGCCAGTGTACACCGTGTCCTGCTGGAGGAGTACAACGCCCGTGACGACCTTGCAAAGACGACAGATGCGCTCGTGCCCTTCTGAAGTTCCGAGGATCGATAATGTTTGGTGCAGAGGGAGGGGGAGGGTGACAGTGTGGTTTGAAAGGAAGTTGGGTTTGGGCAGGTTGGGCGATGGAGAGGACATGCTGCACGATGTGATGGTTGCTTCTTTGCATAAAGGGTTAACCGTTATATATCGGTGTGTCGGTCATTCCGGGCGTTGAACGTAATGAGCCAATTGATGGGCATGCAGAAGACTCTTCGATTGATGCTTCGGTAGAGTTTGAGTGAATGGTGGCACTGGTTGATGATTCGTGGTCTCGCCTCATTTAATACGCTGACTGGTGACCAATCCATTCAAAGCCTTCATAGAGACCATAGCTTCATAGCGACGATGGAATTCCTGAGAGATAATAGAGTTCCACGGACTGGGCGGCTGCGACTCTATGCGTCGCCATCCTTCGAGATGAGAGAGTTTTACAGGCTGGACGGCTACGACTCTATGCGTCGCCATCCTTCGAGAAAAAAGTATGGAACTGCTCCATATATATCCTGCAAGAGACGGGCAAAGATCGTCACCATGTATACATGTCAAGAAACACAAAACCCACCGATGTGTCTTACGTGCCCTCTTTCCTTTCCGTCATACTAGCCAACCCCATCCGATAAGGTCTCGTACAATGCCTAGGCATTGCTTGCGCCCTACTCAACCCAAGAAAATGTTCCAACTAGGTGAACGTCCGATTTCATGAGGCCGACTAGCACAGGCACAGTTTCGGGTCATTTCAAAGTGTTGTCTATGCCAAATTTTCCCTTCATGCGCGCCTTCACCTTCGGCTGCAAGCAAGCGGTACCAGGATCCATGGTACAAAAACGCGTCCCATCGTCTAATCCCCTCGGGCCACCGAACACCGTGTCCCGCTGGAGGAGTTCAAAGCCCGTGCATAGCTTGGAGAGGCGGCAGACGCGCTCGTGGCCTGAAGAGATTGCTAGGATCGTGAATGCTTCGTGAAGGGGAACGTTCAGAGTGACGGTGTGGTTTGAGAAGGAGGCGGACATGTATGGGGACGAAGATAGATTACGTCAGAATATGGTACGGGTCTTTTTTGGGTCTTTTCTCTCCGTTGTTAAGGAGGAAGGGTCCAAGGACAGTCTTGCAAACTGATTGACGCCAGCGTTTTGCAAACCCATGGTATGATGATTCTGCTTGTCCTTTTCGAGACCTGTTCTTACCTGAGGTAGACTTACCTTCCAGGGATACATCATTGACGTAGAAAAAATCCAGAAATTTCTGAAAACCTCGGATCCAGACGACGGGAGGATCGACGACGTTTTTTGCCGAATCCTCGACGCTTTCGACTTGGAAGAGATCCTATCTACTGTGTGACCGCGATGGAAAGAGCTTTACATTTGTTTTGCTAAGTCCCGATGCTTATGCCGGTAACATAAAGACATTAGAAGCCAAGGGGTTGTAACCGGCCATGCATCGTGCCATATGACGGCCTTCTTTGACAGAATCAAGTCGCGTGCCTCTCTGCCTGATTCAACCAGTGTACCAGCAGCGGAAGTGTGATGTTGGCAATTGGACAGGAAAGATGTGGGTAGAAGCGACAGCAAGAATTCTATCTAGGTGGCATCCTACTGTACACAGCCGGGTCGCATTTTCACAGACGAGTTTATCGCAAAAGTTTTGAAGTTTGTCTAGTTCTGCGCATTCGCCATTTTCCATCTCGCCCCTCCAAAATTGCGAGGCCTTGGAGGAGATTATGGGTGTGGTGGCAGGTATTCTATTATCCTCCAGAATATCTCAAAGTTCTGCTGCTTCAGCCATCTTCACTTGGGAAGAACTCGAACATTGCTGCAGTCAATTCCCTAACCAGTTCATTGTCCTTGTCAACCGGCTAGTGGTTCTTGCAATCATTAATGTATTGACGAAAGATGGGGTGACAAAAAATCACGGGAATTGTTGCATCGGCATGCCGGGGTAGACTCCATACGACTTTCTGAGTATCATCTTCCTGAATCTTCGAAAAATTTGCAGGATCTCCAAAGCTGAAGGATCCATCGCAGGAAGTTTGGCATTGAACTGCTGACGCTCCTTGAGAAGGCTAGGCAAGGAGGGAAGGCGGGCCCCATTTTCTGCGAGCAACATCTCCGCTTCAGTCACCGTTGAAAAGGAGGCACGGGTACCATACTCACCTACTTAGCAGGAATGGAACACTTCCCAAGGACCAAATAGGGTGCCGCGACCTCATCAAGCCTAGGAGCGTGTTTTTGAGTTTGACAACTTTGCCCTTAAGAAAGGCAACAGTCTAGTCATTATCAAGTTCGACCTCGACAATGTGTTGATATGGCTTGTCGCCAGGCTAGACCAGATACACTAGCCTTAATTTAGCGCCAGGCATTACCTGTAGACGATTGACCGTGGCACAAAGTCGAGGTCTGTGTGACAGAGGAAAGGATGCCCGCCAACATTCATTGGTCTTGATTATGAATGGTAAATTTGCTGATGCGGTTGAAAGAAATTGGTTGACTGGGGCTCGATAACGGTAGGCAGATTCGCCGGAAAGTTCTGGTTTTCTCGTGAATGCTTGTTACGTATGGTGTGCACGAAGATCGTTCACCCAAGTGCGGGTACTGATACTCCAGATACCTGCCACTAACTTGTGGAAAGTGCAATCCGCAACTTGTAACAAGGTAAGTGGACGTGACAACGATTGGACAACGAAATGAATACCGTAGGACAGACTCTATAATCGCCCAAGGACGACCGTTACCTTCATCTTCTCAAAAGTTTCAAGGCTGCGCTGGTGTCGAGGCGAACGGCTGCTCAGATCGACTTTGACCAGTGAACGAAAGTCACGGTGAGAGTGTAGTATTCGTTGGGTTTTCCAAAAAATCACAGACCTGAGACATCTATAGGCATTGGATAGCGCAAATACTTTCATAACAATTTTTTCGCCATATGATTAATTTTTTTGTGCGTTGACTGGTTTCGGGTCGATTTCATGTTTTGATGTCATGGTTGAGAGAAACAACGTTGACAGAGTAAACACACACAACCACAAGTTTCTCAACCACCACCAGCACCGCACCAGCAACTTACGTTGGGACGTACGTCCTCGGTCTCCTTATTCATTGCTAAAACCAGGTTACTGAAAGAAAAACAGCCGGAATGACTGACCTTGACCTTGACCTTGACCTCAGCCCTTTCAGGACGCGATCACGTTCGGATTTCGCAAAAAATGGCTCACAACCACAAATTTTCATTTACGCGTCTACCGACGCGTTTGCGCCAATAATACAGACTTTCTTACGCGTTGTGAAACCACACGTGTTTGAGGGCGAGATCGGACGCGAAAATGGTCGACATCTAGTCCAGATCCCAACCGCAGGGACGATTCCAAGGCGTTAGCCATAAATTTATCCAACCCAGTCCAAGACACAGATGGTCAGCCCCTAGCTCTGGCAGAGTATAAAGACCCTTTCAGGACTTCCCCCGCTCTCTTTAGCAACCTTACACTCGGCACTCGCATCAAGCATACCGCCATTGAAAGTATACTCTGCTACCCAACCAAGCTCTACTCTTCAACTTCACACCTGATATAATATGTTCTCTGTTGAATCTTGCCGTATCTCTTTTCCAAATTTGTCGGACACGCCCAACGCTGAAGAGGAGGCGGAGATTGCCCGTGCAGTCGCAGCGATTGTAAGGTCACCCATCCTCATAGGTTCACCATGCTGACCCTATTCTATCAATTCTCGTTATAGGAGATGATGTCCATGTTGTCCGAAGCACCGAAACGTCTGTCTGTGCAACAAGAAATCCCAGCTGGAGCGGATGAGGCGGAAGGTGTTGTATTGACGGAGGTGAGTTTGCATTCGTTCATTCATACACGACCACATACCTATCCCCTATCTCAGGACGAGGTATGACTTTGAGGCATTGAAAGTATGTTCACCTTCTTACACCTTGATACAGGAACGCGACCAGCTTCTGCTGGCCTTCTCGGACTCTGGCCTGGTTCAAGATATTTGCCTGTCCCCTGTAATCGACCTCCCTGGCGACGTCTCGCCGATCGAAGTCAGCCCCGTCGAAGCATCTCCTGCTCGCCAAGAAATTTTGCCTCAAGTTGTCGACGACATCTTCAATAATGGACCCTCAAGCCATGAGGAGTCTGAGGAGAGTGATATCAGTGCGGTTAGTCGATCCCTATCTTAGGACCGCATCATTATCTAATTGACATCGTTTTAGGGATCGGCTTTCGAGGAAGTTCAGCTCGTATATATGAACAGGGGAGTTCAACCCCAAGTCGCAGCAGCTCGCCTCCTGGGCCACTATGGTGTTTCCTCTGTGCACCAAGCTCGCGCAAGAATCTTACAGGTCACCAACCCCGACGCCTGCTCCTCCTCCTCCAGTTCCAGTTCTCATGTTCCCATCCGTCGTGTCCCCCAGGGCCCTCTTCGTCGCCGTACTCGTCAGCCACTTCGGGTGGTGAATGCTGGCCCTATTCTGTCCACCAGCAGCGGCTTCGCTCCTCTTCCCAGACATTTCACTCCTCCCCCACAACAGGAATACGTAGCTCCCATCCGCGCCCCCATCGCTGGGACCCCTATTCGCGGAGTTGTAGTGAAACGCAAGCCCGTACCCAAGATCTCTATAACAACGAACGACCCCTCCTTCGTTCTCTCGTCCTCTTCTGAGTCTTTTGTTATCCATCGTGCGAGGAGGGTTCAGAATGTGGCCGATCCTCTCGCCGGCCTCGCAAACCAACGAAACGACACCATCCGCAACCTACAGCTCCGCCGAATTTTGGGCAGGGGCGCCCAGGGACAAGTGTACCTTGCTCACGGGCCCGATCCATCCAAACTCCTCGCGGTCAAAGTCAACCCCAAACATGCGACGGAGTGCGTAAGAATGCTCCTGCAAGAACAGCGTCTTCTCCATCGTCTGAGGGAGTGTCCCTTCGTTCTGGACTTACAAGCTAGCTTCCATGATACAGAGAACTTCTATATTGTTACAGTTCGTGTCCCTGTTACAACATACATGCATTCGACTCATCTCATTATCATTCTTTTCAGGGGTTCCACTCAGGAGGCGATTTGCGGCAGTTGTTGAAGAAGAGGAAGGTATTGGACCTTGCCGCGGCAAAGTTCTATCTGGCTGAAGCGGTACGTGCTCGGCTCTCATTGATCTTCAGGCTCTGATACAACGCACAAAGGTCTGCGCCATCAACTATATTCATCGCAACGGCGTTGTCCACCGCGATATCAAGCCAGCCAACATCTTGATAAAAGGCGACGGCCACTTATGTTTAGCCGACTTCGGCTTATGCAAGGACTGGATGTCCCAAGATTTATACGGCGAGGACGTAGAATGCCTGGATCATGTGCACGGCCGTGATCACACAACCGACGAAGAGACCCAGATGACGGATGCCTTCGTTGGCACCATTCCATATATGTCACCAGAGGCCATTTCACGGGAACCGTACTCTTACGAGACCGATTGGTGGTCTCTTGGAATAACCTTCTACGAGATGGTTACTGGCGACGTGAGTTCTTCGCTTATGATGCATATTGTATCGTTGATCAGGTGTCTACAGATCCCATGGTGTGCCAACACCTTCGAAGACACAGTTCTTCTAATAAGAGAGGCACCACTCCCATACGAAACGGAAGCGGACGTGGACGTGGACGCGACGACCAAGGATTTCTTGGAGAAGGTGTGTTCATTTGAGGTGACTCTCTCTTCACCAACTGACCTCTGTGCTTGTCAGCTTCTGCGGAAAGAGCCGAGCAAGCGGCTCAAATTTCCTGGGATAGTTTCCCACCGCCTCTTCGACGACATGTAAGCATACATTCATTTGTGTTCTTTTTTCCCACTCTGACCTGAACTGATAGCGACTTCGACGATGTCGAGGACTACCAGCTCACTCGTGAGTCTTCGTTGATACACATCCAAAGCACATCTAACATATCGTTTCACAGCCCCGTGGGTTCCTTCGACGAACGTATCGCAGTTGGCTTCAAGCCTTCTTCAGTATCTCGAAAAGGTTTTCGTTGGGGAACCATACGCCGAGGGAAGTGACCCATTCCCTGCATACGAGTACGCGGGCGACGTCTTACGGGAGCTCGACCTGTCAAAGCCTCAATCCCCAACTGAGGAGTGTGCTATGGACAATGCAGCGGAGCCAGTGGTTTCTCCGCCTGTACCATCAGTATCAACCCCTCCGATATCCTCGACGGCTGTTCATGATACGTCCAAGCAACTGGACTCTGTTCTTGGCCCATCGCAAGTACCTCTGCCACTATCTTCTGCCCTCCATTCCGATGCATCCAATCAATCGGATTGTATGCCAGAACTATCGGACTCGGCTCTTTCTGTGAGTCCGACTAAGGAAGAGAAGTCTACTGGGCCAGTCGTCCCCAAGGCGCAAGAATATTCCGTTCACGATAGCCTTCAATTCTCCGACGCTCTCTTCGCTACTCCGAAGGAAAAGGGCATACTGCTTTCACTCTCAAAGCTTCAACTCAAAGAAGCTCCGCAACCGAAGAAACCCACCTTGGTGCAAGGACCTCTTCCATTACGAGCCACCGTCCACACCCCAGCCTTGGCCCAACGGGATACTTCCATCTACCAGGACTTGTCTTCTTATCTACGGGTTTCTCACTCTCCTCAGGCGGCGTCTATCATCTCAGCCATCTCCGAGGAATCGGATCCTCTTTTCTCTGTTAATCTTTTCGACGAGTCGACGTCTGATGTAACTTCCTTCGCTACTGTTCCCTGCCTCGACTACCACTATCCAAGGCCCGATGCTAGCAAGGACGTTTCGGAGAAACCCAAGAGGCAAATCTTCCGATGGATCAAGAAAGCGGGCGGGGCTATCGATAAGTTCATGAACAGGGTCGCTCACCGTTTCAAAGTCTAATATGCCATGCTACTGTCTGCCTTCAGCTTGACTCTCATCTCTTCCAGTCTCAATCGGCTTTTCTCGGTACAACTCGAGCGCCATGCCCTCAAGCCTACAGGGGATCTACTCTTTTCTTGTCTAGTCGCTACTTTTTTCGGTTTGGGATTTATTCTTTGGCCTCTGGGTACGCATCGCCTCGAGCTCAAGCTTACTTGGCGCCACACTCATTACTCAGTCTCGTTATCTGAACATCTGAATTATGCTTATTTGGTTTTTTTCTCTGGATTTCGGTTTGGGATTCATTCTTTGGCCTCTGGATACGCATCGCCACAAGCCTCCAGCTTACTTGGCGCCACAGTCATTACTCGGTTTCATTATCTGAACATCTGAATTATGCTTGCTTGGTTTCATCATCTGCTCTTATTCAAACTCTTTGCTGCCTTCTGCTTCTCTCGACGTGCAATCTGTCCTTGGAACTCCCAACTGGTCGACGCATACCACCTTATGCTCACGCTCACAAGCACCAAAACTACTGTCTTTACTCGGAACTCGACTGGCCCCGTACCACCTTATGCTCACGCTCGCAAAGAACCAAAACCACTCTTTACTTGGAACCCCACTGGCCGCATACCGCCTTATGCTCAAGCTCGCAAAGCACCCCACTGAACCTTATACTCAAGTTCACAAAGCACTTTACTGGTCACACGCCTTATGCTCAAGCTCACAAAATACCCCGCATGTCGCCCTACGCTCAAGCTCGCAAAGCACTTCACTGAACCTTGTGCCTTATGCTCAACTTCAAACTCACAAAGCACCCCACTGGTCGCATACCGCCTTATGTTCACGCTCGCAAAGCACCCCCACAGGTCGCATACCACCTTATGCTCAAGCTCGCAAAGCACCCCCACTGGTCGCATACCTCTCTATGTTCAAGCTCGCAAAGCACCCCTACAGGTCACATACCACCTTATGCCCAAGCTCACAAAGCACCCCTACAGGTCACATACCACCTTATGCCCAAGCTCACAAAGCACCCCACTGGTCGCATACCGCCTTATGCTCAAGCTCTCAAAGCACCCCCACTGGCCGCATACCACCTTATGCTCACGCTCACAAAGCACCCCCACTGGCCGCATACCTCCTTATGCTCACGTTCGCAAAGCACCCCCACAAGTAAGCACCCCGCCGAACCTTATGCCTTATGCTCAACTTCAAACTCACAAAGCACCCCACTGGTCGCATACCGCCTTATGCTCACGCTCGCAAAGCACCCACTGGCCGCATACCACCTTATGCTCACGCTCACAAAGCGCCCTCACTGGCCGCATACCGCCTTATGCTCAAGCTCTCAAAGCACCCCCACTGGTCGCATACCGCCTTATGCTCACTCTCAGAAGCACCAAACCACTGTCTTTATTCGGAACCTCACTGGTCGCATACCTCCTTATGCTCAAGCTCGCAAAGCCACCCAACTGGTCGCATACCGCCTTATGCTCACGCTCACAAGCACCAAACCACTGTCTTGCCTCAGAACCTCACCGGCCGCATACCACCTTATGCTCAAGCCCACAACGCACCCCACCACTGTTTTGACCCAGATACCCATTATGCTTTTTATATATGTGACTCATACATAACTCTAAAGCCCTCTAGCGCGACTCTGTAGGCTAGGGACGGAAAAACTTTCCTTATTGTATTTCGTATTTCTCTTTTTTATTCGAATCCAAGCTTGAACTCGGGATGGATACTTGCTTCGGGGGAAACCATTTTAAGAGACTGTTCGAGCGAGATGTGGTACGTTTCTCATCAAACAAAGTGTATGCTTGCTACGACGACACAAGGCCAATCTACATGTCTAATCGTCGGGTGGTCCTGCTGTCGTCACATCGTCTAAACAAGTAGGCAAACGATAGTCAGCAGATGTCAAGAAAGTCATGAATGTGAGCCTCACCAATCTTGAACAGGACGTGAACGACTGGATAGGACATCATCTCAGTAAGCTAAGCAAGGAAGAGAGAGAGCACAAGAAACACAAACCTGAGGCACTATTGCTGGTTTGGGGGATCGTACATGAGTTGTTCGTCTATACCTCAACAGCATAATGACTTTAGGATCCACCGTATAAAAAGCATGGGAACCAAAGAAACGTTCTCCAATCAGTGCCCAACTGCGACGAAGAGATGCCGCTGTTCTCCGCGGCCAGAGGTACGGTGTCGAGTGCGAGAAGAATGCCCGCATGGCGCATTACTCGGCAGAGGAGATCTATGATGGGTGTGTTGCAAACGACAATAGGATGCGAGCGAGGTTTGACAAGACGAGGTGGTTGTGCAAGATCATGTTATGCACCACACAGATGGCATCGAGGAGCGCATGTTTACAACCATGATCTAATGAAGTGGAGTTCCTTAGCCCCGATCTAGGAGAAGATGAGGAGGAGACTACCATCTGGTCGCTCCCCCCCACAAAGAGGTGGCAATATGTGTGTTGGCGCACTTTCAAATAACGAAAATCTGATGAGATTGTCTATGCATTCAGGATGTGATTCTGTCAAGATCCTCGGGGACTGCCCATCCGCACGCTTAAAAACGTTTGCGATATGGGTGGGGTTGATGCCTAGGCCTAGAAGAACTCCACTTTGTTCCAGGGGGAGCTGGGTTCAACTTCCGGTCCGAACTTTATTATATTGCTCGATGTAAGTACAGGTATAAAAGCATGGAGTGAATCAACTCGCGTTCTCGTGTTCGTGTTCAGAGGATCCCTGAACTTTTGATTATCCCCTTCCAGCTCTTTATGATATAGTTTGAGAACAGGGATACCTCGCCGAGCGTTGACTCGAGGGAAGATGATGATTCGAAGAGGGAGTCGAGGAATGCGTAGGCAGTTTTCGGAGAAGTTAGTTGGTGAAGCTCTGGAAGGTTGCTTAGCGGGTGTTTCTTCTGAAAGACGCGAAGCTTACCAGCTGCCATGTATATTGCTGCTAGAGATGCTCTACGGGTATACCAAGCCATCTGGGAAATTCATCAGCCCCAAGGAGTGCAAAAACGAAGTAGAATAACCCACCTGTAAAGAAGTGTCTCCAGAGATATAGCACACCTGGTTGGCTATCCCTGTTGCGTGTTTCAACCCAGGTATCGGATCCAATGGTGGTGAACCAGAAACCGGAGATGCCATAAGGGCAAATGCCTTGATTTATGCCCCTCAGCACCAGTGGAAGACTCAAGAGCGATAGAAAAACAGACCTCAGGGAGATATCCCAGAACCGGCTCATTATACGCCAGCCTTGCCCGGAGCAGCTCCCTCACCGTCGTACCACTTCTTGCGCTTGCCTTGACGTCAACAAACTGCAGCTGATGTATCCCTTCTGTTAGCCATGCGTCGATGACTGTCTTCCGTGCTTGGTCCCCACTACCAAAGAGCGCTGACACCGCCGCGTCAGGAAGAGCGTCCGTATGGGTTTCTGGTGCTGGAAGCTGAAGAACCGAGCGCGCCAGAGCCTCACGGGTGAAGCCATGGGTCCGTACGAGGGGCAAGGCGAGCTTGAGCAAGCGTGTCTGCTGCATTCAAGCAAAAGCCAAGCAAAAGCACTGGGCAAGGATAACGCCGGTAAAAGCCGACAAAATAACCCTGAACCCGATCTTATGCAGATTGAACAAAATTGATAACATTCCTCTTTCTCATCCACATCGTACACTTCATATGTCGGACTGGGGTGACGTCCCTCATTTCTAGTTTACAACATGAATCGCTCAAACTGATCCGTTGTTTTAGAAGGATCAGACAGCGACACCGCGCCAGTGGTCAAGGGCAAACCTGCAGCACCTGCAAAGCCTTCTGCTGCGAAGCCTATAAAATCGAAATGGGAAGGAGAAGATAAAGAGGAGGAAGGGCCTGTGGTACGCTCTCCGTCTCAAAGCGTGTCCTTACTCCACTTACTTACAACCTCTCAAGAGCGACTGGGAAGAATCGTCCGAGGAAGAGTCGGAGGAAGAAGCCAAACCCGCGCCAGTCGCCCCACCGAAGAAAAAGGGCACCCTCAAGCAGAAATTGGCAGAAAAAGAAGCGGAGAAAGCTCTGCGGCAAGCTAATGGCGAAAATTCCGACGAATACGACTCGGATGCAGTTCTTGACCCTCGGGAAAAGGCAAGGAGGGATAAAGAGAAGGAGCTCAACGCCGACCTGAATAATGCTGCGGAACTGTTTGGTGCAGCTGCTCTTGGGGGTTTGTGCCATTCATAAAACCCAAAATCTAATCTAATCTGATTCCATTAATTAATCTAGGAACATCCTCTGCAGAACTTGACGCTCTAATATCTGCGCAACCACGGACAAAAGAGGACTTCCAGAAGCTCTCGGCGAGCATCATCGAGTTCATCGTTAAGCGGCACGAAGCTAAGCCGTTGTACCCATCGTTTGTGGAGCACTTTGCGAGGGCGGTCGCACTGCCGCTGAAAGATGTGGAGGTCCGCAAGGTCGCGTCGGGGTTGATGACGCTGGCGAATGAGAAACAGAAGGAGCAGAGGGATAAGGCGAGTGGGAAGAAGAAGCCAAAGGCGGCGTCGAAGCCAGGGTTAGGTGGGGCGAAAGTGTCGTCACGGTACGTTTTTATACTCGATTCCTTCAAGTTTCATGTTTTTGCTATTCAACGCCCCCTTGGTTCTCTCGCTGATTCATGATATTCCAGGCTTGATACAGGCGCTTACGAGGAAGCTTTGGATGACTTTGGAAACGACGATTTCATGTAAAGATCTAGTTCTCGTTTTCCTTTCTTTGATCTACATTAATGCCCCTGGCGGCTTGTAATACCTTGATCTTCCTGGAATACTTACATATCGCCTGAACCAGAAGACATTTTGTCGTGACTAAATTGATGTGTGGTCGTGTTATTTGGAAAGGCTGTCGCTTGGACCTTTATCGGCGTCTCCAAGGCGTCCCTTTCATCAATGCTTCAACTCAGAAAGCTCTCTGCATGGATAACTGTTGACGGCAAGGAACTTCACGAGTATGGAGCTGAGATCTCGGACGATGGAAAGGAGGCAACTTGTTGGATACCCTCCAAAGTCGGACAAGTACGTTCAATCTTCTACGAGTGTTCTGGCATTTAGGTTGTTCTGAAAAGCACTTCGCCGTCAATTGGAAAAACACGAGCCGAGCGAGCAGACTTCCAACCTCCCTCGGTGCCCGGCTGTTCTTAGACGGCACCGAGTTCTCTGGAGGACACATGTCCGAGTACCCAACAACCGTCACGAGAATCGGTGTACCCAGCTCCAACACTACCGTTAAACCCTTCATATTCTCAAAGGTTGAACTGACCGGTACGTGGATCACTTGGAATTGCAAAAGGAATTTGCTTGAACGTGATTTCGCAGACGACGACAACTTCCTTGCAATGCCCTCTGGAACTGGAGAGATCAAAATCCTCATTTCCGAAGTAACTATCAAGAAAAACCGCAGGGCGGTTTCATACAAAGCTGCAGTACCAGAATTGGCTCAGAAAGTGCATGAGCGGTCTAAAAAGGGGATTGTCCATGGTGTTAGGTCAGTTTTCCGTCGTGTAACGCATTGCTGAGTGCTGACATGTAAAGGGCTTAGCCTCGCAAACAATATACGACGCCCTAAAGGCACTGAGAGCTATGGCGGATCAGTTACGAAAACACGTCTTCGAGACTTGGTCACCTTCGTTTTCAAGTATAGACCATTGGGTGGGTGCCGTTTTACTGTGCTCAATCCAAAACATATCTCAATGATGTTTGCCCCATCAGACATACTGCAGGCGAACGATATTGCGCCTTTGCCTTCAAAGAGAAAGTCCCTCATGATGTCCAAAATTGAGGATCAAGAGGAAGAACAAGAGACATTAGCAGAAACAAAACAAGCTTTACAGGTATGCCAGCGCTCTTCACGTTCTCAATTTGGTACTAGCTCAATACGTTGTGTGATAAGGCTGCACTGCGACGTATAGAAATGTTGGAATCTTCACAGAAACGCAAGAACAATCCTGAGCCTGCCCTGCGAAGGGTTAAGAAAGCTCGACAGGACTTAGAGATCATCGACCTTACATGACAAGTTGACGAAACATTGCTGCCTGCTGTACCTGAGAGCTGATAGCTCTCCGCTGCCTGGAACGCTCATGTGGGTGTTCTCCTAATTTCGCCTTTCAATCCTCGGTAATGTAAAGTAAGGTAGATGTACAAGTAATTCTGTTATAGTACCTTCACACATCTATACCTATTCTCTTACCTCTCAATCTTCCTTTCAAGATTCTTTACTAACTTTGTATATAAATATTCAACGGTCTCTATTTTGTACATATCAGTGTCTCCGGACAAACACGTATATACCCAATCCGACGAGTTTGTCATATCTGCGCGACGCGACTACTATTTGATCTAATCGTGGGAGGGTTCAAAGGTTTGAAATCTTAAGTAAAGGCATAAATAGGTGTATGCAGAGTCCCCCAGGCGCTGTGCGCCTGGAGAAACTCGCAAGAAAAATGTCCATTGATGGTAGCGTTGTCCTAATCAATACATAACAAAAGAGGGTGCAGGAGGGTGGGTAAACGCGCAAACGAGAGCTAACTGATAGCAAGCTCGAGTGGAGGTAAGACGAGGGAGTTGTCTTACAACTTGAGGTGGCTCCCCCCGTGGGTGAGTCTCAAGTATACGGCTCGCCCGCACTGGAAATCGCTAGTCTCCGAGACTAGGAGTATCTCGGGGAGAGGAGAATATTTCGTCCCCAGGCACCCGTGCACCCCGATTAGACTATAGTAAAAATATTTTTAAACTCGACTAATCGTGGGAGGGTTCAAAGGTTTGAAATCTTAAGTAAAGGCATAAATAGGTGTATGCAGAGTCCCCCAGGCGCTGTGCGCCTGGAGAAACTTGCAAGAAAAATGTCCATTGATGGTAGTGTTGTCCTATAATACCTATAATATGTAGAAAAGGGGAAGAGGAGGGAGGGGAATTGTCTGTTTGTGGAAATAAGAAAATGTCTGTGGGGAAAGAAAAGAAAATGTCTGTGGGGAAAAGAAAAGTTGAGTGGAGTAGAATGGAAGGATGTTGTGAGATACCAGAAAATGGGAAAGGAAGTTAATGTCCAGTAGCTTGTTGGTGAGCAGGACGACCAAACAGCATTGCATGTAGAAGAATGGGATTCTTCCGTATGTATATATGGAAGGTGTTTGATGCCCAACGCCCAGTGGCTTGAATGATGTGAGGTGGTACACCAGCTTCGGCGAGGGAAGTGGCTCCGCCGGCTCGCATGGATTGGCCTGCAATATCTGATGGGAAGAAGCGGCGCAATTTGCGTATGAACCAGGAACGTGTCGGCACAGTGCCAGACGTACGTAACCAAAGTTCTGGTTTGAAGGGGTGGAGTGTATCACGAGAGGAGATGTAAGTTGTGAAGATGTTGTGAGGGTTTGTGGGAAGATTTGTCTTCTGAATAATGACAATGTTACCTTCAAAGAAGCGGTCGGCCTTATGGCCAGGCAGCAACAATGAGTAGGTGGTTTGAGTAATGTCAACAGTGTGACGTAGCATGATTTTACGATAGTCACGAGAGGCCACTCTGTCAGGAAAAGTGAGCTCGCCCAGGCGGAAAAGCCCATGGAAACCTGTGAATAGAATAGCGAGAAACAATTTTTCGTCGTGGTGGGGAGTTGATTGCAGTTGAGACAGAACAGTGATAAGGTCATCTGTTGATAAGGGTCGCTTGCGCCGTATTGTTGTCCCAAAACGTCGACGACAGCCAGCCAAAGTGCGTGATACGAGGATGCTGTTGCGATTTTTTCGGATGTCAGGGAAATATACTTCTAGCTGATTGCAAATTCCTGAGAGATACGAGTTGACAGAGTCGGGTTTGATGTGGGCAGACATGTAAACAACAAAGAAACTAAGTGTTTGTTGAGTTGGTTCAATGGGAAAATCGTGGATTTTGCAAAAGGTGAGATATGAGTTTAATGCGGACGTGTATGTGAGATGAGAAGAATTGTCAATTGATAATCTGAGTGCAATAGACCGTTGGTGCGTAAGGCGGTCTAGTGACCATGGCTCTCTCTGAGGTTGGCGAGAGCCACGTGAGATGCTAATCATTTTTTGGCTACCCCCAGTGTCAATCGAGGGGGTTGAACGATAGTGAGGTGGCAAAAAGGCCAATCAGCATACAATGGGCATGAAGGAGCTTCACTTCGGACAGTCATTATTCTTGTGCCTGGATGAAAGGCACTTGCTGCAAACATGAAGCCGGCGACACTGAGTACTCTCAAGCGTGCACAACCCTTCATTCCAGCGGTTGCAAGGTTCAGATAGCCTTTTGCGCGAAGTCGCTGAGGGTTTGCCTGGGGTAGCAGCGGATGCACGTTGGACGACAGCGGCACCAATCGAATCCATGTGGGTCGATCTAAGGTCAAAGAACTTGTTGAAGTCAGTGAGCTCCAAGTCTCGACGAGCACCGACACGTCGCCGAACAGCCTTGTCAAAAAGGATAACATGATCATGAAAGTGTACATCAGTTGCGGCGAATAGCCCAATGATGTACTCAGCATATTGTGCAAGCTCGCCAGCTCTGTGTGGGAAAGCGGCGCATATAGCTCGTGACGACCGATTCCAAGTGATGCTCCACTCTCCCGCAGTAGATACAATTTTTGTTCAATTGACTGTTCTGAAGCAAATTTCAAAGTCCCCGATTTCCTCAACTCGTTCGTCATTATTGGATGTTGAGTAATATCCAGTGAGGACAGCGTCAAGGTTGATAGCACGTCCTGCGAGAACATTGGTCCATTCCGAATCTGGAAACTCAGGACAGCTGGGAGAATTGATGAGGGATCGTTTGGTTCCTTTTGGATCAATAGCATAGAGTTTGAGTAACTCGAGGGATTTAGAGAGTGACAGAGAGAGTGTAGCGCCATGAATGAAGTCCGAAATTGTCCAGGGGAATTTTGAGTCATCGGGTTTCGCTCGTTTAGGAGATGGGATGTCGCCGAGGTCTTCATCGTCGGGATTTGCTTCTGGAATAGGTTGGGGACTTTCTGAACGTCAACGACGTCCACGGCATTCAGCTTCTGCGAGGTGTCCTTGATGATTCTCAATAATGGTGAGAAAACGGCTGAATGCCTCTTCAACTGTTGCTGAAGTCAACTCATCATCAGGGACTGCTTCCAATAAAGTCGTGTAAATCCTGCACAGCGCAATCCCTTTGGAGATCCGAGATGAACGATAGCCCTCGAGGATAGCATTGCAAGAGGCGAGAGCAGCATTGGCAATCGGGAAATTCCCAGATGTACCGGCAACAAACTCTTCGTCTCCTGTAGCGCCGGACCTCTCGTTGTCAACAATGGGTTCTTGACCTTGATTTGGATTGACTGTTGATGGATTTGAGTCTCGTTCTCCAACTTGAGCGTTGGATTGTCATGTGGAATTTGTCTCAGCAGCAGAACCAGAATTAACAGCTTCATTGCTCGTAGACATAGAAAGTGTAGTGATTGAAGATGTTGAAAAGATCTGATGCAGCCGTAGGTTGAAAGGTAAACACGCAAACGAGAGCTAACCGATAGCAAGCTCGAGTGGAGGTAAGACGAGGGAGTTGTCTTACAACTTGAGGTGGCTCCCCCCATGGGTGAGTCTCAAGTATACGGCTCGCCCGCACTGGAAATCGCTAGTCTCCAAGACTAGGAGTATCTCGGGGAGAGGAGAATATTTCATCCCCAGGCACCCGTGCGCCCCGATTAGACTATAGTAAAAATATTTTTAAACTCGATGAATATGCTACGTGACAGTTTGACGATGTTTGGCGGATGGAGCACTACCTAACAAAGCAGATCCAAACATCGAAGGACAATGACTCCCAGATCTGGTTCACTGAGGAATATAACGGAAGGTTCCATAACCTTCCTTCAAGGTCCAGAACTATTAAACTACTTATATAAACACGCTTGTAAAGTAGAATAGGAATTCATTCTAACTTTTACCCCAATATCATTGTGTGTACTTAATTGCCTTCACCATCGCGTTGAACAGCTCCCTGACCCACAAACCCCAGATAAGACGTATCTTCACTCTGTAGGCATTGCCTGTGAGTTCTTCTCGAGCTTTTTACCTCGTACGAAGCTGATCATTCTAGACATAAAGGGGGGCTCTGGTGCCATGTCTGGGACACCTTATGTCCATATATAGACATAATTTATGTCTATATTGAGACATGTCCAAAAAAAGACATAAGGTCGTCCAAAAACAGACATAAGCCATCAATCTCACACCCACGCCCAAATAGGCAGCTGCTCAAGTAGTTGACCTCCTACTGGCTTTTCTCCCTGTGCTATGCGCCGCAGGCCAGAAAAATATTTGAATAGCTCACATACCTTGTGGGAAATTATAGGATACACTAATATGAACCCAGAATGCATTTTTAAGTCATTGAAAAGAGAATTTGTGCTGTTCTGAGCATAAAGTCAGTTCCACTTAATACAATTGCTCATCAAAGTATGTGTTGATGCTAGTAGAATATCTCAGAGTATGTGGAAGCACTTTACATGCACTTCTTCCTCCTAATGGCAGGTTGTTGCATTAAAGGCAACAAAAAGACAGAATCAATGGGTAAAAAAATGTTGTACTGCTTTAAAAATGCTGATACAGGAGTGCTGGTATGTTGTTAATATTTCCTCACATAGTCTTGACCTTCATATAAAAAGAATTTGTAACAATCTCAAGATCTGGACTGTGTTGCAATAAATCTATCTAAAGTTGACAATAAATCTGCACAATTGAACAACCCTTGCTGTTGATCTATAATTCTACATATATAATCAGTGTAAAGTATCCTGCTTCTTACACACACATTTTTGAAAGGAATTGAAACATTCTCAGCTGTTCCAGACATGACACTAAAGCCATCATTATTCCTGTTCATTGTAATTTTCAGTACTTTATCCTTGTTAGCTCAACATGAGGAACTCGAACATAAATCTGCTTTGCAATTAATCTGAGCTTTTGGCATAATCCCCTGTCTTGTGGTTTCATGTGTAAAAATGCATGCTGATGGGAAGACTCACTCATAATATCTAACCTTTTTCCTCATAGTTGTGGCCCCTGATAGGTGCCTGCCCCATTTTTAAATGGTAGATAGGGAGAGGAGATATTTCACAAATTTTCCTAGCAATCTGTCAAGTTTCTAACAAGATACATATTTGTGGTTCAATTATCTCTGTGAAAGAAAAAAGATGTCAATTGCTGGAATTGAACTTAGGTTGGTCATAAAAGGAGATCAAAAAGCGCAATAATCCACTACACTATACAGCCCTATATAATATTTACATGTAGTTACCATATATGTAATTTTTGAAAAACGGTGTCCTTGTCCCAGACATGACACCAGAGCCTAAAGGGGACCGTCCCCAACCTCAACGGCCAACTCTCACACACTCCCTTATCATCAGTCGCGACGAATCTTCACCCCAGAAGGGATGTGCAACTCGATACCCATGATTGGCTTAGATTGCGGGCCCGCCGTGTTTCACCAAAATGACGTGTCCGATAAGAGGGGCCGAACTCGTGTGTCTCATCGCCATCTATGATAGATCCTACTTTTACAAGGAAGCAGGACATCAGCGTTTCAAGTCGAGGTGGGTGTGTTATATCTGTTTTCACTTGTCTGTATGCTTACCAGAACAGACTGAAAATTACGACGACGGTCACGACACCCAATGGTTTGGACAGTTCAACGTGCTGAGCTGGTAAGCCTTCATCGATCCTCATTGACGTGAGCTCATCATATCTGATTTATCAATTAGTTACCTTTCAGGCTGCCAGAAAAGCACTCCTCACTGTTCAAGACGGACTGACCGACCCAATTTTGCCCAAGGGTTTCTCACCCACCGCCAGCTTCAAATTTTAGTGCCCAAAACCACGTAGGCGTGCAGTGCTGCTTAGCGTGGAACGGAAGAAGCAGGTCTGTGCGGTTAGGTGGGTCGATTGCCATGTACGAACTATGCATACTTACCTTGCGTTTTCTAGTATGTCTGTTCTTCCAGTTTTGCCAGCGACAGAGGCGCATGGAAGCCGGGACACAGGAACGGGAATTTGCTGCTGCAATGGCTTATAGTGCAAATAGGCCATCATTTGCTATTGAGAAGCTGGCTTTGGATTAGCCTGAAAATGACGATGACCTCTCAACCTGTAGAAGCCACGGGAGAAAAGGCCTTGGCGTCGATGGTGTCCAACCTCCAGGAGCCGGAAGGGGCGCGGAGACTTGCTCTCAATCTAGGCTCATGCAGAGTGGCTACAAGAGGGCGGCAATGAACTCTCTCAGTAATCACGCCATGTGCAACATGCGGTCACAGCTTCGGAGGCACCGAAGAACAGTGGTGCTTTTGGACACCAATCACTATCACCACTGCAAGTTCCAACAATCACTATCACCACTGCAAGTTCCAACAATCCAAGGGACCCTTCTAAATGCCCTTCCTTGGTCTTTGGAACCGACCAACCTGTTCTACGGGCATGTTTATTAATCCTCTGCTCACCATGAGCTTTCCACAAGCGGAGGCTGCGCCTGCCGAGCCAAATGCTCGCTTGCATCCGCTTGGGCTGTGGTTTTCACATTCATGGGTTTGGTTTGGAGAAAAGTGGTCAACTTGACTCCTCTGGAAACCGGTCAGTCTGCTCCTGAATTAAAGAAAGCAGAGTGGCTACCGCCTTCGAAGGGAAAACCTGCCAGTTTATGGCAATGGCTTCCGTGTAGGCAGGACTATCTCGAGCGTTCTTTCGATTCCTCACCTGGATCGTTCTTATTTCCCGCGATACAAGTCAGAAAGGAGGCGAAGTCCCTTCCATGGCGAGACGCTCTGGGCAGCGAAATCAGATTTTTTCTCGGAGGACCAGAATCTCAGACTTGAGACTTTTTCCCCATCACCCAACTCGCTCAAGAAATGGTGCCAATACCCAAACCAACGAGCCTTCACTCCTCCAAGAATGACGCCACCTTCACGACGAGGTACTCTGGAGGCGTGGGCACTCGATGGAGGAACGACCTTCACTACGGTGCTGAGGCCCTGAAGCTGGCAAGCCCATCCATAATCGAGAACGAGTCGTCCGTCTGCTTGGTGATGAGTATCAAGAGCACAATCGACCAAGGTGTTCGCGGCACGAGCAACAACACCAGGCGGCCTGCAAGGCTAAGGAGATCAGAGGATTGAGTAAGATCGTTTGAGAAGGAGCAACCAGCATCAGTGCACAGACGAGAAACGAAGGAAGGCATCTCTTTTGAAGCCCAATACCCGAGATGGCTTCTGACTAGCCCTCACTGTACTTTGGAGTACACCGCCTTGAGCTCCATGTTTGGAGGGTACATTCATCCTCTGCGTAGTCTTCTGCTATGGCTCGCCCAGAGTGAACGTTGAATATCTTGGTTGGTACTTTTTTTTTTTTTTTTTTTTTTTTTTTGGATTCTCGAGATTTACGTGCAACAAGTAGTCTAGTACTAAGACGCACGGGAAGCATAAGGCTTCCCTTAGATGTGAATATGTCCGATGGGCCTCCATTTAAGTGGATATTAGTGACCATTGTGTAGCTGTAAGGTATAGAGAAAGTCAAGGTTTGGGGTATAGGGTCCTAGGGATGGGAGTCATGGTCTGGTGCACCTATGTGGCGCTTGGGCAGGGGTGAGCGCTCTGCGCTCGCGAGGGTTTGTCTGTGGGTGCGGGTAGCGTGGGCATGTTATTATTCAGCGTCTGAGTTGTCGTCCTCCGAATCTATGTCAGGTGGCTCTGGCTCGTCGAGGAAAGAGGGGAGCCCCTTGGGCGTGTACTTCGTACCCGTGAATGTGAAGGCGCCTGAATCCCTTAGGAACTCGGTGAGCGCAGCTATGCCCTTGGGGGTGCCTAAGAGCTCTGGGAGTGCAAGGTCGCAGTTGAATTCACGTAGTTTGTCGTGTTGGTCCTCGTACCGTGCGCAGTCTCTGATGATGTGTTCGCGGGACTGGGGGTCTACCCCACACTCGCAGTTGGTGCTCTTCTCTGGGAAGAACTGTTTCCGGAATTCCCCAGTGTATGCGTGTCCTGTGCGGCATTGGACTAGGCGCCCGAAAATTTCGCGTTGGTCCTTCAGTTCGATGAAGTGTTTGGTGGGTTTCAGGGACAGGGGGATTCTGTTGGATATTGCGAATCTCCCCTTATGTGGTGCCCTCTGCCATTCGCGCACCCAGTTGGATTGGGTCGAGGCCTTAGCTTTGCACAGGGCGAACACCCTTGACGTGCTGATTGGCGCGTTCCACGCCAGTTGTGTGGCTTCCTTGGCGATTTCGTCTGCCCTGTCATTGCCCTTGATGTTACAGTGGCTTGGGCACCACTCAATTTCGACTGTGTGGGTTGGACTGTTGTCCAGGAACTTGGTCATCTTGCGGTGGAATTTGACTGCGTATAGCTGCCCTGGTTGTGGTTTTGGATTGAATATGGCCCCTGCCGCCGCCGCGTTGTCGACAAAGTAGTGTACGCTCGTTATTTGTGGGTGGTCCTTGATGTATTTCGTCGCCAGGTCTGCTCCCATCTTTAGTCCTGCCATTTCTGCATCGTATACCTCTGCTCTCCCCCCCAGTCCCATCCTCCCCACGAAAACCTCCTCCCCTTCATGGAATCCGACCGCTCCCGCTCCTACCTGAGGGAAACCCTTCTTCTTCACCATTGACCCATCCGTGTATATTACAAGGCATTCTTTCTTCTCTGCGAGGTGTTGGTATTTTTCTTTGTGGCTATCTACTAGTTTCTGTTTTTCTTTTTTGTCTTTTGTTTCTGGTTTGCATACGTTAATCTTGACCTGACCATTGAAGCTTGAGCTCGTTCGTCGCCAGGGTGCCACTAGGTAGGGGTTGATCCTTTCGTGGGCGTGGCACGTGTGTTTTGCGATGTCAAGTAGGTTTGTTGTTCTTGCGCGGTTGGTGGCTGAGTTGTTCTTCAGTCTGGGCTGTAGTGGTGGGGGCATTGTCTTCTCTCCGACTTTCCTCCATGGCTGCGGGAGACGTTGAATGATTGGGCTGGAGGTGCTGAGCTTGTTGAATCGGATGGCACAGCGTTTCATGTGCAGGTTTACTTGGTGTCTGATGGGTGGGATTGAGGCCTTGACTTCGAGCGCCTCGATAGGCGTGGTTCTAAATGCCGCGCATATCAGCCTCAACGCCCTTCTCTGTACCTTCTCCAAGGGTTTTATCTGGTATTGACGGCCTGTCCACCAAACTGGGCACGCGTACAGTATTTTGGGCAACACACATGCCAGGTAAAGGTGTTGTAAGTGTGTTTGGCTCAGGCAGCGTATTGTGTTCGCTAGCATCGTTAATCCGCTCACTGCATTCTCTCCCCGGGCGGCGAGGATGGTAGCATGTTTTTGGAACCGTAACTTGCGATCGAAGTAGACTCCCAGCCACCATACGGTCGACTCGGGCTTGACCGTTCTGCGTTCCCCATCTCCGTCGTCGAATGTTATTGAGGGGCTCCCGTCTTTCTTTCTCCTGGTGTAGTGCATAAGTTCTCTTTTCGCGTAGTCTGGAGATAGCCCTGCGCCCTTAAGCCACACTTCTGCCTCGTTGTACGCTTCCTTTAGTTTTGCAATGTTGGTATCGAGGGACTGAGAGGACACATAGAGCTTGCCGTCGTCCACGTACATTATGAGGTGTACCTCAGTCGTCTTGTCTGGGTTCGGGTCTTGTACTGTTGCCCTGAGCTGGAACTTCTCCAGAAGCTCTGCTGTGTAAAAGGCTGCGAGGATGGGTGAGATCGGGGAACCTTGAGGTATGCCGTTTACCACATGTTCCATCTGCCCTCTCTTGCCGTCTATACATATTGCTGCCTCACGGTCGGAGAGGAAGCTGGCTACCCATTTTACGTATGCCAGGGGAATGTGTTTCCGTCTGAGCTCGGTTAGGAGCCGGTTGTGGTTAACGAAGTCGAAGTACCCTTTGATGTCGAACGTGAGGGCTGAGGTCACCATCTTATGGTTCCAGGCGCACTGTACGTCGTTGGTGAAGGTCAGGAGTGCATCGTTCGTTGAACTGTTGGATCGCCCCCCGAACTGGTTTGCTGGGACCATGTTGTGCTTTCCGGCTAAAAATGTGAGCCGGCATGCCACGATTTTCTCTAGTATCTTCCCCAGACACTCCAAGAGGGTGATGAGCCGGTACGCCCTTGGGTTTGAGTAGTCCGGTTTGTTGGGTTTTCTGAGGGCGACTGCAATGGCCTTCCTCCATGCTTTTGGGTGGTATCCTGCTTCAAGGCACTTCCGCATGAGCAGCACAATGTATTTCCTACCGTCTTCGCTCCTCCATGCCCATTTGACCACCTGGTAGTTTATCTGTGAGTGGCCAGGTGCTGATGATGCGCTGGTGCCATTGATTGCTTCGCCCACTTCGTCAACCGTAACCTCTACATATGGGAGGTCGTCCTCCTGGGGGTTTTGGAGGTCTGGGTTGTGTTCGTCCTCAAGTCGCGGTGGTGGTTGGTAGAGTTCCTGCCTGAGGGCGTCACACTTTTCTTGGTGTGATATTGCTTTGGGCCGGCCTTCTCCTCTCGATATTGGTGGGGAAGGGTAGTTGCGTGTACCTTTGGACCAGTTCTGGAATCCCCAGATGTCATCTGTTGTTGCCTGCTGAAGCTTCTCGTTGACCCAATCCCTCTTCTTGATCCTGCACAGCCTCTTGAAGTAGTTCCGTGCCTTCCTTATCCGGGCTCTGATATCGCCGTTGAACTCGCTGATGATGTCGTGGTGTTGCTTTTGTTCCCGTCTGGTCTCATTTACGCGTTCGGCTGCCTCTGCCAGGTCCTGGTCCCACCAAGGTTTGGCGTTGGCGCATGGCTTCCGGATTTTGGCTGTGGTTGATGTGGCCGTTTGCATGGCCTCCATTAGGGCATCTGCACACCTGTTGAGGGTGACTGGGGTCAGTTGCTCTGCAAGGAGGAGTGGTTGGAGGTCGTCATGGGATTTTGCAATGGCACTCTCCAGCTCCTTGATCCAGTCTGCGGGTTTTACCTCTTTCAGACAGTATTTGATGTCCAGTGGGTTGTCGATTTCCGTCAACCCGTGTGCGATTGTGAACTTGATCCCCAGGTGATCTGCATCGTGGGCGAGGTCTGGGTCTATGGCCCACTCTTGGACTGTGCCTTCTATGACCGCTCGTCCGCTTACAAACGTTAGGTCGATTACGGACGCTTTTTCGCGTGCGTTGCGTGGGGGGTGGGTGATCTCACCTTTTTTATTCAGCATGGTGTAGCCTTCATCTGTCAGCCACTCCACTATGGGCCCTGAAATCCTCGCTTCATCGCTCCCTACTGGCCCTCTTGCCCACAGGTCGTGGTGGAGGTTGAAGTCCCCAGTGATGATGACTGGGTGGTCTCTTGGTAGGCTGGCATGCTGGAGACGATTGAGGGCACTGAGTTGCCCAAGTCTCGGGTCGTTGTATATGTTGATGAGTGTTGTGAGGGGTTGGCCCTCTTGTGCGATGTCTAGGACTTGTATGTCCCTGTCTTCTAGTATGTCAGTACGCAATGTGACAGAGAAGTCTGGCCTGGTTCGATAATAGGTTAGTGTACGTGGTTTCTTGGGGTTACCAGTGATGTTGGAGGTTGGCGCGATCGGGTTCCATCCTTGGAGTGCAACCAGTCCCTGTACCTCGTTGCCTTCCTCAGTACCAATGAACCCCCAGGCGGGCTCCTGTAATATGATGATGTCGAATTCTTGGACGTGTTTGTTCAGGAGCTGGATCACTGCATTCTTCTTCTTCTGCGCATTTAGTTGTGCCACGTGTATCGGTTGAGTGGTTGTTTTCCCTTGGTTTTGCATAATCATTGGGAATGGGCATCTTCGTCAATTTGGGCAGCTGGGGTGATGTCTTCAAAAATACTGAACTGGTTTTGGCAGGCTAGCTGCTCTGGTGAGATTTTCTGTGAGGTTAGTGTGGGGTTCTTCGGTGATCTAGGTTTGCGAGGCTTTTTACCAGTGGCAACCTTCCATGGGTTGTCTGTCTTCAGGGCCTTTCGTTCATTTGCGCGGGCTGTACCATATTTTTCTAGTCGGATGGGACACCTTCTTGCGTCCGCTGGGTGGTCTTTTTCAGTGATGTGTGAAACCGTGGAGCAGTTGATGCAGTGTAGGTTGTGTGTGCATTGGTTCGTGTCGATGTTCATGCCATCGCTCTCCTCAAGCACCTTGCACTTCCGGCATGAAGGGTCGTTGACGTGTTCTTCTTCCTTGTGTTCCCCTGCGCACAGTCTGCACCTGGTTGGCTCCAGGCACTTGTCTGCTTTGTGGTCCCAACCCCAGCAGTTCCTGCACTGTTTCACTGGGGGCCTGTCCTGATACGCTCGTAGTGGGCAGTGCCGTGTGAACGCTGCCAGCGTGTTGCGTCGTAGGAATCCTTTAGCTACCTCTTCATCATCTACGGCAAACACGAGGGACGACCTCAGCGTGCCATCTAGTTCTTCTCGGGTTCGCATCCACCGTGGGGGGGCGACAATGTTGTCGATTGCTTGTGCGTAGGCAGGGTTGCATGCTTGTAGTTCTTCGTGGACCGTTTCTGCTGTGATGAGGGACCTTGACCCATGCCTCATCATGGTGTGTGTGCTGACTCCGTCAATTTGGATCTTGAACCACCTCTTGTCTTCGATGGCGTTTGTCTGGTAACCCTGGTCAATTAGCGGCATGAATAGTTCTGCATACTGCAGGAGGTCTGCGGCACATTGGTCTTCGCGTGTTGTGATAATGAGATTACCTTGGTTGTTGTATGATGCCGTCACTGCCTTGATGTGTTTGGCCTTGAGCAACTGCGAGTTGGCGAGGGCGTCGTTTATCGTGTTGACGATCATTGCTGGTTCCATGTGGTCGTCGTCCCTTATTCCGTCTGGAAGGAATCGGATGACAGCACGGCTAGGGTGGTGGGCTGTTGCTGGGTTTTCGCTCTGCCTAGCTGGTCCTGGGTTGGTGGTTTCCTTCCCTTTTGGTTTGAGCAGTGGGCCGGTCGCGTAGTTATTGATGTGGCTTGTGGTGCCCGTTGTCCCTGTGTTCCTTGGCCCCGTGGCTACGCCCTTCTCTTCCAACCCCCGGATGCGTGCTTGGGTTTCGGCGGCCACTGCTTCCAGGTTCTTGAGCTGTTCTGCTGTTGCTGTGAAGTTGTACGTAGTTTCTTCCTGGATGCCGTCTACTTTTGCTTCGACTCTCTCGATGAGCACTGTCATTGTCATGCTGATCTGGTGTATTGTTTGCATGAGGACTGACTGCTGTTCTATGATGACTGCATATGGCTGGTTTAGTAGAGCGTTATTAAGTCCCGTCATACAACCTGTGATCTTCTGGCTGTCCCTCGCCCCGCCCAGTTCTCCGCCGCTTTCCAGCTCCTGGACAATGTTACCGGCCTCCATTAGGGTGAGGTAGAGGTTATCTAGTTTTTCGTCTTGGTTCATCGCTTGGTCTTCGGCCTGGTTTGCGAGGTTGCTGAAGGTGTCCGTTTGCATGGAGTTCTGGTCGATTTCTCCTTCTTCCCCTTCGTCTCCGGACGATTCTATGTCTTCATCCCACCTCTTTTGTTGGCTCGGATCTTGCTGACTGCCTGTAATTAGTGTTCCGTTGCTGTATGACTGTGGGGTTGGGGTGGTTGCGCGTTCTGCGTCCAGGGCTCTCTTTTTGTTGCCTACTAGCACGCTCTTGATTTTGGCTGGGGACGTGTGGGTAACCGATTGGGCTATTCTCCCTACTCTTCCCACTGCATTCTCTAGGAAGGAGGTCGTTGTGATGGAAGGGGTTTGTGGGCGGAGTTGCCGGCTTGACCATTGGGAACGCGTTGCGCCCCCCACTTGGTGTGACGGTTTGGCGGTTTGGGCTGGGACGGGTTGGGAGTACTTTTGTGCCGTGTAGGGGCTCGGAGACTTGGGTTTGTGGTATTTTTCTTTGCTACTGACTATGTTTCCCTCCATATTTCTTCGATTCTTGCACGGCTTTACCGTGGGAACAAAGGCGTATGTAGGAGTAACAGATCAAGGAGCGATTGTGCGTCTTGGTTGGTACTTGTTACGTCAAGCTAGTATATGCAGGACCGCTTTTACTGGCTGGCTCACCGAATGTTTTACCGATAATATCCGGTCTGGTGTCTATCTTGTATCCATTCTTTAGCTTTGTATACCTTTTCTACCAGAGTCGGTCGCCATAAAGCAGAGATAATAATAGACCAAAAGAAGATTCTGCAATATTGTTTTAGATCGGAGAATCGATTTATTTCCAATTGAACATTGAACGTTGAACATTCACCAGCATTCACCTCGCTTTACTATGTGGCCACAGTACATAGTCGCTGCCTTCGAGAAGATAAGTCCAGAAGCGGACGAAGGTGTCTTCTACGGACCCTGGAACAGCGTCCTCAACCACTGTTTCCCAATCAACGAAGGCTACCTCATCTGTCCTCAACTCCCCCCGGCTATTCAAGTCCACGCCAGTTACAGTACTAACAGAGACACCAACAATTTCATCGTCACATTATCCGTCATGAAAAATGACGAAACCATATTCTTCGTCAATGCCAAAGCTCCAAAATATCTTGGAAACACATACGCAAGATTTGCAGCCGATGAACAAATACGAAAACGATTCTACCAAGGGTTCGAGAGTTCGCCCTACAAGATGCACGGTATCAGTGCCTTTGGCACCAACGTCTCTTTCTACGAACTGGAAAAGGAAAATGCTGATGGTCACTGTGGCATTATCAGGCCCCGGCCAGCTGCAAAGTATTCGGAGCAAATTCTTGTGGATGTGATACCTAAAAATCGGTGGGATCTCAATATACTCGATGAGCAAGGGTATGAGAACTTTATGGAAGTTGTAGAGGAGGCCAAGGCTTTGGAACTTCATGAACGTATGTGCCTACCTATTCATGTTTTTTCAACTCGGTGTGCTGACTTTATTGCAGCTGCCAGCAGCTGCAGTTCAACAATCGTAACCGGGTTCAATTCGAATTCGAAGTGTATCATGGTCATTTTACCAATTATCATTTCCGTTGTAAATCTGTTGGAATCGCAAAGCTACCGATGTCCGTATGACTCAATATGCCTACTAGTAGCTGTTCGATTGCTGTTCGAACACCATGCTCTTGCGCCTCACCCGGGCCGTCCCAATCATCATCTGCTCATAAAAATAGATTGTCAATTTCCGATGATTGAAATGAAGAGAGAAATAATCTGATAGGATATGATATCAGCAAGCTCTGAAACAGGACCATATCTCCATTTCTACGACAAAAACCCCGATGACACACTTTTTTTGCAAAGAATCACCACATAGTTAGGAGTCAATAGGTCGCGGTCCGTAATGCATGGGCGAGCAAAAAATGGACTATCATCACCAATTAATTACACATACAGCATTGTATAATACGACAATAAAAACGTAGTCGGGATCAGAGCGCGGAGAAGGGACAGCGTGTGTAGTTTATACATTTTCTTGGGGGATGCGGACAACAGAAGATGAGGTATGGAGGAGAGTGTGGTACATGGTCATGATCATGATCACGGGAGGGGAAAATCGGCAAGAGTAGCGGTCAATAAACCTTTTAGATGTGTGTAGGGTTAGAGGTTTCAGAAGAATTAAGGATTAGGGAGGACATTGCAAGGGGATATAATATGGCGGGATTGTTGGGAATGAGAATGCGAATCTTGATGCGACGGGCATAGTAGCCAGGATATCAGAGTGAATACAACGATCAATGATGGAGATGCGACGAGAGCAGTGGGATCTAGCACAAGAAAGCAAAAGCAGATCAAACGAGGGCTGCAGACTGGAGGTAACCTCGGAAGATTGAGTCGCGAACTAAACAAGACGGTCAGCAAAACAATCCAAGGCGCTGCAATGGAGCCTACCGTTTCCAATGATACGCTGCGTCGCCTTTGTGTCCTTGACGTCAAATATGAGCAAGTTTTCAAGATTTCGCCGAAAGATAACTCACCACTACACTCGTAAAATGAGTATACAGCACCCGACGATTCTCATTGTTTCGTCTATGAACCTGCAGGAAATGAGCACGGAAGTATTGAACGACGGTCTCGTAATCGTTGGACCGATCGCCGAAGGATGTGATGCTGATGAGGGGTGAGTGATAAAAACCTGGTTGCAAACGGGGTGACTCACTACTTCCGGACCTTGAGTCCGGTGTCGAGCTTCGCCTTGAGCAGATCCGTCTTATCTGTAAAAAGTTGTGATGAATGAGCACAAAGCAACGTTAAAAGAACCCCAGCGCATCTACGCACTCAGGAAAAGGACCAAGTGAACGTTCTTCAGCAGGGCGTTCGAACATATTTGCGTGAATAATTGCAAAGAGTCGTCTATCCTGTTCGTCCGAGGGTCTTCTTCGAGATACTAAATGGATTTGTTAGCATGGTTACCAACAACGTGGCCGAAAAATGAGAGTTGAGAAAGGAACCACAAAACGAAACAGAGAAGCACGCTGGTGGTTGCCACGTTTCAAAAGACAGTGATAGAAATGGAGGATGCGGCTGACGCCAAGGGAAGGGAAAGAGACTCGCCTGATCAAATGCGCTCACGGGAGCAACAAAAATGATAGCGTTCGCATCATCGAAGTATGGCACCCACGAGTGTCTCTGTCCTCGAGCACCACCTACGTCAAATAGATGCCAGGTCACAGATTTCCCGTGGATGTTCACATCAAAGATGTGTTCAGCGACTCCCATAGTTTGGATACGAGCATGGAGGATGTCATCTGGCGGGATAAGGTGAATATATGCGCGATAAACAGCAAGAATAACTACGTTACCTATACTTGGGACGTAGTCCGGCGATGCGACACGCGTGATGTTCTTCAGGAAACTAAGAAACAAGATCAGCATAGAATACGAGAGACCAAGTTAGGCGACGTACAACTCGGACCACTCATCAAGTTTCAGTTTCCGTTTAGCGATTAACCCCTTGACAGTGGGATGATGCCACAACTCCCGGATATCCTGAACGGAGAGCTCCAGCATTCGCCCAACGTCCTGAACCAAAGGGTCCTGCGGTTCCTGGGGTTCAATCTCACGAGTCTTCTTTTCGCTTTCGGCCGAAGGGCGTTTTTGTTTGATCCTTCCGAGAGCATTCTCGATGGTACGGGCCTGCCAACCACTCCGCACAAAGACGCCGCCCTTACCAGAACCGGACACCGAGATTCCACCACTGAGTCTGTCCGCGAGCTGCGCGTCCGCAGCTACCAATGGGGACAACCTGCGTCGAAGGTTGGCTATCTGAAGGGCGCCGCCCTCTTTCATCGAATGGGAGTGGGAGCCGCCGGCCTCCGACGGCATCAGGGAACTTGGTGATCCTTGGATGATGCTGCCGGTCAAGAGAGAAGTAGATGGTGACGGCTGATCTGCGATACCGTTCCCGCGAGCCTTCTTTGGTATGATAGACTGTGAATCGTCCGTCGATGTAGGTTGCGCCTCGGCGTCTTCGTCGAGAGTGTCGTCCCAAGCTTCAAGCGTAGCTAGGATGTGTTTTAATGAATGAACGACGTTGAAGTAGATGACCGCTGTCCAAGATGCGCGTTCTTGATCCATCGAAGTGGGTTTATACATGAGCTGGAACTGTTTCTGCAGCGTCGATTTCCCGCTCTCGGCTTGCCCAAGGAGAAGAAGCTAGCAGCGCAGGATGAGTATATGCGGCGCATAATTGTAAAGCGCACTGACCTTGACGTCGCCCTTCTTCTTCTTCAATCGCTCCCTCTCCTCCCGCAGGTCGTCGTCGATTTGCTCAGAAACCCGTTTGGCCTCGGCTTCTGTGTACAGACGGGACGTACGCTCTGCCTCCGTCTCCATGGGTGAAGGTTTGAGGGCGGCGGAGATGGGATCATCCTGGCTGTAGAGCGACGGCGTGCGCATTAGTCGAGTGGGCGGAGGCGATGGTGGTGGTTATGAAGAAAGAAAAGAAGTCGGCCTGTTGAGCAGGAAATTTAAATGCATTGCATTGAGTTTCACTGGGCTATTTTGTTGCATCAACGAAAGTGACGTGAGAACGTCACAGCCGTCAGTAACAACGTCACATCAGGGTTTACCACCTGTCACACGTCGATGAACCGTCGAAATGGTATTTCTTTCCTACATCATCAACACAAGGCCACTGATAACATCTTCTAGTCCGTAACCCTCCATACGACACACGGGGAAATAAAGGTGCGTTAAATACATCTTCAAAGCATCATATTTATCGTCTTTACAGCTTGAACTTTTCTGCGAGGCAGTGCCCAAGGCAGCAGAGGTGTTTCAACTTCGCCCACAACTCCTGACGATCGACATTACTAACTACGAAATCCAGAACTTTCTTGTGCTTTGCGCGTCCAACTATTACGATGGTTGTATTTTCCATCGCAACATCCGGGGATTCATGATTCAGACGGGTGACCCAGCCGGTTCGGGTAAGGGCGGTCAGAGCATTTGGGGTGCCCCATTTGCAGATGAGATCAGATCCACTCTCAAAGTCGGTTCCCTTTCCACTTTCTCATCCATTGTTCTTGCATCCTGATCCTCTTTTGTCCCCAGTTTAACGCCCGCGGTGTCGTGGCAATGGCCAATTCTGGCCCAGACACCAACAAGTCTCAATTCTTCATCACATACGCGAAGCAACCCCATCTCGACGGCAAATACACCATCCTAGGCAAAGTGATAGATGGCGCAGATTCAACATTGGACGCTATGGAACGCGTACCAGTTAACAACAAAAACAGGCCTCTCAATGAAATCAAATTGACTCACGTTGGTTTTCTTTCTTCCGCTGTCCCTCAAGTTTCATGTCAATTTCAAAATAGGTAACTATACACGCGAACCCGATTGCCGACGCGGATCTTGTTGGTGGACGATAAAGTCACCTTATAAGGCGGATCGACATCCATTTTTGGCGGTATACATCATCACATTGCCATAGCCGAGTGGTTCTGATGCGCGGAAGAAGACGAAACCGAGAAATCTTAAACGTACACTGACGTCTATCGTATCCATCGTTCGACGTGGGGGCAAAGACACTAGTTTCGTTCAAATTTCGGCTCGCGAAATCCGTGATAGAGCACTGTAGAAAGGACCATCTTGCGTTGATAATCATCATCATAGCACTACTTATGGCATGTATCATACAGGTCCAGTATCCGGCTGAGGTCAACATCTTCTTGGCTACCGTTTGATAAAACCGACCAGTTCCTTTTGTAGTTCCTTCTGTCTCCGCGCTTTCTCAAGATCATCCACGCTGCGCAGGTCGTAAACGATATCCCGAGTCTTGCCAAAATATACCTGATTCGCAATGTATCAGAAAGAGTCATTTGAAATAAAGTAAAAGGACGATTTCACCTCTTGCAGGAGGTTTCTCATCTTGATCTCCATCTCCTCGATCATTTTGCCAGTGTTGGTGATGTGCGAAGACCCATCGTGAATCGGCCAATCCTGTTCAGTCTGTGCATGTAGCATCAGAATCAGCAGTCCACCTACAAGGGAGGAAATAGAACTCGCCTGACGCGTCATACTCCCGCTCAGGCTAACTTCCCCATTACGCTTCCAACTTTCTGTACCTTTTCTGTCAGCAGCTATAGGCGGGCTACCCTCACCCTCTGACCCCTTTCTTGTTACAAGCTGGAGCATCACCGTCGATGTGAGCTTGTAATGCGCCTGTCGCCCGCGCTCAGCTGTCTCAAAAACGTGAATGGAGTCCCATGACCCAGAGGGCTCAAATGGCGTCGTCGGGGCCATAGCTAGCAAAAAACGAATCATAATAGATTATTTATCAAAAATGGAACGAGTGGAATTATCATACTTTTCTTGAGCAAGACAACACCAGCGAAACCACCGTCGTCGAGATCCCACAGGTATACAGAAGACACTCCCCCTTCGAAATACATCTCTCGGTAGGTATCAAAAGCCTCATTCGCCGAAATTTCAAGCTTCCGCAGCTTTGGAGATGGAACGGTACCGTCATCCAGTGGAGGGTCATATTCATTCGACCATGGTGACCTAGTCCATCATCAGCTCGATTGCAGATGACATCCTGGAGCAGAAGCGTACCGATAGCTCTCTCCATCACGATTATAATCGCAAGCGAGGTAGTCTCTCCCAGTAGCTACATCTGTCTTGAGTTGCAGAGGTTGATCAACACTACCGAGGAGATCGTCGGCGTAGTCTGGACATATGCGCACGAGCGCATCGACGTTCTCCTCCGTTCGAGTTGGCGGTAGCCGCCGCATGAGATCTAACATGGAGTCTACGAGATCGCCCATGGTGAGCTGTGATATCTAGCCAAACGAATGGCGATGGAGAACGTGAGATAAGCTTGAGGGACGATGAAAGCAGAAGCTGAAGGAGATATCTGAACCTGAGCTCCCTGCCAAATACGTTCACAACACCAACGAAATGTTCTCCCCGCAGCATACTTACCAGTTGCTCAGCGCTCATATCCTCTCAAGTCGCGTCTCTTAAGCCAGAAATATCATTGAAGATGCTGTTATTGTTCTCGCTGCTTTTGTTTCACATTACCAGCTAACAATTGCAATTTGCCCTTGACCATCACCACCACAATGAGCAGCCTTCCATCCCCATCCCCCACAGACTCTTTCCCAACGCTGACATCGCAAACCCAGGCGGAAACGGAGGCCGTTCTGCTCAAACACATCCCCGATGGCGTCGAACCCCTCCCAGGACTACAGAAGAACGCACACATGCAGTTCCTCATCCGGAATCTTGTGCAAGGGTTCCCCACGCGATACACCAGCCAGGATGCGAGCCAGCCGTGGCTGATGTTCTGGACTATACAGGCGTTCAGCGTCTTGCAGGTTGGGTTGGATCCAGGGAACAAGCAGAGGTATGTTGTATCGTCGTTTCTGGGATAACATGAGCTCAGTGGTCTTGCAAGGGCGATTGATACTATAATGGCGTGGCAGCACCCAGATGGGGGGTTTGGTGGTGGACCAAAGCAAGCGGCGCATTTACTGCCTACTTATGCTGCTGTATGTTCCCTCGCTATCGTCGGCCGTCCTGGTCCCGGTGGGGGTTGGGATCAAATCGATCGGTGGATCCTTACCTTATTTTACTTCATGGATACTAACGATAGCAGTACAGAGAGAAGTTGTACAAGTTTTTCATGTCTCTGAAGCAGAAAGACGGGTCATTCTTGGTATCACATCACGCAGAAGTCGACGTTCGGTTCGTCTCCTGCCATCCATCCATACTTGGACCTAAGCGCTAACCGTGAACTGCAGTGGTATCTACTGCCTCCTTGTGGTGGCCTCCCTCCTCGACCTTATCACTCCCGAACTTGTAGCGGGAACAGCCGAGTTCATATCCTCATGCCAAACCTACGAAGGTGGCTTCGCCTCCGCCTCGCATCCATCATACACCCTCAAGGATGAGCTCCTCTCATCTCCACGTCCCCCACTGGGTGAAGCCCATGGAGGGTACACATTCTGTGCTCTGGCGTCCTGGGTTCTTCTCCAGCCCTACATCGTGGATCAACCCACGAAACCAACGATAAATACCAAGAACCTCTTGCGCTGGCTCGTCCAGATGCAAGGGACCGAGATTGAGCTGGGCGGCTTTAGAGGACGGACGAACAAACTCGTTGATGGATGTTACTCTTGGTGGTGTGGAGGTGCATTCGCACTTCTGGAGGCTTTGGGTGTTGGGGGGATCCAGAACGCAGATTCTGAAGAAGTTCCGATTGACGATCCTGATGATCCATGGAATGATATTGATGGTGACCACGCCGACTGAGTCCCCCTCCTTGCGCTAATACGATGCTTAGATGGGCTTTACAATGAGAAAGCATTGCAAGAGTACATCTTGTACGCTGGTCAACATCCTGCAGGGGGTCTGCGAGATAAACCACCCAAGTGAGCTTGCCAGATCTATGCCTGGTGGTTGCACTCACAGCTTACTGCACAGGAATGCTGACGCATACCATACCCTGTACTGTCTGTCCGGCCTTTCCTCGGCACAACATCATGTATTCCCCTCCACAGCTCGACGACAAAAAGTCGAATCCGCTTGGGAAGCCTCTCCAGGTACTCCCTTCCTTCCTTCTACGGTTCACGCAGTTAACCGTTGCTTAGACACACCCAACGAAGCCCTCCGTAAACGTGTCTTCACGTCTATCCTGTCATGGACAGAAGACGAAAGCACCAGTCCCTCCAGGATTGTCGGAGGTCACGCGAACAGACTGAACGCCACGCATCCGATCACGAACTTGACAATGACCCATACGGAGGCGATAGCTGCCCACTTTTATAGGCAAAAAGTCCCACCGAGGAGTAGGAAGGCACCGTTGCCGGCGTGAGTTGTGTGTATGTGCTGTTGAATTCAGAATGAGCCCCCCGTGTATACTATTGACCCAAGTGTGGTATGATGATGAAGCATTTTCATTCGTGACACCTTTGGAAAAGTTGATATGGGCAAACGGGTGTGGGCGCTGTCAGGGACTAACTGTCAAACCCCCCCTGCTCCGCGCGCTCATGGTTGAAACAACACTGGCAACCCCGCCACTACTTCGCCTTTGTGAGCCTGCATCGTATTGAATGCAAACTAGTGCAGTTCTCATGATACACCTCGCCTGGCTTTCTGGAAGCCTGCAACAGCGAACATCCCCGCTTTCGTAAAATTCCGGCTCGTATTGAAGGCAAACTAACGCAGCTGTTCTCATAGTTCAGCTCGCCTGGCTTTCTAGAAGCCTACAATGCAAAAACACCTTCATTTCTTGCGGATTCGTCTTTAAATTCCAGTTTCTTCAAATCCTAACGGTCACCGCCAGAACAAGTGTTTGAGCCGACGTTCATCCCTGTCTTCGTCTTTCATTGCCAGTCTCTCAAAAGACCAACGGTTACCGCCAGATACACGTACACATGTATTTAAGCCGACGCTCACTACTTTCCCCCTACCCTCATAGAGCGTTGTTGCTTAATGGGAGAATTCTCCCTATGTTTGTTGTCTTTCAGGCTCGTCAACCCTCATTTAAAATCTAAATAACTTCGCCGTCTTTCAGGGTTGTCCCAGAAGGTCCAGCTCGAAGATTTGTATATGTAATGGATCGGAGTGCTCCGCCCTTCAATCGAGCGCGATGGTACGGAATTGCGCTAAATCAACTTCAATTGAAGCGGGGACCTTTCTTGAACAGCCCGAGTGTCTATCGCAATCGGACTTCCCGGCTAGGTAGACTTGCCTTGAAATCAAATTCATTCGTAGATCTTGTAAGTTACGTGACTGCTTTAAATTCTTCAATAAAAGAGGAGACCTTTCTTCCACAGCCAAAAATATGCAATCGGGCTTCCCGGGGCTGAGGCGCCCTTGATAGTGGCATTAAACTTCAAACTTTCCCCACAAATTCCTCGGCTTGAGACGTAAGTAACACGTAAAGGCGGCCATCGCAGCTTGAAGCATAAAGGTGCGCATCCGCCCTCAATATATGACCCCGTTCAAAATGCTACGAAACAAGCCGCGTTGGCGTAGTGGTAGCGCGTCTCACTTGTAATGAGAAGGTCATTCGTTCAATCCGGGTACGTGGCAACATTTTTGCTACACATCTCGATGTGTTGCCAATGAACAACTGATGGTTTTAACCATTGATAAATTTCTACCTAGCTATTTTCTGAAAGTCGACTGTATTGGTGAGTAGCCAGTCTGCCGTTCGCCCATCTGCAACTCAACTGAGCCAGTTACTAACCCTCAACGGGAGCGCGCCGGGATACGCTCTCTCCGTGGAATTATTCTCGACCCACCGCCTTGACGTACTTTGCATCCCTCATCATGATCATTATCAACCCTACAAAGGAAGCAATGAAGGCCTAAGAATGGAACCTTCAAGGGCAGACCTTCGGAAATTCCGCCAATTTCATGGGCTTGGCGTCAGTTACGAGCTCCAGTAGTGCAGGGTTTGTTACTTGGATGTTAGTAACATGGGGGTATATCACACGTTAGTAACATGTAAGTAACATATCTAACAAGGGGGGCTCCAAAATGCGATGTGATATACTGTGATATACCCTATATCAGTATGGGGGGCAATAGTAGTTTTTGTGCGACACACCTTGAGGGTCCACTGTTAGGCTTGCCTGATTTTTTGAAAAGGGAATTCTGATAAAGAGTCAGGTTATTGGCTTGATTTTTGTGCTGGTTGGCAGCTGGTTGACCACTGCTTGGCCACAGAATTTGCCTGGTGTGCACAGCCCCTAAAAAACTTCTGACTCTCAACATATATTAGCAGCATAGTCTCAACACAACGATAAATTTGCTCCCTCCTCCCCTATTGAATAACCATGGACATACACACACCATGTTTCTAACATATTAGATACCCCATATTTATGTTATTAACACGTTATTAACTGTGTGGAAAAAATATTCCCACGGGGGTATCTCACAGTTACTAACACAAGTATCTAACCTCGCGCAGGGGCCCAAACCAATCTAACGTTACTAACACCGGCCGATATCAATCTAACCCAGCACTAAGCTCCAGCCATCTAACGCCATAAGCTGGAAGGAAGATCACAGTGATATTTCAGCCTTCGCCCTTCTGGAGTTAGGCCTTGAAAATTTGCATCAAACGTAGGCACATCGCATTTCTAAAGCGCGACCTCATGTTCTTCGCGTGCCTTTCCTTGCACTTGTAGCGCTATCATTGTTGGGGATCGCGCTTGTCAAACAACACCCCCAGGAGATGTGAACACTTGAATTGGGGTGCAAGGGGACCAGTAACTCGTCCATAAACTCGGAGTGACCCCTCGCTGTTGGCCGAGGCGATGATGACAGGTGGAGATTGAGCTCAGCTTGTCATCTCTCCTTTCTTCGAATTCTCGCCGTCGGAGAGAAATTAGAATCCATCAAAATTGAAATAGTTTCCTGCATCTTACACGATGGAACCTTCAATTTGTCGACTCCAGCTAATTACACAGCTAATGATACATCGCCCAAACCTCATGTAAAGCATTTTCATCACTCGTTAAGATTCAACAACAATATATCTGTAATACACTTCCGCAAAGTTCCGATCTTGAAGCCTGAAGCTTGAAGCTTGAAGCTGTAGTTCGACGCTTGAAGGTATGTGGACTTGGGAGGCAATTAATCAGATAAGATTAACGCTGATCACGTGTGAGCCCAAAGAGGCAACTTTGCAATATTCCTTGCGACTCAACTCATCTTGACCATGTCAAATTCGAAGCACAAAGCACCATCAACCGATACAAGAAAGAAGAAATATCGTTCTGTGAGACGCACGGTTCTCCGTCTGATTTGTTTTACTGATTGGTTGACGCGAAAGGATGGCACCCCCATTTGGGGCAAACGACATATCGATGGACCTGGAGTATGGGTTAGCTGTGTGTATCGGTTAGTGCGACAGACGTCCAAGAACTCATAGAATGGATAGGCGTGAAGGGAAAGGAAAAGAAAGCAGTCGGAGAAATATACGACGTATTCGAATCGGTGTGTCCTATCTAGATTCTATGAGCCCTGCTAGCTCATTTCTTTTCTAGATAGCCTCTGAAATCTGGCCAATAACGGATGCCGATTCAGGAGACACTGATTCTGACGCTGAATCCAAGAACGTCAGCATAGAGGCTCAGATTGCCAATGAAGTCTCTGCGATTAAACGCCCAAGGACGGAACAAAGATTTGGTACTGTGTGGTGCCTCAGCATGCCGTAAATGAGTTCACTGATACTTGCTCAGCAAATTGCCAAACAAACACGCCATGCGGTGTGTTTAATTTCCGTCTGGCCCTTCTTTCCTCATTGTTGTTTCAGTAATATTTATCTCGTGCAAACCACCTGTGGATCCTGTTGAGCTTGTGGTCAAGTTTATTAAGAGCGTTGAAACAACGGGTGTATCTCGAACAAGGTTCGCTTTGCCGCCTCTTTCCTGACCTTTGTACGTTTGACTACTCACCATACAGATATACTCATCGCCTCGTTCCAGTGTCAGGAAATTGTGTCGCTAACCTTCCTGAAATTGACGCACTGTGTCGCACGGTATTCCAGCCTTTCTTCGACAAACATGGGGAAAGAAAGTTTACGGTATTTCTGTCTCACTTTTTGGATTTTCTCTCTGATCGAAATCGTCAATATCCAGTACAAAATTGAATTGCGAATGAGGAACCACACGACAATACCACGCCAGGCTCTCATCCAACATGTCGCTCAATGTATCCCGGAAGGTCACAATGTTTCCTTGGCTAATCCAGAAATCTTCGTTCTCGTCGAGGTTTTCAAGGTAGGGCAATATTACTCCCTCATTCCCGCTCAATTTAATTATTTGCAGAGTGTCTGTGGCATCTCTATCGTAGAAGATTACTACCGCTTGCAAAAATTCAACGTCGCTGAGATTGCAAGCAAGAAGAATATGGACAAGTCAGATGAAGGCCGAGCATTTCAGACAACTGACGGCGCGGCTAGTAAAGAAAGAGCTGGTATTACAAACGATGATTAATGTACAGTAGAATTTGCTACAAGCCAACCGCAGCCTCTCCCTATATCGATACACATAACGACCCCGTCAATAGCGCGACTTCTAAGTAAGTGTCCAACAATCCATAATCCACGAGTCCTAAGAGGAAGAAGAAACATAAGGAGCAGATTGAATACGAGTTCAAACTAGCTATGAATAGGCATAGTGGAGAGAGGGCACTTGTGCGTGCTGGTTAGGCCAAGAACTGATTCCTGGTACACCATAACCAGTTTCGTGTTGGGATGTCCCGTATTTGAACGAGGAATCGGCCGACATATGACTATGTTGGTGATCATAGGCGTAGTCGTTTTGGGTGTATCGGGGAGCCGTTGACATTGAAGTGGAATAATGCTGGTCCGCGGGTTGAGTCTGGTGATACGACCAGTCTGCTGTATGCTCCCTGCCCGAATCCCATTGACGGTAGTCCGCCGATGAATGTTGTTGGGAGGGGACGAACTAGATTTAAATGATCAGAACGATTAACTAACCCGGAGAAGAAGAATTCTCACATCGTTACGGGGGCTTGTGGACTGATAATAGGATGAGTTATCGAGAACCTTAACTTCAGGTTCGTCGACAACATCGAAGTGATATACTATGGAAATTTCTTGAGAGGATGGAGCCAATTCTGGAGGAGCAGAGGAGCGGCAGGCGATGCTCGGGGTTCGGCACGATTGAATTGGGGTCAGTCGCTGCAGGATCGTGTACCGCGTCGGGTCTGGTAAGGCGGGTACTCGTCAGAAAAATAAATCGAGGGGAAGATATTATCTACCTTTTTTCTCGCAGAGCGTTTTCCAAAAGGCCGGGGTAATTTCGGCGCTGTAAAGCCATCCAGAACTTTGCACCGGTGATGAAACGCACTTGAGTGGAACGTCCTCCGTGTGGATCGGTGAGTGCGAACCATCGCGGTAAACATCAAAAACCGAGCGCAGGGTAAGAGCGCAGGGCGACGCAAATTCGACAGTGTTTAATAAGGTGCGCAGCACAGAGCCTCGGGAATTACGAGAGACGCTGTGTCCTTGATAAGCCGGGACAGCCGAAGGGGCCAAACAGACGACGAGGGGGTTTGCGATGTCGTTCGAAATGAAGTGAATTGTCGGAACGGGAGACATTGAGGGTTGAACGGAGATTTCGACATAAACAACGGTGGGGTGATCCCTGGAAGAGGAATTCTCGTAAGGAGTTTGAGAGGCGTGACGACTGCCCTCCGACGCGGTTCCAGAGGATTCTGTCATAGTCTCGGCTTCTGCGGACGAAAATCGACGGGAGATTAACTCCATTACTGACATGACTTGTGAGCCAATAATGATGAAACCAGGGGGAGTTAGACATACTGGGTCCGCCTTTACAAGTATCTCGCATCTGCTGAAGGCGACTCCCTACTTGTTTAGGGGTCCTCTGCTTGCCAGTAACCTCAAAAATATAATCCGAAATAAAGCGATTCCGCATCGGAAAGCGACCAAGAAGTTTGTTCGGCCGCGTTCCCTCTGGTTGATATTTTTCAAGGGCTAATGAAATGGCGTTAGTCACAGTCTCCGTGAAACCAATGCAAAGCGTGGCTTGCCTTCGATCAGAGCGGCCTCCCTACAAAAAAATTAGAGTCAGTTTCGGTTAGTCGGTCGTGGCGAATCATACTAACAAATTGGGTGGCCAAACCGCTTCGCCCTTTCCTCTAAGGGTTTTCCAACTGCGACGCCCAGTGGCAGCAATTTGGGCAGCGTCGCGGTACTTCTCTTCCTCGGACGGGGTGTAAGAAAGGTCGTCCACGGTGGACATGTTAATAAACCCATGTTGGCTGTCGGTTGTGGCGACGGAGACTCCAGAATGCCAATCTGCGAAGGACATATTGTCAAATGTGAAGTTTGGACGAGGTGGCTAGGAGTGCGACAGGAAGTTGGGAAGTCCAGGTTGATTGACGACCGCATTTAAAAGAAACTCGGTATATTAGAGCCCGGCGGGGGGCCTAACAATGAGGGTGCCGATGGCATCTCGAGGGTTGTTACAAAAAAAACGTTGAGATTCAGTTTAACCACGTTTCCCTGTCCGCCAGATTGAGAGGATCGGGCAAGCCGTCGATCTTCATAGCAGTTCTCGAAGACCGAGTGACCGATCCCCTCGATGGCAGAATTGCTTTTTGGGCGAGAGTGTGATATTTCCCCTTTAGGAAATCAGGAACAGATCGTCAACACAATCAAACCGGTTTAATCCAGATCCATGAGCTCTGCATGAAGGCTGTACCCCATATCTCACATCTCTTCATGACTGAGGCCTTGAGGACGAGTTAACTTAACTTTCCGTTTCCACTAAGACCACCCTCTATGTAACCGGGGGTTGAAACGGTTATGTGTAGCATCTGCATCATTATTCGAAACGGTTAGTGGAAGTACATTGGGGTTCAAGATACAAAAAAGAATTGAAGTCGTTGCTTTAATCGAATACATATGTTGCTGACACTGCACCCTAAGTAAATTTTGCTTCGTCTGTAGAGCAGTCAGCAAACTTGCCAAATATTCGGTTTTTCAATTTACTGAGTAGATACTAGACAGCTATAAACATTTGAACAATGGGTTGAAACTTGACGCTCTCTCAATGGTAAATATGTATGAGCGAGTTATGTGGAGCCGGAAAACCGAGCGGTGCAGTCTGGTGCAGTCGGTTATTGGTTACAGACCGTGCTAGACCTACTGGAAATGATCGCCGTTCCGAAAGAACTCGTTCAAAGCGCCAACTTTTTGGTACACTCAGGAAGATACGTTTTGCGGCCCCATGCAAACACAAACTTTCGCCCTGAACGGCGCTGGACTCGGACAAACGGTCATCAGAGAGAAAGACCTAAGGTGATATCATAACGTAGTACCGCTCAGGGTAGCCAGCTGCAGACATACGGTGTACCCCAGAGTGTTTGAACATGTCACACGAGCAAGTCGGCCTTCTCCAAGTAATTTGTTAGGAGTTCAGGCTCTGGTTATAGAGAAGGTATTTGAATTGGTTGTATGTTCCGACGGAAGACAGGAACTTTGGGTTGCCGAAGTTCCCAAGAAAACCACAATTGGGAGAGATACGAAGAGGATCCGAGTTCATAGTTGTTGCAAACAGCAGGCGAGCAAGGTCTCCGTCATCACGCGACTAAACGCCAGGTGTTTTCTTAGTCACAGGGACAGAACTGGATGTTGAAGCGAAGGTGTTTTGTGACGGGATTGACAGCACGCTAAGACAACGGTAAGAATGCCGTTACGCATCAAGAAAACGTGGAGAAGTGGCACACCGACCCGGGCGTCTAGTCAAGCAATGCGTTGGCGGGATCTGATGGATAAGCGATAGCGGGGGGCGTGTAGGGTCCACGGTACATTGAAACTTGCCGGAAAGTACGCCAGGAGTGAATTAGTGAACAGCCCGGTATCCGCACTCACTCCAAAACTCGACGTTGACAGACTGCTGGTAAAGATCCGAGCGGAGACAGGCGGAGGCGGTGGCTTCGGGGCGTATGGGATTTTCACGAAGGCCACCTGACAATCGAGTTCAACGTCTTGAGTCCTACAAGAACAATCAAACGACGACATTTAGCCGTTTGTAGACAAGTTTAGAGCACAAGTCGTTGGGCAAAGCTTAGGCATGCTGTTATCATACCAAAAAGCTTAGTGCCAAATCAACAAAGTTTTTGGCTTTGTAAAACAATAAAGACAAACGGGTCATACATGCTTACAAGGAAGCGACTGTCCTTGCACGCTTTAATTTCTCTAGATTGACACTGGACAAGTTGTTTATCCCCGACTGTCCGTTAATGACCTTGCAAGGTGTAATTGAGGAGTTTGAACAAGAATGACCAAGGTCGATCGTTTTCGTTTGGCCGAGGGAAGGTCTTCACCACTGCCGACACGGGTAGCGGCACATTCCAGTGGGTATGTATCACCGGGATAAATACCGCACGTTCGTATCCTCTTGCTAATTGAGTCTGCGCATCGGATAGATAAAGAACACTCCGCATCCTGGGGCGGCTCCTGCGACTTGCGAAAAAAATGCGCAAACCTCGAGGTCCTCATATGTCCTTTTTCACTGTAATCTAACGCTTAGTGACGCGTCGGAGATCCTAAAACGATGAATGGATCAATGCAGGAGCAAGCGATGACTTTTGGGATAGCCTCGGCACATTCCAACTGTCGATCAAGTAGTCTGCAGCTCCGATGCCGTAAAGTAAGGTTTCCCGCAGTATTAGGCTAGCTTCGTACCCAAGGAGGTGATAACTAGAGACGAGCACGATGGCATGGCGATAAGAATCCCAGCATCGTTAATGTCGGTCAGTCTAAGATCGTGAGTTCGGGCATCATCCAGAGCCAATTTTCGCTTGTTAAACCTCATGTCGCTTAAGTTGCAGAATTTGGTGGGTATGTTCGAAGAATAGGATCGTCTAGCGGATATATGAGACAGTTGCGTCCGCGCCAATGTTTGAAGCGTTCACTGCCAGTAAAAGTTCGAAGTTCGAAGCAACCCGAACCAGATGGTGTGATAAGCAAGCCAAAGCGAACTCAATCGTGAGGCTGGCTTGAGGTGGTTCAGACATCCCGCGAAGAACATGGCAATAACCGTCATCAGGGCCGCCATTTTGACCGGTGATCATTTGTCCACGTGTGACGGCGCTGCAGAGGGCGTACCTTTTGTGATCGTGAGGGTGCATAATACTGAATTGGAGGAAAGGGTTCTGGGAATTGTTTCGTGAGACACAGTTCAGCAGGGGCATTTGCTTGAGAAGAAGTTGCGGAAATTTCAAAAAGGTGAGGTCAAATGACGCAGGGGATGGGAAAGGATATGAAGTCTATCATTTGCGTATTAGAATTGAGCACAGGCGCAGCACTCACGAGTCACTGTATAGGTTCGTAGCCTTGAGGCGTGCGCACCTTACGACATTGTGGGTCCAGCGCTTCATGTCATCCACCGTCAACCGTATTTGGGCAGCGCCTCGGCCTAGATAAGGCATGGGCTCAGGCTGCGGCGTTCCAACTGGATCATTTTCAGATTCGTAGATTTTCCCCTTCGCTTCTCCAATTTGAGCGCGGCGAAGTCCTGAAGCAACCATCGCAAAAATTTGTTCAGGCTAGCTGGGCAATCACCGAAAGGATGCAGGAAAAGCAAATAAGCCACTGAAACAAGCAAGGGCAGGTGCCCTTTGTGCTGCAGGACTTGTGCAGGACCGAGCTTCCGTGAACGAGAAGAATATCTGAGGGCGCAAGTTTGCGAAATCCGCTTCCCAGCGCAATATACAAGTTCTCCTGAGCTTGCTCCTGAGTGATGAATCGATCAATTGTGAATACAATATGATGCTATAGGTCAAGGGTACTCGCGAGTAATTGAGTGTCGATTTTGGAGGGTTTGGCGCGTGTTAGGCGCGTGTTCGAAGCCTCGAAGGAAGGGTCTTCCAGAGTCCAGAGTCCATACTCAAGTTCAAAATTTGTTCGCGTTGCTTGTGCGTGACTTGGACAACCTGCAGATGACTAAGCTGACTAAGCATCGGACGGAACACACGGAAGCTGTCACATCAGAAGGTTATTATGTAAAAGCCATATGGCATAGCGCTCGCTGATGGTCCCTGTTGCGATGCTTGAAGGGATCCGAGGCAAACGGATATTTGGCCATGCAGATGAGTGGATAAATCTGAGAGATCATGCTGAAAAAAAAAAACCGCAGCTATGTTTTCTTTTGTTCTGATGCCAATGCCGACATGACGTAAGGACACATAATTGAATGTCAAAAGGCTGGAACGTAAATGCTTCTGTGCAATGAATATTGTAGTGCTACATCTAGGCGGATAGGGTCCCAATAAATGGGTGGTTCTATATCAATGTAGCAACCAAGTGAGTTTTACATGAGTGAGGGGAGAAACTGGGACAGGATGAGGTGACTATGCATGGATGGCTGACTGCCAATGCTGAATGGTACGTTTTACGAGACGTGTGGTTGGTGACAAACTGATGGGTATGTAAAATGGATAGGATCAGTAAAGTAGGTGGGTTGGAATGCGATGTTGAGAATCAAGAGTCTAGATGAGGTGAAACGATTGTTAATCGAGTATATGTCCTGGTGTTTTATTGCGTCGAGATGAGTTGAGCCGAAAATTGATATTCGTCTCTTCATCCATCTACCGCGCCAAGGACGAAGATCGCAGCCCTTGGGCTAACTCGGCTTTCCACTCTAATCTTCTAACGGCTTCGTGGTAGTCGACCCATTCTCTTCGTCGTTCTTTGCGTTCCAGCCAGTCCGGTTCGAGGACCGCCACGTCCAATTCATAGAAGTGGTACGTTGCTGACGGTGTTGGGATTGTGGTCACATAACGTGTAATTGTTCCGCGTACGCCAGCTGTTGGATTGCAGGACACACAACAGATGGATGGGGGAAGAACAGAGAGGACGACAATCAGGCGGTGAGGAGAGGAAGAGAGCAGAGGGTAGGACCTTCTTCCAGGGCCTCTCTCGAGGCTGCAGCCTCCAACTGCACATCCGATGGCTCCCAACCACCTTTAGGTACTAAAAAGTCGTGACGTAAAACTAGTCAGCGTCTGAGACACCCTTGACTCGAGAAAAAAAAATATAAAAAAAAGGAGTGACGTGGAACGGTTGACGAGTTGGAAGTTGGGATGAATACGGAGCTAAAGCACTCACAGACCCAGCTGTCAGGTCGTTTGCGACTAGTGACAACGAGAACTTTTCCAGCTGCTCTGGAGATGGGTATAGCGCAGCACACAATGCGAGGCACGGAGCGGCCTTTGGTTCCCATGTGGAAGGATCAAAGTGACGTGGGCGGTTTATTCGGGTTGGTAGTTGACGAAGAGCGGCTTTCTTGACGTGTTTATGAATTCTTCATCAGTTAATGAACGAGACAGTGAATTTCACCAGTCTGACGACCGATAAGTTGTGGGGGATGGATCTTGTAGGTGTGAGGAGAGATTAGGTCTGCGCGACGGATATTTGTAGTCTAGTGGTGGTGGTCAAGAAGAGTCAGAGAGGTGTAGAAGAGAAACCCAAGTGATCGGACCTAGACTTTGGGTCAAAGCGAAGCCGGCGTGGTCGTTGTTGAAATAGAAAAGAGGGAGAAGGGTGTGTGGGTGGATTAGGTGCTTTATAGTCGCAGTCACAAGAGTGTTAAGGAAAGAAAAGGGTTCGATGCTTGGAGGCGAGTAAAATTAACCTCCATATTAGGGTCGTCCGCCACACAAATTATTTGACGCACGTTCGTTGCCCATGCCGCCGGTCACTCCGCTTACCTCCGGTTCCTGCTGCCGGAACCACCGTCTCTCGCAGTGTCTCACGGAGAGTTACCTTATCTAGTCCGTCCTCCGAAATACTTAGCTTCTGCTAACACAGGGCTGCTTCCACATTGCAGCGCACATTCGATACCACGAAGCAAGAGGCACCCAACATGCAGTCTTATTTTCTCTCGAAAAGTTCAACATTCACATTAAGCTGTACCGTGAAAAGATACGTCACTCGGGGATCAGATGCACTCTACAGGCGCGGAAGATGAGGCCCGACTTTTGAGATCCGATGCTGAACAGACGCGCAAGATAACACGTCTAATAGAATCTGACTTGAAGTCGGTCACTATGACATATCATAATGGACATACTGAGGCTATTCATTCCAACTGCAACGGATGATGGATTAGGAATAACCTACGCGCATCCAACAGGAAAGTACTCACGCGACCAAAAACATACACACAACACCAAAGGCCATCGCAGCAAACTGCGAAAGAAACCCCCATCAGTACAACGCCAGGAACAAGGACATCCCCTTCCAAGTTCTGAATAAAATTTACTTGCCTCGCGCATGGCCTGTTTCGCGCTCTTGCTTTCTGCAAGCAGTCTAGAAAAGACAATATGATTTCAGCACATGTCTGAAAATCAAATTCGCGGAAGAAGAAACTAGGAACGCGGAACAGTATCAATAATCTGCTAGTCCAGATCAGTGACATCACCACAACTTGCGTTGTGTTAGAGGTTACGTCGCACTCCCCATGAAATGTCCCCGGGGAATGTATTTCTCATGTTCAAATGAAAAGAAGGACAGACGTACGTTGGTAGAACGGCGACGGCGCCGATGTACAGAAACCCGCCAGCGACGAATGGAATAACCTGGCAGGCAAATCATTTTTTTCAGGACCAGCGAGAGATCCTCGGAATATCATTGGGCATGTGACTCACAAGATCAGATAAATGCACGGTAGTGCCGAGCAGGCCCGTGGCGTCCTGTCGCACTCCTGCCGCGAGGTCTTTCAATTGTTGTTCGGAGTCTGTGACGGTTGCAGTGTGTACGGCAATACCAATAAAAGTCCTATTTCCAGTTAAAAGAAATGGTCAGCAAAAAACATCTCTGATTATTTTAAAGAACGTTCATACCCAACCTGTTTACATGAGGCCAGTCAGATCACTTGGCAAATTGCATTCGAAAGGAGAAGTGGGAACAGCCCACAACGTCCGAGGAGAGTAGACAGAGACGCACAAATGCTCCGATCGCGGTGAGGAACTGTGATTGCATGGCTTGTTTCTTCGTAAAACCGCTTCGTATCAGGATCGAGTAATCAGCAATCTCGTGGGGAATCTCATGCGCAAAGCATGCCAACGTTGTTGTTGCACCGATAAGAGGCGAAGCGTAGAAGGAAGCGGCCATGCTAGAAAGAAATACGGTGAGGGACTCTCCGACGAATGTGTGTCGCTTGTAATGCGGTTCGAACACTTACGCCAGGCCATCCGTGCTAGGGAAGGTAGACCGGATCAGTCAACTATACATGAAAAGGAGCGAAATGAACAGTCTTACATGTTGTGCACGAAGTCACCAAACAAATTCAAGTATGCGGACAGCTTGGAAGGACCATTAGCCCGTTTTTCCGGCTCCATCTCGCTTGTATTGGACCCTGCGGTGGTTTTCTCCGGATTTCGGGCTCGTGCTCCGCCTTGAGATGACGTAGAAACTGGCTCTACGCCTGAAATTCTCACAGCTGTAGGCTCGACGTGGGAATGCGAGTGAGAGTGTCCTGATCCTTCATCATCGCCGCTGAGAACGCGGAGAGTCTTCTCCATGAAAAAGAAAGCCGCAAACCCCACGAATATGCCGAGACTGGGTGAAAAGTTCGAGTGAGCACCACACAAATGTATGTCAGATGATGCTGACCCGATCAGAATGTTCCGTTTTTCTTCGACCATTACGAAGTGTACTCCCGACCCTTGGTTTTCACCCATGAAGGAATGTGGTACCAGATGCAGAAAAACGTCGGATAGAAGACCACCAGTCTGTAGATTTATGGCTTGATTGAAAGGTAATCTTAAAATAGACAATGACACGTACTGCAAACGCAGTCATGGTGTTGAGGGTATCCCCATTGATTTCAGCAGGAATAAAAGCAAGAATGAAGTTGGGAACGCTTCCTGTACAATTAGCCAGGTTGATGACAACAACGAGGATCACGCCTTGCACTCACGAGCTGATGTAAAACGTTCCAAGGATAGAGTTCCAGGCAGGCCCAAACGGGAAGAGCCAGGAGAAGATTTGGCGCATAATAGGCGACTCCTGGTCCTCAATGGCGTGTTTAAGCGCGCTAAGCTGTTTCACAGGCGAGCAATCTTGTATGTCAGCCTCCTAAATGCCCGTACGTGGATTAGGCAGCGTTCTGATTGAGTTATACAGCCGCCAGACGCACGAAAACCGAGAGCACTCCTTTGGCGCTGTGCTTCCCTGTGACTTGGGATAAGACATTGTTCTTTCCTCCTAGAAAGACAGTTAAAAGAGTGACTATAACGAGTAGGCGGGTATTGCGAGATAACATAGCAGTGGTCGACAATGAAGTCGTTGGGCGTTTGAAAGGCCCTCAACGCGTTTATTGACCGTGGCAATTTCAAAAGAGCCATCACGTGAGACTCGCAAAACCTCTCGGACCGTCGAAAGTCTAAAGTGTCCTCCTATACATGGAGATAATTGGCAGCACACGTTGGCTGCTTTGAATAAGCAGGATACAGGTTTGGATACAACCTGTGACCTGTCAGAATGTACAGCTAACTCTTGGACTCGCGTTTAGCTCTCTCTGCTTCGATTGCACGGAGAAATGCTTCAGCAGCCTCAACTGCTTTCTGGAACTGTGGATACATACGCATCCATGTAGCCCAGATCAAACTCCGATAAAGAGGGTTTTCAGAGTGAGGGCGGACATAACGAGGGTCATTGACATATAATGCCTCGACAAGTTCATTTATATCTGACATTTTCCTCGACCAGGGCCGCATCTTAGGAAGGGCTATGAGGTATACATTAACACTTGAGATAGCAACCCACCTGGTTGAAATCGATCATACTCATTGACACGACGCACCCATGAAGAACTCATGGTTGTCGTGTGCACCCCGCAATCCAGTGTATGTGGCTTACCATTTTTCTCACGCCAGTTGAAATGTCTTCTACATCGGGCTACTCTCCGACGTCACCAGCTTCCTTTACCTGACGATACCTGGCCACATCCAAAGCGAAGTTTGCAGAGTTAAAAAAGCGAATGGAGGCCCTCCTGAGGCAGCCTGTTGGATCGCTTTACTGAAATAGAGTCGACGGAGCGCGGACAAAATTGCCTCGTGGGACGTGCGGACCTAAATGAGGCCCTCGATGGGTGGAAAGTGTGCTATTAGGCGCTGCGGGGTCCTCCAAGTACAAGTACGCGAGAGGATGGAATCACGAAAAAGTAGTAGTATTAAAGAGCTCACATAATCGACAAATGTTTACGAGTTCTGTTGTAAAAGATGACTTGCACCCAACAAAACGGAAACTAGAGCGAAGCTGGGTACTCCTTGGGTACTCCCAAGGTACTCTCATGAAAGATAGAGATAAAATCTGACGTAAGCCACAATCTCACTTGTCCTTGTCAAACGATGGAACAGCGAGGCTCCGACCTACCGTTCGACTGCCATGTATCCCACAGCCCAAGAGCAGGAAGTCATTCAAGCGGCTGAGAAGATTATGATAGAAACGATGGCGAGATACGATCCTTCGCATGATAAATATCATGGTGAGCATCAGTACTATCGCAACTCACCTTGGTCGACATATGAATGCCTTTCTGCAGTTCAACGTGTCCGCAAAACCGCGCTCGCACTGGCTCGTAGTCTCCCCAGCAAACCGGACCTCCTTGTCATCGAATTGGGTTTGTAGCCAACATTTTCAAACAATCTTTCGTCACATTGCTTCCATTTTAGCCGCTCTGCTCCACGATGTTCTTGACAAAAAATATGTCACCCCAGAGGAAGCTTCCGATCCTTATGCATTCTTTCTCCCCTTCTTCGAATCCATGGCCTCCTTGCACGGCCTCAATATGATAGAAAATGGCCGGGCTCGCACGATCACCAAAATTATTGACAATGTCTCCTGGTCAACCGAAAAGAAGCTTAGAGCGAATGGCCTCTGGAATGAATGGCATAATTCTTGCGTAGAATTACATTGTGTCCAGGACGCGGATAGACTTGATGCTATTGGTGCTTTTGGTGCGTTGGGTTCTGTTGAGAACGTGGTTGTGATGACTGATGCACATGAGTTTAGGCATTTTGCGCTGCGCAGCGTACAGCACTGTTACAAACCGGTGAAGTCAAAAGCCTCGAGGCGTGATTATACTCATGGCTACGACAGAAGGTTGACCTCATTGTAGGCCGCTACACACCCCAACCGACGACCCCGAACATGAACACACAGCGATCCAGCACTTCCACGACAAATTAGTCCATATCTGTGAAAGACTTAAGACAGAACCTGGTAAGAAATTGGGGGACAAACGACATCAAGTAGTGAGTTCGATCTGTCGGTAATTTCGCAACTTTTTTTTTTGACAGTCACACCCGATCCTTCATAGTTGATCGCTTTTCTCGCTTCCGTGGATGATGAGTTTGCGACATCGTTAGAAGACCATACCCTAGATGTCAGGCCATATATCCAAATACCAGCCTCCTAATTGACCGTTGAATACCCGGAATCTATACCACTTTAGTGACCTTCACAACACTTCGTCTGGTCTTTCCAGCCCAACACAGCTTAAATGGAATCTATCCCCCTGATCATGATCGCACGGCCATACCCATCAATAAGCGGATTTGCCCTGATGAAATCCTGATGACTTAGGGGTTTTGGAGGTCCCCATTGACGAGGGTGTCAACTATCTCTAGAATGCCCTATTAACAATCAACGGGTGAGCCGAGGTGACAATCTACGTTCTCGCATTCTCAACGTGCCGCTACTCTATCACTAGCCGATTTCATAGCAAGACGAAGGCAATCTAGAGTCTAAACATACGGGCCATGAGCTTATCAATGATAGTGGGTCGTTTTGCCCATATTCAGGAAAGGCACAACATACGAAGCGCTGAATCTCGTTCACTTCGTCTCCGTTAACTCGGGACACCCAATATACCCTGAACGAGGCTTCTTGCCGCACTAACGAAATTACAATCGTTGGTATTCATTAGGAAACAGTGTGCGCCCGACTATTTCGCGCTTCATATCAAAAGGATCGCTATCCGTTCATGATCCTATAAGGTCCCAATTCCGTCTTAGCCCGTTTTGACCCCTAGCGTTTCCGCAGCGTCCCCCAAAAGAACAGGAAGTTGACAGGAAGCCCAAGTGTTCCTTTGTTCACGGTGATCATCACTGATAAGTCAATCTCCCAGAGTGGCCATTTGGCTCCGAACACTGAGAATTGGTTCGCAAAGGATAAATGCGGAAATGTTTTCTGTTCAGAAAAAGCAACTGGTACCCAGATGCCCGTAAGGCAAGTGATAGTGTTAAGGCTTCTGTACCAAAAGGCTGGCTCCATAATTCCCAAAGTGAACAGCAACAGATAAACATCGACGAGGTAGAGAGAGTCGATCAAGAAGGGGCCGGCGGTTACGGAGGCGCTGCAACGCTAACGCTGCCATCGTTGGCCACTGAGAGTCCACTGAGGTGGTCGTCACTTGCCTCAGGACGCATGGTGAACAAGGCATTTGCCGCCTGCAGATGTGCGGTTACGTTTGGACAACGCTTGTGCCTTTGGGGACGGCGACGACCCCATTCTGAGCGCAAATTTTCACCAGCACACCAGCAACCATGCGACTTTCCATGACAAGTTGTTGCAGGATGTCATCTTGACACTTGACGTCCTCCTTGAGATAAGTATCACATCCAAGAAACAGGCACCGACTCTTGGATATCAGTTGCCATCAAGCCATCATGAATGGAAGCGCCAAATTTTAGATTGAAGGCGATGCAAATAGACTCCCCGACCTTTCACAACTCCCACTCTGAACATGAGGATGCGGCTGGATGCGGCAACAATAATCCTTTTCGATAGTATTACAACAACACACCTTCGTGGCCAAATACCAGTATGGAACCAAGATAGTATGCAAAAACAAGAGTTCATGCTGCCCCTGTTTTAGTCAAACGCCGACATATCAATATCATAGAAGAAATGCTAAGGGAGTGAAAGAAGATTCAGTAAAAGTTCGTGCGGGACGTCACGTGACCGTACGGGGGGACGCAATATGTCGAGAAGGAAAGGTGAAGTAGGAACTTACTTTATACAGACTCATTACTTTTACGGCCCAAGCTTCTAGATGAAAGATCTTTTTACTTCCTATTCTCATTCGGACCTCCTGTCGAACGAGCAATCAGCTATCACTTCAAAAACGAGAGGGACACACTCACATAAAAAGCTGCCCAATGCATGACGTCCGCTTTCAGGCTCTCGTCCACTTTCTCCACGACACGCTCGGCTACAGTCTGAGATTGGAAGATAAGTAACCGCCGGGAGACACGAACCCCGAAACAAACCTTGAGTATCACAGTTGGCGGTATACAATGGCTCAAAAGCTCATAAAATTTCGCCCGAACCTCCATCACCCGAGCGGGAGATTGTTCACTGACGATGAGGTCAGCCACCTTATGACAATAGGTCTCCCAGTCAGGTTTTGCGATTGTAAGAGGGCCTGTCAGGTCTGGTCTACCAATTGGTTTGGGTATCAAGGTCAAACAGGGCTCATTAAACAGATTACTCACGACTGCATCTTCAGAGCTTCCAGGACAAGAATGGCTTTCCGCATGTTCCCCCCACAGTCGTCCACGATTTTCATGCCAGCTTCTGGAGGAAGATCAAAGCCTGCCCTTCGAGCGACGAGCTCTAGAACGTTTAGCATCTATACAATGGTGAACGTCAAAGAGATATTCAATCTATAACAATGCTCGTACCTCCTCCGGGCTAGGTGCAGGAACTCTCATGAGCAAACAACGACTTTTGATAGGAGCAATCAGTTTGCTGGTACTGTTCGCACATAGGATGATCCTCATGTTCGACATATATTTTTCCATTGTTCTTCTCAGAGCGGCTTGTGCATCACGCGACAGCGAATCCGCTTCGTTGATAATGACGACTGAAAGAAAGTTGTCGTCGCTATAAGTCAATTCAGCAAAAGAATGAAGGGCGTACTTACCCTTGAAACGTTGTTTAGCATTGAGATCAACTTGTTGTGTTTGCGCAATTTCTTTGAGTAACTCTTGAATCACAAGTCGGTCGTAGTTTCCAGCCTCACTAAAACAACGGAACTTGATCAGCCGACGGTAGAAGAGTTCGAGAAATGCTCCGAAAGTACCTGGGCGTGATCTCTATGTGGAAGTTACTTTGAACAATGTTGATTTCGAGTTTCCGCTTGGAAGGCGAGAGGAATATTCTTTGATCGATTTTCAGCTGTAAAGGCAAATGTTAGCCTTGCACAATATCATAGCGTCTATGGTGGCTCGCCTTTTCTACTCCATTTCCGAATAGCTGCCGCAGAGTGCAAGTTATACGGGTCTTTTTGCCAGCACCTGAAGGTCCATAGAAGAGCATATGCGGGAAGTCGCCTGAGGAAGCCTATTACAGTATTAGATGGACAATACATCCTGAACGGGCGACATACAAGAGATTTGAGGCGTTCTGAAAGTCCTCTATGGTAGTGCAATGCATCAAGGGTTCTAGGTCGGTACTGCAATGAGGTCTTGAGTATAGAAAGAAAAATAGAGCGCTTCCAAGTACCTCGTCAACCCAGAGTGACATTTTCAAATAAGAACTGCGCCTTGGAAGTGGTCGCTATAACTCAAACGGGATGATGAGGGTCAAAGGCAGAAGGTCAGTCACGTTCGCGTGACATAACGCGTTCTGGTTGTCACAGCAATGGTATGAACAGGACGATGTAAAAGTACAAGCTACGGAAGCAGAATGGGAGAAAGTGATAGTACAAGTCGATTCGTTAATCTCGCGTAGCAATCCATTGAGTTTAGAACGCCGTCACTCCTTGAATACCCAGGTCTTCCGCAATTATGACAGCTGCTTTTTCGCCCACAGCGATAGCGGTGTTGTAGGTATTTGCGCCTACATTCTCAGGTGTGATGCTGAGATCTAAAAAAAACAGGGTCAGAGGGTCCCAAATATCTGAGAGTACCTCAATCCTCACCTGCAACCTTGAGATTTTCGACTCCATAAACGTTGAGTCTTGAATCGACGACTCCACCCTCTTCACGTGGTTTCATGGCACAAGTACCAATCTGAAAGACTTGTAAGAACCGTTATGACGGACTACGAGCGACCCCACTCACCGAGTGCCAAGTGGTTGCAACTGTTCAACATAAAACACTTCAGTGAGGAACAGCGAGTGGCAAGCAAAGACGAACCAGTGTTTCTATGGAAGTCATCAATGGCTGCATCGTCTTCAGCCGTATAGACAATCTTTGGTGAGTCGATCGGGTCAGGCCCAGAGGCGGTGGTTTTCACCGCAGCTTGACTACCTGCGGGGAATTCTGGGTGTCCAGCTGCCAGCTCGCCACGATATGAGTCCATCCTACGGGCAAACTCGCGAGTCCACTTGTAGGCCCATCTTAGAATGCCTAAATCAGCTGGGCTATCACAACAACCCAACATCAGCAACACTTGGGCGAAAAGGCAAAGAAAGGAACCTACTCGTCCAGGTACCCAGGATGGAAATCGAGCAGAGCATAGGGGTCTAGCCCAGCGGTGATATGGACATACCCAGTCGACACGGGATAACCCTGTGACGGCTAAGCATCACATGAAAAAGAGAGCTTGCTACACTTACTGAGAAGTATACCATGCTGTAGCACTTGCCTCTCGGAACATTGGGGTTTGGACCAAGGTAGCTAACCAGGGCGCTCTTGTAAGCAGGCGAGGGAGTACTTGAATCAGCTTACGCAGTTAGGGTTCCTGATAACATGACAGGCTTGTCGGGTGCATTCGCAAAGTAGGTCTTCCACCTGTTCTCAAACCCAGGTCCGATCTCTTCGAGCTCTTCTGCGTTGGGCCTCAGCTTAATGCCAGCATCGACTCCACTGGATGACACGTTAGCGCTTCCAAAATCGTAGAGGGTCCATAAATGATTCACTTGTGGGACAGCAAGCCCTTGCCACCCTCGAGCCATTGAGTGGCATAGGCTGTCAGTGGAAAATCAATGGTCAGTTATGATTACCCAGGAGTATTAATACACTTACGTGCAATCTCGTCTGGTGTCCCATGGAAGATATCATCCAAGGTATCCGCATCTTCCGCCGCAACAAAAGGCGTAAACATTAGGTTGTGATCTGAACCTAACATCAGGACATAACGGAATTGAAGGAAACTATAGTCTCACCCATGTAATGTTCACCGACTCCTGGGAGGTTAACGATCTCCTTGATGTCATTCTTCTTCAGAATTTCACTGGCTCCGATTCCGGATCGTTCCAGAATTGAAGGTGATCCAAAGGCTCCCGCGGAAAGGATGACGAGGCGAGATGCCCGAGCTACAGATGGTTCTTGTTCTCCTTTGGCTCTTCCGATCTTGTCACCCACGTACTCTACCCCGACTGCCTTGTTTCCCCTGCAGAACATCGTAAGAATTGTTATTATGTTGTCCGGTCAAACTCACTCAAAGATGACCCGAATGACTCGCTGCCTATCCAAGACCGTCAAATTCTTGTTTTCATCCTGCGTGTAGATGTAGTGATGAGGTGCATCGGAACGTCTGCCGGACTTTCCGTCGATGTACCTTGATATGTTCGCCATGAGTTGAAAAGAAGACTAAGGCAGGTATCACGGTTACCTTGGCCATCTCTGCAAGAACCCTATTCGTCAAGTCCCATGGCAAAAAGGGAAAAAAGAGAGCGACGCACAGCATATACATTGACGTTGCGGAAATCATTGATGTCATCGCTCTGACCCCGCTCTTTGTCGTAAGCTTCAGCCACTGCAAGGAATTGAGAGCCAATGTTAAACTGGCTGCTGGCAAGCGATACTTTGATAGGGCCTGATTTCCCATGAACGGAAATGTCATTCACTTCAGGTTCGAATGTTTCAGCCTAACACGAGGTTTGAGAAAAGTGGTGAAGCAATGAACAAACGGGCCAAACCTTTTTCAAAAGAGGTATAAGGTCTTTCGAGCCCCATCCTTTGTTACCAAAGAGTGTTTCCCAGTCATCGTAGTCCGAAGCCGCAGCACGAGTGTATACCATGACTATACCACTTTGTAAGCATCCCGGTATCTCTGAGCATAAACCACTTGCAATTGACGCTAGATCCTCCGCCGAGAGCTCGTCCGCAGGGAACTATAGGCGATCGTCCATTCAAAGACTTGCTCGGCTTGCCAACATGGTACGTGAATGTTTCTCCACCTCGTGCGAGGTTACTGAAGTAGCGCGCAGGCTGGATGTGTGTTTCGACTTCGCGAGTGTGCGGGCCAGCCTCAAGAATCTAGAATCACTGTCAGTCTATCACGCAGCCCCTCAAACAAAGAGGGATCACCAGAATCTTCAAGGAAGGGTCTGCCTCTGCAAGGCGACCAGCTACAACACACGCCGTAGCACCGCCTGGCGCGAAATTTCAGCGTTGGAACAGACCTGCAACATTACGTCTAATAAGCACTTACCCCCGGCAAAAATAATATCGTAGGTCTCAGATTGCGCAGAAGACATGTTGTCAGGAGAACAGAAACCAGATCGTTTCCTCAATGCCCCGCCCTACTTATTTATCTGTCAAACTGATTGTTATCGATGAAAAAACCCTGATCAGAATCTAGTAATTACCAGGCAAACGTTTGGAAAGATATCAAAGTAGGTACATCTTTCCACGTGTGACACCTTCAATAGAAGTGCTGGAACAGAACTCAAAATGACTACAGCCATCTTCCGCTAAAGGCGCCTTTCTATCAGTGGTTCCCCTGGGATTCGGATGGAAAATACCGGAATCAGCTGACCCTTTACGATACAAAGCCTAGATGTTCAAATCGAGTTTGAAGAGGCGTGAAGGCCCGAGTATTAATGCGGTACTATAGGGTACTATCCATCGAGGATCATACAGCTAGGCTTGCCAAGCGCCTAGCTATCGGCATGTGAGTTTTGCGGCCCGTTCAGATTGAAAGTCTTGCGTGAGTGACGAGGTTGCGTACGTTCTTCGCGATCGGTGGTAAACAGTAACGTTTGCGTGAGACTTGGTTGCACGCCCGTCTCAGGGTGCCCAGAATCTGAGACAAATTGAGTTTTAGTAGCAGTCGGACAAGGAGCAGAAGCGAGTTGGCTCCAGTGTAGGACCGGTTTCTTCGACTTCTTCGATGTTGCATTGCAATGATTATGATCCGGTCGCAGTCATCTTCCATTACCAAATAAATGATGAATGCCATTGACCACGGACAAGAGGATAAGAGTTATGTGAGAGTCAAAGATAGCCTGGGACGAACGTCAATGTTAAGTCGACATCAAAATCGAGATGTACCGAGGAACAGTACACCGTCCTGAAGTAGTCATGGCGGTGTCAGAAGCACTAGCGAAGTAGCCCCCAGTGCAATTCCGACTTTTCCAGCTTCTTCAACGTTGGATTTTGGCCGACCCTCTGTGATATTGATCCATTCAAATAATTGAGTTGCATGAACTGAGTCGGCGTAAATTGCGCGTCAGACCGCATACTTTTTTCCCAGTGCTTGAGGCCCAGAGACAGTAAGTTATCGGGGAGAGAATGTCAGATAGGGAAGCATAAAAAGTACAATGACATACCAAACATCATTTCTACATCGCAACATTTCACAAAATGTTAAATATTCAAAATTGCAGAAGTAGAGAGATCGAGCATACGAAGCAACATCAAGGAGACTGATTAGTAGATACATCATACCCAGTGGCTTGTTTTTCCGGCTCCACTGGTGCTTCCAACACGGTAGGAGGTGGAGGGGGGAGAGCAGTGGCCTTCCACCCAGTCCTAAAGGACGCGACGGCGGCAATAAGGCCGAAAACGCCCAACCAAGCCTGTTAACCCCGCGTCAACGACAAAATAGGGATGGAGGATAGGTGGCTTTCTACCTCGTTTTGGAATAGCCCCTGTTCCAATGACCTGATGGAACAATATGCGATGAGTGTATTGTGCCACTGAGATCATGATAGCATACCAATGAATAGTTAAAGGGAGATATCCAACATTGATCACAACTTCTGACCAAAAGGCATCCCATCTCTGCTTTAACTCCTGTTTCTCCGTCTGCGTCAACCCAGTCCCTTTCGCCTTCTTCATCATCAACTGCCTCTGCTGCAGTATCTTCCTATCTTCCACCAGGTGCGCAAAATGCAGGACAACATATAAAGCCCAGAATCGACATGACCACATTCCCAGTCTATCGGCGTCTAGTTTAACTTTCTTGATCTTGGAAGAGAACAAGGACAAAGGGGAGGTGACGGTGGAGGGGATGATCTCGTGTGAGAGGAGATACCAGAGGTGTTCGAGGGGGTAGTAGGCGAGCATTGACCATCCTTGTAGACGTTCAATGGTGAGTAGGTTGCGTGTAGATGGGGGGCTTCGTTCCAATGATATTAACCATTGGAAGATGGGCAAAAGGCCTAGCAAAAGAAAAGGTTAACTCGGGTATGAGGATGAGTTTAGAGTGAGGCTGACCCCATATCCTCCATAAAGTGCGCCCGTCGGCTATAAGATCCCCCAGCTTCGCATACGCCTCAGCACTACGGCTGTTAGGAGTTTGACGAAGGCCTGCGCGGTGTTGTACACGCGCGCGTAGTTGCAGAAGTGGGACGATAAGCTTCACGGCGTATTGTATGACCTTCAGTACTCATTTCATCATCGAAAATGGTTCTAGGGTGAGTCAACCAACCATGAACAGCTTGCTGTAAAGAAGTACGTCAGACTAGACAGTGAGTTTAGATGTGAAGCAAACGCAACTCGCTACCGCTCCACGTCCCGAGGTATCGCACTAAATGGTCGAGGGTCTCTGAAGGTTGAACATGAGCGAAAGCGCCCAAGATGGCGTCGTTCAACCGGGCTAGAGTTATCGCTTTTGGTGGCTGGGCCATTTCCTATCTTTACGTGGTGTAATCAGCGTGAAAACAAGGAAAGATGGGAGGGAAAAGGCTCACAGATAGCCGTCGACATTTATCTCTTTCCGAGGACGCCTGTGATAACCCGAACTCCTGATGCGCGGGTGGGAAGTAATTACGTAACCCAAATGATTGTATATAAACCTTGTCCCAATTTTTTTGAACCTTAGAACAAAACACTGTGGACATAAAAGTTCGGGCTCGGTATAAGCTTTTCCGCCTCCTTGTCCGCGTTCCCGTCCCCTAGACTATACCAAGGTGCCACAGGCACTGGGTTTCGTTCTGCTCGGGATTTTCTCGCTTCATTGCGCTCTCCCTCGTTGGAGGCATCGCCTCGCTGCTGGTGCTCATGATGGGAGGGGGGACGTGATAGAGGGAATCTTGGGTTTGGGTGGAACCTACAAATACCTACGTGACGTCTTCTGTACTTTTTGCTCTTTGAGTGCTAAAATTATCTTTTTTTCTTCGTCTCGAGTGACTGGGAATTTTCTGGGTCGTTATCTGCGATGTGCACCGCAAGTGCGACTGCCTGTTTTGAAGTTTGCACTGCAGTGTTCGTCGACCAGCCATTTTTTTGAGCCATAAAATTGCCTCAAGTTCTCGGGCAATGATTGAATGCGGCTTCCACTCACACACTTTGTATCGAGCATCCAGTTCTCTTTCCCTCTCTCAAAGCTAACATTATTTTGGTTATCCAGGCTATCAAATCCGTGTCCTCCAAGGAAATTCGGACGAGCTAACTTACGTCTGCCTTCAGATAATCCTCAATAGGATGATAGTCACATTAACACTGGGACTGAGATCAGGAGAGCGTATCTGCTTGGCTTGAAGTCGTGAAACCTTCGGTCACGGCTACTTTGCTTCGACAAGACTTGCGTCGACTCGGATCTCCTTCCTATCCCAGTGCTCTCACACGACCCCTTGCCCTTCGAGGTTGGAGGGAAGCAGGGAGAACGTATCTGCAAGTTGTGGGACGTTCATCATCGACTCACATCTCAAATTTTTGATGAATGATGAAAACACCATGCATTCAACACATGTAACTTGGTATCGACCATACATTTCCCTCTCTATCCACAAGACCAATACAAGCCCTTCAAATAACACTCCATCCTTGATCGACCGGGATAATCGCCCCATTGACACCGCGACTAAGGTCAGAAGCAAGGAACAAGATAACATCAGCACATAATCGCGGTTCAGCAACACCTTCATTCGTCAACACATCTTTGACATGGACATCCAAAACAGGCCTGTGTACCGAATCAGCTCGTCAAACCCAAAAAAAGGAGAGAAGACGTACTTCATCCTCAACATCGCACCCATATCCCACTTCGAAAAATCCGCGCCTTTAGCAATGTTCGTTTTTACAGCTAGTGGCGAACCAATCAGCCACCATTCAAGAACTCGCTTGTCCACTCACCCCCAGGACAAACAGCATTACACCTCACTCCATCATCCTTATACAACCACGCTGTGTTTTTCGTAACACCCACCAACCCATGCTTACTCGCCGTGTATGCAACACCCGCAACCGCCCCACTAATTCCCGCCTTACTCGACACATTCACTATACTCCCCCCCTTCCCCTTCTCCCCGTCGCCTTGGGTCTTCATAACCCCAATCACCTCCCTCATAAGCCTCACAGGCGCCGTCAAATTAACGGTCATCACCTTCTCCCATACGTCATCACTCAACGTCTCCACACCCTCATTTCGGTCTATAATACCAGCCACATTGACCAATATATCAATACGCCCACCAAAGGCTTCTTTGGCTGCCTTGACGATGAGGGAGGGCGTGGAAGGGGAGCCGAGGTCCGCTTGGTAAAAGGAGAAGTGGGTGTCTTGGAGACCTGAAGGGGCTTCTGAGAGGTCGACGCCGAGGACGTTGCAGCCTGCTGAGATGAAGGCTATGGCGGTTTCGAGTCCGATTCCGCTGGATACGCCTGTTACGATTGCTACCTGGCAAGAAAGGTGTCAGATTTCGATTCAGCAGAGGAGGGTGGTGTACCCCACTTTTCCTTCGAGGACGTTCATGGTGCAGGTGATTGATGGGTGGTAGGTGCTAGGCTAGGCCTATTTATGTAGATGGGTTGAGTGTCCTTATGGGTATACGATTTCAGCGACTTTATACTCGTGAATATCCAATCAACCCTTAAATTTATCGAATGATCCTACATATATTTCGACCCCTTACGAGCCCGTGTACGTTGCGTCGCCTGACACCTTCGAATATTCGGGAATTGCTCGGTGTGTACAGCACCTCTAAGCTCTCCATGTACATGTAACCCGTCCTCACGGTCGCCCATTGTCAACGTATACGACATACGTAAGTACTCCGGGTACTCAGGAGGTGAGTAATAAAGCGTAATACGTACTTCGTACAAGGAGTCCGATTTACAGTACTGGAATTGAATATCGAATATGTAGTATTGGAGCCCGTGCGTAACATGTGTAACATATGAGGCACTCCGGCCCCCGCCCTCTCCTCCTCCTCACTCTCCATCAACGCCCAGATGATCTCCCCACCCAATTGTCCAGCCTCCTCGAAGCTTGACTCAAAGAAACGGCTGGTCTCCTTCGATAAACCTTAAAATTCCCAACGAAACATACTGGCTCCATCCCCTGGCTGCTACTACGAAGCAACCATGGCTCTCTCCGCTTCGATTCAGAAAATCCCACGTGCGACAGTCCACAACATTTCTGTAGCACTCCATCACCTCAATTTTGAAGATCCCTCCAAGATGGATGCCGCTGAGCGCGCGTCGCAATCTTATCAGATACACTCTAGGGTGTTCCCAGGCTTCCACAACATTCTTGTGTCAATCTCATGAACCCTTTCCACAGTAACCTCGAGGCAGAGCCCATCCATGGCCGAATGATCTGTATAAGCTCAATGCCAGTACTTGTTGTCATCGAGAACGGAACTGAAGGCGAACATGCTAAGTCAAGTTGCCCGGGCTAGCAGCGAGCTCTTTCAATTCGCCAGCTCAATGACCTACCTTTTTTCAAAGGATACTGTACTAATCCAATCAATTTGTTGGTCACAGGGGGCAGCGATGAAACCTCTCTACAGCCCACGGCTGATCGTCATTTCGACAAATTTTTCTGGCAGTCACCTTGCTTGGTGAAGCAAAATTTCGTCGCGTCAGTCACATGCCACAGGATGTGACGATTTGGAATAGATTGGAACAGTATCTAACGCGCGCCACACACGCGCCGAGGTCTGCATCACATGAGGACTTCTGTGATAGGCATATACTCAAAACCCTCGACCTGCGATTCCCATTCCATTCCTCCTCCACCCTCAAGTTGGACGATATTCTCGTATCTCAACTCCATCTTCAAACTATCTTTATGTCAGATGACCTGGGGCTCTGCTCGACAAGCTCGTTTCCTCGATGCGCCGGACGCAGTTGAGTATCTCAAACGTGTCAAACAGCACTTTACAGGCGATTCGGTGACATTGTCTACTTTATTGCGTCGATTCCGCACTTGGATCGAAAACGAAAGGTGATCGACCTTAGTTACCCTGCAACTCCTGGCTGAATCCTTTTAATTGAGCACTAACCCTGATTTCGAGCAATCAGCTATTGCCATTGCGCGTACATTGAGGACCAGTCCTCCTTTGTTACAGGGGTTCAATTCTCTGCTCAAGAAGGGTTACAGAATTGAGTTTTCCAACAAAGTTGAGATTGTAGATCTCTTTGTGGGGGCAACTCCCGCCGCCGCAACGATACAGTCTCTCTCAAAGTCAAATGTACCGTATCCCGCCTCTGCCGCAGATCTTCGGGGTTTGCTTTCTTTAGACCAAGAGCTGGAGGAACTACTGGGGTTGGAACATGGAAAGTATGGGGACGAGTATCTTACATGCCTCTCTCAACTCTTACAATTTGTGAGGCATTGTATTTTGAGGCGCTTACTCGCTGATATCCGATTAGATCATGGACGACACTGCCACGGATACGGATCCTGCTACATCTTCTCGATGTAGGCGCAAAGCGTTACGATTTCTCCGACAGTTAGCGATAAAGCGGTCCATATTGCCACCGTCATTGTTCTTAAACAATCTGAAGCGTGAAGATAGTAATGGGCATGCGGTGGGGGGAGGAGCCTTTGCCGTGAGCATTGTATCATCGGTCTTGAGGGCCGTTTCTCATGAGTCTCAATGTCAGGACATCTACAAGGATCGCATTCAGGGTACTGCTTTTTGTTTCCGTGTCTTGCGTATGTTTGTCACAGCCGAGGCACTCGGAGAGCGCGAAAAACTATACAAAGTAACTTTTATCGTGGCTGATCGTCAATCAATATGAGCGCTAAAGGTGTCTCCAGGAATTTTGTTCAGAGGTTCTTGTTTGGAGACAACTTAAGCACCCAAATATCCTCCCTTTCATAGGAGCAAGCACAGAATTGTTTTCTCCCCGATTCTGCTTCATTTCTCTCTGGATGGACAGGGGCGACATCATGTCGTACTTAAAACAAAACCCCCACCACGATCGATTTGCTGCGGTACGCTAATCTGACAGGGAGTAGTATTCTTCTCAACACTGGTATGATATAGGTCTGTCAAATTGTTGATGGAGTAGAATATCTGCACACCCTTGATCCTCCCGTCACACACAAGGACATCAAAGGAGTGCGTTCAACCGACTCCCAATTAAAACCTTTTTTTAAGCTTTCAACTACTAGGCCAACGTGCTCGTAACTGACGAAGGTATCTGCTGTCTGGCGGACTTTGGCCTCTCCTCTATCTTTGATTCGCAACGAGTGGATAAGACCGAGCCTGGACTTCAGGGATCGATATGTTGGCTCGCGCCTGAGCTCATGCAGCCAGGCCGCCCATCAGCTCACAGTGCGAAAGCCGGCGATATATACGCACTGGCTTGCACTATCTATGAGGCAAGTATCGCTGTTCTATCTCAATGGCTCCAAGCCGACCTCACTGTCAATCAGATCTACACCGGGAAACCTCCTCTCTCGGACCTTCCCAACAGTATTGCTGTCATGCGCAAAGTTTTAATGGAAAAACAGAGGGCTCCATTGCCGCCGGAGGGGACGGCGTGGACTTATGAAGAGCAGTAATTATGGGTTCTGGTTGGGCAATCATGGGCTGAAGATCCTGAGGAGCGATATGAAATTAGGAAGATCAAGAACTTCTTGAAAGACCTTGTCTGCGATAAAACTCCCGAAGGACCTGAGGAGGTTTGTGCTCGTGCATCCCTCGAAGAATCTAGATCAACAGTAGCCGACGAAGGTCGTCAACTTATTGCAGACAATGAAAACATCGTTAACGCGAAGGCCTGGCTAGAGAAAGAGCTCAGTAATCCTGCGATGGGAGATGCTGTTGTTGACCCTTTTACCCCGTTTATCGGGGAAAGGGTAGAAACTCCAGACTGCCGAGACACTCGTGAATCAAGTGCGCTTGGGAGTCTAACTCAGCTTCGTCTTGAGCGTCGAGAACGCCAAGATTTGAATAGCAAAGGGCCGCCCAGGGGATCTCCTTCGGCACCTTCCCTGGATCTCTGGAATGCACGTTATACTCATGGACTGGCGACACCTATTAGTCCCTCGCCATTGCCTTTTAATCCACATGCACTGGTACCATTTACACCATCTGTGGTTGTGGCATTAGAGACCCAGATCCAGCCTCGACTAACTTCACCAGCATTTGTTTCTTCAGCTGGGTTCAATTATAATAGTTTGAGCATCGATATCCCCTCTGTTACACCCTTATCAAGCATTCTTCAACCTCATCCACCAACACCTGTGTCAACGACAACAACCTCTCGAAAAGATGACGTGGTTTTCAATTGTTCGGCTCTCTGTTCCTCTTTGACGACTTATTCCTCCTTGGGGGAATTAGCCGAAAATCGTGAACAATCCCGTCGTTCAAACCAGGAACCATCCGACGTTCCAATATCTGCAGCCGCCGGCGCAGAACTCCTATCGCAGCCATTAACAACTACTTTTATTGACAGCAATGCGAGATCTGGGGTCAGAAAGTTATCTGACAAGGCCAAGGCGTTTTGTCCAATGACTTCAAGACGTTCGACAACTCCGAGCCCTGTCATGGAAGTGGAAGTATCACCTGCAGGGGCTGCCCTAGTAATGTCATCGACTTCTCAGGGTGTACAACGCAAACTCGATGCTTCCGTTGCTGTGTTCCCACGGGGAGTCTTGCCATCCGACATTCCAATATCTGCAGCCGCAGGCGCAGAACTCCTATCGCAGTCGTTAACGACTACTTTTAGTGACGGTGATACGAGATCTGGGATCAGAAAGTTATCTGACAAGGCCGAGGCATTTATTCCAATGGCTTCAAGACGCTCAACAGCTCCGAGCCCTGCCATCATGGAGGTGGAAGTATCGCCTCCAGGGACTGCCCTGGTAATGCCATCGATTTCTCAGGGTGCACAACGAAAGCTCGATGCTTCCGTTCCACGAGGAGTTTTGCCATCCGACGTTCCAATATCTGCAGCCGTGGGCGCAGAACCCCTATCGCAGCCATTGAAAACTACTTTTATTGACAGCAATACGGGATCTGGGATCAGGAAGTTATCTGTTAAGGCCGATGCGTTTATTCCAATGGCTTCAAGACGTTCGACAGCTCCGAGCCCAGTTACTATGGAGGTAAAAGTATCACCTGCAGGGGCTGCCCTGGTAACGCCATCGGTCTCTCAGGGTGTACAACGCAAGCTCAATGCTTCTGTCCGTGTGTTCGTTCCACGGGGATCCTTGAAACAGGCCTCGACTCTCGACCAAGCTCAGCTTTTTTGATAATTTCGACGTCTTGTGACCTCTTTTCGGAGCGACTTTTTCCCAACTTTTTCCAGTCATCCACCCAGCCAATAGTGACAGCTAAAAACGAGTAACCACAGCCCAGCAATCGTTCTATCATATTTGTGCATACATATATCCATCTGGCTGGCCCTGGATGAAGGTTACAGACCCTTCAATGTTCCTCTGCGCGTGGAAAACGAGAATTATCCTCATATGCTGGAAGTCACATAAAAGTGACTCTACCAGAAAGAATACAAAGATGTTTCCGGGGAATACACCATGTCGAGGTCTGAGCGTTGATGAGCGTAGATTTTGACTGTTTATTTCCTTGAACAGAGCCAGAATTTTACGCTCTTTCAAGTCCATCAGGAAAACATAAGGGTTATCTTTGGTGTCTTTGTCTCTGGGAACCGAATCTTTGAGTGCTTTGTCTTTGTAAAAGCGGTCTTTCAAGATCTTTGTCTTTGGATGTGAATCTTTGGTATCTGACTTGGAGCTTTCACATCTTTGAGTCCATAGGTTGGTCTTTCATCATCTCGAGATCTTTCCACTTATTGTTCTGAGGGAGATTGTTACTGTTCGACATCCCATAGCTGTATATATTTATTGACATAAAATGTGGAAAGGGTGGGCCTGCGAACGCTGACAGTGAAACAGGATGTGAAAAAATCAAGCGGTGCCATAATGAACTTGCCGGGATGAGATATATTGTTGCTGATACCCTTCCACCAAGACCCGGGCATTTTCGACTGTCAACAAACATGCCTGCACAAGCGACTCGGTTCCATCGCCATTCGCATCAAGCAGGACGTTGTTGGATATTGAATGACAGAACGTGATGGAAAACGGCGTTGTGCTGTTACATAAGTTCAAGTCTGAGTGCCCGGCCCTCAAGAGAACGCGTACCCACGTGATGTTGGTTCGAAATCGTTGAAGAAAAAATTTCTTCCCGATCATGCCGCTGGCCTTGCGTTCATCGTTCCGTCCACTCTCATAGCCGGCATAAAGAGACAAGTTATCCGGACGCAACACCCTGCTGACTCGACTGACTTCAACCTACGCTTCGTGACGACACGCAAAAATGCCGATTTTGGATTGGAAGCTGCAAACTTCGAGCGGTGGGTGACTATGGGATTGTGGACGTCGTATTTTCTGAACCTGGGTGCGTAGTTTATTCTGCTCAACTCAATACCGCTCATTGACGATTGTACAGCATCTATGTCCTGACAACTGTTACTGGGTATGTCGTGTCGTCAAATCCAGCGCAACGGTCACTACGCCGTCTTCCCGACGTTTCCACCTACAGCTGCAAGTTCACTTAACCCGTACATCTCATTTACGTGTCCTTGTGCCCCACTATGTCTCATCAGTAGCACTGCCTCATCTACTCCATCCCTCCTGACTTCCTCGCCCTCCGTAAGTCACCACACGCACCATTACCCATTTATAGTCCTCTCACCACACCTCTTCCAGCTCTCCGAACCCCCTCGCTTCCTTTGTATCAAGCCACACCCAGTGCAGAAACCTCCCCGTCGTCAGGGGGCACCGTCATCGTGTCCTTCGTTCTCCGTGCGCTCCTCACAGCCGGGGTCATTATCTCCCTCTGAGAATTGCATGTGCCCTGATTCGGCATTGGCATACTCTCAGGCTTCCATCCGGCTGCGTGAGTTGCCTTGTTCCGCTCGTAGTTGAATAAGACTGACTCAATTCTTCTAGTCTGTGTAATATCAAGCTTGATACTCGACACGCTTCGGACAGGACTACTTCGAGACCTTTCGTTCTTCCTGGTGGCAAGCCTGCATACCTGTAAACCTATCGTCCACTCGAGTATTTGAGGTTGGAAACACGAAGTGCTCATTGATTTACAGACCTATTACCTACGTGAATGTCCGATCGCCGTCACCAGTATCCCACATCTTTAGCCAGACCGTTGAAACAGGCTCCTGAGTGCACTGACAAGGAAGTTGTGTGTAGGGGCATGATGGGTTGGATAGATAGAGAGATGAAGATGGTTTATATCTCAGACGTCGTGGTATTTACTGTTTATACGTTACTTGAATAAGATTGATTTTAGTGCATCTGTGGTATGATAAGCATGAGTGAAAGACTTGTAAAGATATCATACAAAGCCAAAGATGGTCTTTGGAAAGCTCTATGTTCGTCTTTGAAAGATTCTCAATGGTCCCTCAAAGATGACCACATCTTTGAAAGAAATTGTACCTGTCTCCCGAAAGACGTGGGGTCTCTATGTCTTTGAAGTCTTTAGGTCTTTCCAAAGACCCCAAAGATCCTCAAAGACGACCCTCATGTTTTCCTGATGTCCGAAAGCGACTAGAAATAAATCGAGGCCGTTACCGGCGGACCCATGCATTACCGTTCACCGGGTTCCTCGACTGCCTCCAGTGTGCGCGTCGGAGAAGTAGTAACTTTGGACATGGCTTTTGTTCCAAGATCTTCAAAATTCAGAACGTTCGAGGGAGCGATGTGGAGTTTACTTTTTCTAAAAGATTAGACACGGTGCCAGCACTGCTAATAGATGTTAAACTATGTTAAAAGATAACCAAAGTCTTTAATCTCTGTGAACACGGATACAACGATTCGATGAAGATTCGGGTGATTATACTCCGGGTATGGCGAAAAGCGCTGTAAATGAATACTCTTGTCATCCCGATGTCCTTGAGGCTGGTTCTCACCCGGGGTTAGTATGAGCAACAAGGCACCTTCAGAACGAAAAAGAACGATATGAACCCTGAATTGAACGCACTTCAAGCAAGCCAAATGCATAAACGTTGAAAGTCAAGATCTCCAGAGTCCAGAGCTCAACATCGAATTCGAAATCGCTCATCTGACCCTCCAACCAAGTACTCCAGGTTGATCATCCCCAAAAAACCAAAAATACTTTCCTTCCACCTCACGCCTCCCCCTCCCGCTCCCCCTCCCTCTCAACCTCACTCTCCATCAACGCCTTAATCATCTCCCCACCCAACCGTCCAGCCTCCTCAAATCGCGCCTCAAAAAAACCCCTAGTCTCATCAAACCTCCTTTTATAAACCTCAAAACTCCCAAACGAAACACACTGACTCCACCCGCGGGCTGCTACGACGAACTCGAGGTCGTCTGCGCGGTGCCATGTGTCGTGCAGGGATGAGTGGATGGCTTGGTTTAGTGGTGATTGGTTTTGGGGTGTTGATGGGGACGGGGAGGAAGGGGATGGGGACGGGGAGGAGGGGGAAGGGGAAGCGGGGGAAAGAAACAAATGTTCAGCTACGCCAAGGAATAACCTGAATATAGGCGTAGCTGCCACCGAGAGGTGGTGGTATGGGTTTATCCTTAGATGCGCCCAACAATCTACCATCGCCAATAACGACAGGTGCGAGTTGGGTCTGTATCTGCTAGGCGGGGATAATACAGGCCCGTTAGGTGACAGTGGTGAGTTGCTGCCATTTGAGGTAGAAGGAGGAGGGGAAGGAGGCATTTTCGCGAGACTAAACCTATCAAGCACGTCCGCAGAAAGAAGGATCGGTTTCCTCCCCCTTTTCTTCTTCTCCTTCTCCTTCCCCTTCCCATCCCCACTACCATCACCATCACCAAAAACAACACTCTTAGCCCACATCACCCGTTCCCTAAACACCTTCCTCCCTTCCTCCTCCCCACCCCTTATCATCAACTTAAACAACTCCGTCGCGCTACTCGCGTATTGGTCGATCTGTATCCGCGCGCTGGGGTTGAGGATGGCGAGGCCGGCGTAGACGTGCCATGCGTTGGAGTATATCCGCAGGGCGAGGTTCACCTTTGCGGTTTCGATGCCCCCGACGTAGAGGCCTTGTTCCCAGGGGTAGGAGCGTGCGGAGGCCCATGCTGTTCCCATGCTGAGGGCGAAAATTATAGTTAGAAGGAGAGGAAAGGAGAAGAGAGGGGGAGGGAGAAAGGTACCTGAGAAAAGCGGCATGCGTTACGGCTTGTGTATTCGCCGTTACCAAGTCGTGTTCGTCGTATGACAGATAAACAAATCGCGATTTGAGAGGGGAGAGGATGGTTTCGACTAGGAGGAGCGCGTCGTCTGATGCTCGATGTTTTATTAAAACCTACACATTGTTTTGTAAACCACCAAAGAAAAGAGAAGAGAAGGAAAAAACGCTACCAAAGGCTGTCCCTGCGGACTAACACTCGGCCCATGTAACGAGTGACATGACACGATATGCACGTCTTTGGGGAGGTACTTTTCAAACGCTGCTTTTTCTGGAGCTTTGACGGATGTTTGGCCTGCTACGATCGCGTGCACTTTTGTTGCTATCGTTTTCGCGTGTGAGTGAGAAGGAAAAGAGGAAGGCAAAGGGGGGAAGGGGGGACGTACAAGGACCGAATTGGGCAACGACGCGGTCTATAAACTCGGCTTCGACGGAGTAGATTATGAAATCGGAAGAACGAGCGACGGCGTGTCCGTCTTGTAGTACGCTAATGTTTGGTTTTTCTGTAGAGCATCCCTCAATCAGCCGTTTCCTCAACACGCGAGAAAGAGGGGGAGCGAACCAGAATAAAGCCTCTGTAAGGCGTCGTATTTCTCTGGTAAATCACATACGTGAATCCTATATCCCAAAGTCGGCACGGAAGAGAAAGAGAGGGGGAAGAGACCCACTTTTTCCACCCAGCTTCATCAAGTATATCAGCATACATCTTCCCCATCGCTCCCATCCCTATCAACCCGATTGTGGGCTGCTGATCTGCTGGTGAATCTGGCGAAACGCGGGGGTCGACGTTGATCGGCAACTTAGGGTCTGCCATTGTGGTTGTGTGGGCCCTGGAGTTTTGTGGGTAGGCAGAAGGTGAGGAGCTTGACGTTGAAGGTATATGTATGTAATAGGATCGGACGGAGCAAGGGTGCTGTTGGATAAGAATTGCACGCGATCTCGAACTGGGATGAGAAGGAGAGCGAATCGGTTGTTTACTTTAGACGGATCGGCCAAATACTAATTACTCTCGAGGATCGTTAGGGATCTGATAATTCCTCAACCGCAAACGTGGGCACTGCGCACATACGATTGATTATACACGATTTATACGCGTGCCCAGGGGAAATATCAAAAAAGCCTCAAGGCACTTCTTGTACTTATTGTATAACGTACATAATAAGAACAAGAAACTTTAATTCTCGAAGAACACTCTTTTCTTTCATCCATCTATACCAAACCCCATCTCTCCATATACCAATGGACACATCTCAAGACGAAGAAGAACTCAAAGTAACATTCTACCCCGAACTCTTCCTGCAACGGCGCATCTGGATCCTAAACGTCCTCAGACGCGAATCCATCACCCAAGTCCTAGACGCAGGTTGCGGAGAAGGCGAACTCCTCACAGTCCTCTGCCAACCGGCCCCATGGCTCCCTGCTCCCCCTGCTTCCATCTTGCCTCCTTCTCCCTCTTCTCCTTCTGCTTCTTCTTCCCCAACTTCTACCGCCACCTCCCCTGAACAAATCACAGCACCGGAATCACCAACATACAACACAGAAGACGACATACCCAACCTCCACATATCCTTACTCCACGGACTCGATATATCCGCTAGTGATCTAGAATTCGCGATCGAACGTACCCAACCACCACCCCCCGAACCTGAAGTCGAAGACAAGGGGTACAGGACGTACTCGACAGGCGTACAGCGCTGGGAAGATCTCCAAGTCCAGATCTGGAAAGGCGGCTTGGAGACGATCAACGAGGTGTTCGTAGGCGTCGAATGTATCGTCAGCACTGAAGTGTATGCCTTCCTTCTTCTGTGTATGTGGGGTACCATATAGCTGACGGATCTGACGCGTAGAATCGAACATCTCCTCCCTGAAACCCTTCCAGCATTCGCACCAATGCTCCTAGGCGTCTACCACCCCCTCTTCCTCTTAATAACAACCCCTTCATACACCTACAACGCGCGCTTCACCTCACCCACCTCCCTTCCCTCTGTGCGTAAAGGTTTCCCGGACCCAACGAAAAGGACAGATAGGGTATTCAGACACCACGATCATAAATTCGAATGGACATTTGTAGAATTTTCCGAATGGTGTAACCGTGCAGCGGAAGAGTGGGGATACGAAGTGAAGGTATCTACCGTTGGCAGAGCGGTGGAGGTTGATCCGTGGGGGCGGGAGGAGGAATTGGGTGGTGCTTCGTGCGTTGCCGAGTTTCGTCGGATCGATGCGAAGCATAGTGACGGGGGAAGAGAACAACGCGCCCGAGCACTCATCGCTTCCTTAACCCTCGAAAGCACAGAACACACCCTCCTAACAACACACACCCACCCCGCGCACGCATCCTCCCAAACGCCCTTATCCCTCCCCATCATCGCACAACGCGTCAAAGCGAAGATGGAGGAATATAGAGAAGCGTTCATGCGCATGGAAGAAATATGGTTCGAGCGTGACGTTTGCGTTGGGTGTGGTGGGTTTATCGAGGTGCTCGTACGTGCCATTGAGGAGTCTTCTGAGTTGGTGCTTAGGAAAGAGGGGGATGAGGGTGATGGCGGGAGGACGAGGAGGAGTAATTGGGTCGTTGAGCTCGTCGGTGCTGATATCCCTCGTCGGGATCGGGACCTTTGGGCTGATGCTGATGAGGGGAATAGAAGTTTAGATGGCTTGGTGCCGGGGGATTGGACACCTGGTGAGGGGCCGCATGAGTTGCCTGATGGGGGTACTAGTGATGAGTATGATTACTACGAGGGAGAATCGACGGGCGCGGAGGGGGATGTTTCGTGGGGTGATTCAGGGGAGGAAGAAGAAGAAGGGGAGCCTGGGTGGGGTGGTTTGCGTGGTTGGGGGAAGTACAAGCTCAAGCGCAAAGACGGTGAGGAGGAAGGGGACGTACGTGATTGGGGGAGCGTGTTGGGTGATTGGGGCTCGGATGGTGAGCAGCAGCAGCAAAGTCACGGTGCAGGTGTTATACCCCTTAGTGCGAGCAGCTCGACGGCTGGGTGGGATGGGGATGATGATGGAAGTGATAGTGATACTACTTCGTGATTTTCTTGCGGCAAATTCTTTTGGGAAACTTGGAATGTATGCATGCATGCAGATATTATTGATACAACAAAAGCTGGTTTCGTGGTTAGCTTACTTGATTGGAATTGGGGGAGACAAGATCATCATACCTGGTATAAAATACTACTCCACTCCGCCGCCCCCCCTCCTTAGTTAGACACCTTAAACTCAATGGTTCCCAACCGTCCTTACAGGCGCTATACAAACACCCATCCCATCAACACCACACCTCAACCAGCACCGTGAAGGAGGGGACTCACCAATAAGAGGATGAAGCTGGGCCATATATGTGATCATCCACAACAAATAAAACGCCGCTAGTCCGACCATGAGGGCTGTTCGTATCACACTGTTCAAAATTCACCCCATTCAAATGAGTTGTGCGCAGTTCGAGAAAGAAATATGTGTAAAGGACGACTGACACTTGATTAGGACCTTTTGGAATGAACAGCGCCGTGGCGGTCATTAAGCCTGCTGTTATCACCAGTAGGAGGAACACGGGGAATAGGGAGGACATTTGTTGGAATGTTCAAGGAGACGATGATGGGTTTGAGAAAGATGAAGGCCGTGGGAAGTTGGATATATATAGCTCAGGCGTGCAGCAGATTTTTTTCTTTCTTGTCTTTATAGATATTAGAAAGTGAGTGAGTGGAAGGGATGGTTTCTTTTCAGTGCGTACTATTCCTCTCCTCCATTCTTCCAATCCAAACTGACTATTACCCCCCACACACAGATGTCACAGTCAGTCCTCTCCTCCCTGAGCCCTCCGCACAATCTACACGTTAAAAAAATAAAATCCTAACCCTCTCTGGTGGCAGCATGCGGCGACGTCGTCAAAAAGCCCAAACTGGACACACACAGATCAAGATGTCACGGCGGTTTTGACTGTATAGACTGTTCCACGACCTTCAATACCCCAGCGGAATATAAAGGCCATACGCAGTGTATAAGCGAAGCGGAGAAGTATCAGAAGAGTTTGTATAAGGGGCCTAAGACTGTATGTTCCTTTCTTTCTCCCTCCTTATCTTACGTCCATCCTCAACTGAACTTGACTTTTTTTTTTTTTTCGAAGGGAACATCAGCGCCTAAAAACAATTATCCACCACAACCACCTGTACCGGCAGCTCCAGAGGGAGGCAGCTGGAACCAGAGCTACTCGGGCCGCGGTGGGTTCGGTGGACGCGGTCGAGGACGAGGTGGAGGTGGAGGCGGGAATGGCTGGGGTCGGCCGGTCTATAATGGAACTGGTGCGAATGATACGCCGTTGGGTACGCCGACGAGGGCGGCGTCTCCTGTCGCGTCTGTGGTACCGGAGGTAGGCGTTGTGCGTCCAACTGTGGAGATAATCCTGATCTTTGATTGAGCAGATCTTGGTGAAAGTCCCAGAGAAGACGAATGGGACTGTGGGGAAAGTGAAGATGGTGACGGATGCTGCTGCTGCTGCCGTGCCACTTCCATCGTCGCCCGAGAAGGATGAGGAGGCAGAAAAGGAGAAGAAAAAGGCAGAGAAGGCGAAGAGGAGGGCGGAGAGAGCGGAATCGAGGAAACGAGGTCAGGAAAAAGAGGAAGAGAGAAAGATGAAGGAGAAGATAAAAAGACGGAAAGAGAAAGAGGCGGAGAAAGCTTTGAAGAAGCTCCGGGAGGTTAAAGAGGCTGAGAAGCCTGACAAGATTCGCGAGAAGAAAAAAGAAGAGGCTCTTGAGGCCGAAACCAATGGCCAAGTCAATGGTGGGGAGAAGAAGAAGAAACGGAAGCGGGTTGAGGAGGATACGGAAGAGGTCACGGCGGAGGTTGGCAGTAGAGAGAAGAAGAACAAGAAATCGAAAAAGGCAAAGGTCGACTCGGAGGCCAACAACGCGGACGTTGGGATGATTTCAGGGGAGGCGGCGGAAACTGAGGTCTGGGAGAAAAAGCGTAAAGAGAAGAAGGAGAAGAAACGGTCAATGGCTGGGTCATGATCTTATTCGATTTATACCTTAGAGATTTGCTGTCCGGTGCCTATATGATATATCGCTTAGAGGCTACATGGGTCATATGATACCACTCAACCCTCGTGACGAAATCGAAATCGATTGGGGTTATCATTGTCAACCACAGCAACTCTCCCTCAACCCAAGTCCAACCCCCATGCAAGCTCTCCAAGTAAGTCCACAAACCGCGTCGTTCGTTCGCCTCCACCAACCTAACCATAACATCAACCAGTCCAGCCTGTTCGCCGTGCGCGAGTACCTAAGCCCAGTGAGCCTCATTATCCGCGATCTGGCATCATCTCACCGTCAACCCCATCTATTAGGTTCTCAAAGAGAGCAAATTCAAAGAACACGGCCGTATTACACCCGGTACGTTTCACGATCGTCTATCACGTTCCTTTCTGCTCACCGTGAAAGGAACAACAGAGGAATACGTCGCTGCAGGTGACTTTTTGGTGTACAAGTTCCCCGTATGGACGTGGTAAGCTTTCCTCCTCCATCTTCCTCACGAAAACTAACTGGGTCCTTGTTACTTACGAACAGGGAAAAAGGAGACGCATCCAAATCCCGCGACTTCCTCCCACAAGACAAACAATACCTAGTAACGCGTGGCGTCCCCTGCCTCCGGCGCGCCACCTCCCTAGCCTACACAGACGCAGACGAGGACGCCGAGCGTCTCCTCTCCTTTGCTGATTCCTCTTCGCCCTCCGCAGACGGCGACGAGTGGGTCGAGACGCACGCGGGTCGGCAGGCGCATCGAACGGACTCTGCGACGAATGCGGGTGAGATTGCGGATATCCCTGATTTGGATGGGGATGGGCCCCATGGGGATGAGGAGAGGATTTCGAGGGGCTTGGGGGGCGTGTCGTTAGCTGGGGGTGAGGGTGTTGGGCCGGAGACGCCTGATTTAGACGATATCCCTGATATGGAGGAGGATGATCTGGAGGAAGGGGATGATGAGGCTACGGCTGCTGCGCCTAAGACGGCCGTTATACCCGCTGCTGCTGCCGGGGTTGATGCTAGGTATCTTTATTGGGTTTTCTGAAAAAGTCGAAAGAGTGCTGATGGTTTCTTTGTAGCGCTAACGTGGAAGTCGCAAGGGGCAATCTTCTTCAAGTCCGCACGTACGATGTGATGATCACATATGACAAGTATTACCAGACCCCACGAGTTTGGCTGATTGGCTACGACGAGGTTCGCCTCTACCCTTTTCCCTTCTATTGTTCAAATTAGCTAAACCGAAACAACAGAATCGCACCCCACTAACCCCCTCCCAAATCTTCCAAGACATCTCAGCAGACCACGCCCAGAAAACAGTAACAATCGAACCCTTCATCCACTCCGCCTCTCTCCAAGCCGCCTCCGTGCATCCATGCAAACACGCCAGCGTCATGAAGAAAGTCATAGAACGGATGAACAACAGCGTCGTCGAAGAACAGCTCGCGCAGCGTGGTAAACCCTCCTCAACGGGGAAGGACACCCCGAAGAAAGAGAAGAAATGGCCGTTCAGCCGAAAGTCATCTGGGAGTGCCAAGGACATTCAACAGCCGCAAGCTGGGGCTGAGGAAGAGGAGGTGGAGGGGATGAGGGTTGATTTCTATCTGGTTGTTTTCCTCAAGTTTATTGCGAGCATCGTGCCGACTATTGAGGTCGACTCGACTACATCCTTTTGAGTTTGATGCCACTCTCCCTTCATCTGTACCTCCCCAGCCCTCCCTCATTGCTAGCCGTCGTTTCTTTTACCTGTATTTTTTTCTACCATTGTTGGTACTTAGAGGTCTTCTTTCTTTGTGAATACGTTGCAATGTGGAATATGTATCTGTATCTTTCGTGTTTTTCTGACAGACTTCGGAGAATACATAAATCATGTATCATCTCACCCCCCTCTAACAACTCTTTGAACTCCCATACACATACACTGTGAAGACAACTCAAGGGCACCCTCAAGATGCAGAAGCTTGGGAACATGAAAAGCTTGTGGACTTTTAAAAAAATTACCATCCTTGACTTTCTTTTGCTCAAATGACACAATCTATTTTTTTGAGAACAACAAGGCAAAAGGTGCATCATAATGGGTGGTAACTAGAGACATGTGCTGCATTTATGAAATTCTGGGAAGGTGGGCTGAAACTTTTATAAAGCTAAAATCAAATAAATGAGAAGACCTTGGAAGACTTGGAATATTGATACTCACGAAGACGATTGTCCATAGCAATCTTTACAAGGGCCTGTTTCTTTTGGTCCTCAGTTTTAAGCCGAGAGGCCTCCTTGATGGCAATTTTAATTTTTGCCACATCAGCAGACAAGTTGAACTTTTGCATGGCTGATTCAAAGGGGGCAGTGGACTTTGAAGGATTCTGTTTCCACAGAAAGAAAGAGTGCTCTGCAATGATAGCAGTCACTGAGCAGTAAAATAGTAGTTATGATAGAATGGTCATAAATGAGAGTAGACACACCAATACATAGAAAGGCAATGTCCTTGAAGGATTTGGTATTGTGAATCTGGATAGAATTATGTGGTTGTCAGAATAATGAATAGCATGTACACAGTGAAGCTAGTGAAGGTTTACCAAGGACCAGTCTGTATGATCGAGGACATCCTTTGCCTAAAAATAGTAATTGGTTCAGTCAATACTACTGGTTTTTATTAAAATATTGGAAGAAACAATAAAATACTGACTGTCTATTTGAACAAGTGGAGTTTCATAAGTGTTTTTCTAAAATTGTAGAACTGAACTGACAATCTCATCATTTCTTAGCAAAATAAAAAGAGAAGAAAGCTGAGACCTACCTTCTATTTAAAACACAGGCCACCCTCTTATCAACAACAAGTAGAGAAGAACAGTCGGATGGTGACTTACATCCTGTTTAAAACCCATGGCATGCTCTGGTCAGCAACAAGCAAGAAGAGCCGGCCAGATCCTGACTTACTCGCTGTTTAAAACCAAGAGCATGGTCTTGTCAGCAACAAGCAGGAAGGGCCAGCCAGATCCTGTCTTACAGCCTGTTCAAAACCCAGAGCATGCTCTTGTCAGCAACAAGCAGGAAGGGCCAGCCAGATCCTGACTTACATACTGTTCAAAACCCAGAGCATGCTCTTGTCAGCAACAAGCAAGAAGGGCCAGCCAGATCCTGACTTACATACTGTTCAAAACCCAGAGCATGCTCTTGTCAGCAACAAGCAGGAAGGGCCAGCCAGATCCTGTCTTACAGACTGTTCAAAACCCAGAGCATGCTCTTGTCAGCAACAAGCAGGAAGGGCCAGCCAGATCCTGACTTACATACTGTTCAAAACCCAGAGCATGCTCTTGTCAGCAACAAGCAGGAAGGGCCAGCCAGATCCTGACTTACATCCTGTTCAAAACCCAGAGCATGCTCTTGTCAGCAACAAGCAGGAAGGGCCAGCCAGATCCTCTGACTTACATACTGTTCAAAACCCAGAGCATGCTCTTGTCAGCAACAAGCAGGAAGGGCCAGCCAGATCCTCTGACTTACATACTGTTCAAAACCCAGAGCATGCTCTTGTCAGCAACAAGCAGGAAGGGCCAGCCAGATCCTGACTTACAACTGTTCAAAACCCAGAGCATGCTCTTGTCAGCAACAAGCAGGAAGGGCCAGCCAGATCCTCTGACTTACATACTGTTCAAAACCCAGAGCATGCTCTTGTCAGCAACAAGCAGGAAGGGCCAGCCAGATCCTGACTTACAAGCTGTTCAAAACCCAGAGCATGCTCTTGTCAGCAACAAGCAGGAAGGGCCAGCCAGATCCTCTGACTTACAGCCTGTTTAGAACCCAAGGCATGGTCTTGTCAGCAACAAGCAGGAAAGGCCAGCCAGATCCTGACTCACCCACTGTTTAGAACCCAAGGCATGGTCTTGTCAGCAACAAGCAGGAAAGGCCAGCTAGATCCTGACTCACCCACTGTTATAACAAAAGCATGATCCCATTAGCATCTACTTGAGGCCCACTGGATGTTGGCTTACCGCCTGTTCATATATATTATTTTGTTCTACCACTGTACAGTCAAGTAAGGTCCACATACCATATGTGGAAAATAATTCAGTATCTTCTCAACCATCTTCCTCCACTCTCTCTTTTCTTTGAATAACTTCCAATCTGGAAAGACAACTCTGTTATTCTAGATAATCAGCAATTTACCAGCATATAATTCAAAATGAAGCAACTACCTTTTAATTGCATATTCAATTGACAGAGCCACATTATTTTGCTGCACTGTAAGAAACAGCTGTAACAGTGTATCATCTGAAAAGGTGGCTGCTGTCTTCCTCAGCAGTTCACTGCAGTCACTTGTGGGATTTTGCATATCTGTCAAATGCAATTAATCTATTGTCAATGAGTAAATGAGTTTGTTATACCTCGAAAATACACATGATCCTTGGGAGGATACTTTCTCTTGAAGAGTTGCTTGCCAAATTTCTCTTCAAACCTGGCAACTAACTCTTCTGGAGCTTTATTTGCAGCATCTTCAACATCCATTCCAGTATCAACCAGGTGTTTGATGGTTTGAGCATCAAGCATATCTGCTTTTGTAAACAGGACAATAACAGGAACTGTGCACAAAAAGGAAAGGTGAAATTCATGAGATTATCAATAGTTTACACACCTCTACCAGTCCCACACTCATCAAAGAAAGTTAACTCTGCTCTTGTAAATGGTCTGGCTTCATCATTAATTGGGATGCAGTACCTACACAGGGTGTATTCAGATGCACTTTAATGTCACAACTCAGTCACTCACCAAATCACATGCAGATGATCCTCAAGCCAGTTGTTGGTTGAACGTTTTTGCAGAAACTCCTTGACTTTATCCAGCTCAGATGTTCTGCCTGCTTCAAAGCCACGTGAGTCATGAAAGACAAATGCTGTATTGCTCTCAAATATCATTTCATTCTCAATATCGTGCTCCCCTCTCTGCCACACTTTCAGTAAAATGTAATAGGGAGTGTAGATCCACATTACCTGTGCAGT